CACTGACCCGTCCCGTGAAGCCAACCTCTCTCAACTTTTTCTCCACGTGATCCGACGCTTTTGAACCCGCGACCGGCATGGGCTGTCAGCAGGCTGTGGCGTCAAAGTCGGCTGTAAAACGTGCTGAAAATAAAGCATGATCTAAGGAGATCGAGGATTACCCTCTGGTAATTTAACATAGCTATGGAAAATCACCATTTTTAATGGCAAAAACCACTATTTCTATGGTCATTTTCAATAGCTATGTTAAATTACCAGAGGGTACTATATTTGGGCAATGAATCATATGGGATAATCATGAACAATACTTACTGAAAGATTATCATTTTTTATCTCAAACCGATGAATTCCCAATGGATTGTGATTTCTCCTCAATATATGAAGGTATTATATCCCCCTATAGCAATGGGTAGACCGCAGCCATTGCTCAATTTCTATCTTCCAGTGCATCTTCATCTTGCAATTTCCGGCAAGTTCTTGTGCTGGAGATATTTCACTGAGATAGTGAAAACTTTCTTGGCAAATGAACCTTGCTGGTATGGGGCAGTACCGGCTCTGGCACAGATGCAAGATATATCAATATTATAAATTATTCACATGGCATGGATATCACTTTCCACTGCTGTAGCCAAAAAATGCAAAACAGCACGCAGGCAGCGACATCTCTATCGACAAATCGCTTGAAGCAACCCTTTCTGGTCGTCTTTCAAAGGCAACTTTCACCACTGGGCGCAGCACAAATCTTTCAACTTCACAGACGCCATGAAGGACAGAACACCTTCAGCGGGCACGTGTCGCACATCACAAGAGATGGGTTGCAAGACCCTTTGCCTCCAAAATGAATATGGGTGTACGGTGTATTTGAAAGTTGGGTTTTAAAAAAAAACTCACATGACCATGACCATGATTAGAGAACATCATGATAAACCACTGGAAAAAAAAAACATGGAAATCATGTTTCAACCAGTGGATTTCGGACATTTCGGGGCACCCTAATCTGGGGAGCGCCTGCACTGGGGACCAGCGTCTGCCGATTCGGCTTGTGACCTGCATGCCGTTGAAGAAAAAGAGAAGAACAAATGCATGATCATTGATGTATGAACAATATCTTTAACCTCATAGGACTGGAATTTACACGATTCTACTATCTAGCTTCTTACATGTGTTTCTGCCTTTCATCTTCTTCAGCGACCTCCGCAGCACTTTGAATAATCCCTGAGCGCATCACATGCCGACGCTAATTTGGCCACGAGTTTGCTTTCAGAGATGCCGGCTGAAACCTCATGGCCGGGGTAAAACAACATTGCACCTTTTTGGTGTCCACAAACAAGGAAATTAGGTGGATTTAGCAAATTTGGTGGCTGTTCCGACAGGCAAAATTATGATTGACCAGCGGTTTTCGGGTGTTTTCGGACAATTTCTTCGGGAAAAGATGGGTGCCAAGTGCCAAAACGATTTCAATGGCAGACCTTCGGGGTCCATTTTCCCCATTTTTGGACAAACCCGTGAGTGGATAACCAAAAAAATGTCCTGCTATTAGCTGCTAGCTGGTTAATTTATAGATGGGGATGGTCCTGCCACCTTTGATCTCCTATTTCCTTGGAGGATGCACATCTAGAATCAGTACGGCGTGGTGTGGCAGCGTACCAGGGTGGACTGACCCATACTCAAATATTTTTTGATGGGCTAAAGAATAAAAAAAAACTTTCCGCTCTGAAACTAGTTCCTGAAACTGGTGAGTGAGATCCACTGGAAGTATCCAAAGAACTTGAAGGATATGTACCACTTGGATGAGTCTTAAATGAAAGCGGGGTAGAAAAGGATGAAAAGGATGAAAAGGTAGGTATCTGAAGCCACAAACCAAACCCACCGCAAAACTCAGGCCACAACAGTGAAGCCTGAAGCGATCGAAGCGTCCAGGACTTTATGGGTGAAGCAAAATTCATGCCGTGTCCATCCTTCAGAGTGCAGAAATCGATTTGACTATGTGATGACTATGTGATGACTATGTGATGACTATGTGACTTATCAACCAACCTCAGTTCCTTGGACATTGCCCACATGTCCAAAAAGTCCAAAACGTCTCCATGGCCGGACTCGGGACGGGACCTGTGTCAGCGAAGATGTCCTCCCGCAACTTCTGCACCAACTCCAAGGCTGCGAGCAGGTGAGAGTCCTGGCTTCCACGAGCAAATACAGTACCCATACAATACTGAACCCCTAAAATTTCTCGTGTATGGGTATACCGTATGGGTACCATTTAGGATTTTTTTTACTGAAGCCATAAAATTTCTCATATATATATATATCCTAAAATTTCCCGTGTATTCATGGTAAATGGTTCGTTCTCCCAGGATTTTCCTGGGAGAATCCCGGCATTGTCCCAGGGGTCCTTCGCATCTGCCATGCAGCCCTCAGGGCACACGGCACTTTCAGCCAGCTGCGGAAGGTCCAAGGTGTGGGCACTCAGACGTTGTCCCACCTGAAGCAGTGGAAATTTGCTTGGAAAATTGGCCTTTATAAATTATATATATATACATACATATAATTTATCTATGTGTTTATCTATTTATTATCTATTTATCTATTTGTTTATTTATTTATCTATCGATCTATCTATCTACTTATTTATATATATATATTATCATATTATATCATATTATATCATATTATATCATATTATATCATATTATATGAATATGACATATTATATATAGTATCATATTATATGAATACGACATATTATATGTATATATTATATTTGTAAAATGTATTAATATATATATCATTTTTGTATCAAATATTGAATCACAAATACATAAAGATAATGTATGATGTGTATATATATATATAATGAATATCATGGGCTTCAGGATCGCTTTGGATTGCTTTGCATAAGCACATATCCCTCCACCATGAGTTTCCCTATCAAAGACGGTTTCAAGCGGAAATCTTCCCTGAAAACAAGCCAAAAGAAGGTGGGGCATTCCTGGAATCCCGAGACTTTGCAACGGAAAATTGCTAGAGTTGTTCCATTCAAAGTAGTTTTCACTGCCATCTCTGCTTGCCGGCCGGTAGCAGATAAAGAGGAAGGCATAACACGAGATTTTCGGATTACCCAATTCATGATTTAATGATGATTGGAATCTCCACTCAAGAACCCTGGTCAGGGGGAACCGTGGACAGGGGTCCCCCATCACAATGGCAGCTGCCACATTTGTAAGCAAATTACATACCAAGATTGCACTACAGGATTCCAAAAAAGACAGCACGGCCTTTCCGGGATTTTATAGATAATAGTCCCATCGTAGGTCCAGGTTTCCAACTTTTCCATTTGGAGCTCGCAGTAGTCGAGCATTAAATGGCTGACCTGTCATAGTCATCCAGCCTCTTCTGTCAGGTCCAGGTAGACTTCATCGATGGACGCCATTTCGCATCTGGGCCGTGGGTCAGGTAGATGGATGTTCCTCCAAAATGTTGGGGCCCCAATCCTTAACCCATACCTGGTTCAAGTATGGGTTACGGTTACAACTCACAAACATGTGGTCATCTTTTTTGCAGTAAACCTTCCAATTCGGGTTAAAATAACTTCCAGCCAAGCAGTCTTCCTGCAGGTTTTCAGGTGCCCCTCAACTCAGATGGGTCATGGCTGCAACCTCAAAGAAGCTGGCAGTTTCGTTGCATTGTCCAATAATGTCCAATATACCCTCTGGTAAACATACAAAAAGCTATTGAAAATGGTCATTTATAGTTGATTTACCCATTAAACGTGGTGGATTTTTCCATCATTTTTTGTATGTTTACCAGGCCGGGTATTTGCTCCTGACCTCCACGTTGATCCTGTTGAAATATGTTGAAATCCTCAGGTTCTGTCGCCTGGTCGCATGGCGCTGGACCACTGCGAAAACCTCTTCGGAGGCCTGACCTTGGTAAGCCATGGAGCCAGGGGAGCCCGTCTCAATATGTCGTTCCAACAAACAGGCCATGATGATGGCTGGAACATGCTGGAGCCGTTTTTACATGTCTAGTTTTACCATATGTTTTACCATATGAAATTCACCGTTTTCCCTGGCACCCTGAAATTCACGAGTCTCCGACGATATCGCCGCAAGCACGCCTTCTGTGTTCGTCGGTCGGGCCTTGCAAATACTGTCAAGTGGATTCGAAATCCTTGTATGGGGGAAGGGCCTTCCCCAATTTCAAGCCCAAAATATCTGCTACAACTAGATGTTCATCCCTCCATCAACCAATGCTCTCAGAGATATTCACCCATCATCTGCGCAAAAATACTGCTGGAGAAGGTGACTGTGACGCTTTTGACAAGTCGCGATTTTGATTTCAGGTACAGTCTCCAGCTAAAAAGGATTAAAAAAGCATAAACCGTCTGAATGATGGTGGTTCATGTATTTTTCCGTCTCAAACCAACAGTAGAGGTTGATGATTTGCCAAGACGCGCCAAGGGCTCTCCGTGATCCACGGACATCTCCTGGTCAGTGCTTGGGTACCCATGAATCCCCAATGGGGTGGATAGGTAGATAAGTAAATAGTTAGATAGGTAGATAGGTAGATACTTAGACAGGCAGGTAGATAGGCAGGGAGGCTAGATAACTAGAGAGGAGTAGATAGGGGTAGACAGAGGTAGGGTAGATAGGGATAAGGGTAGATAAGGGTAGAGAGGGATAGGGTAGACTGGTGTAAGGTAGACAGGGGTAGGGTAGGCAGGGGTAGAGAGGGATAGAGGTAGATAGGGGTAGGGATAGACAGGGGTAGATAGGGGTAGAATCTACCCCAATCCCTATCTACCCATGCACCAATCTATCTACCAAACTATCTACTTATCTATCTACCAATCCATCTACCTATCTGCCCTTATCTACTATCTACCCCTATAGGGGTAGGTAGCCGTAGGTAGGGGTAGATAGGGGTAGATAGAGGTAGATAGGGGTAGGGTAGACCCCCTGAAAAAAAGGACGTGAAGGTCAGCTGGGATCATCCTACCAGGTAGATTGGGAAAAATAGAATGAAACTATATACAAACCAGTAGTTGGTTGATGGTTTGTTTAACTTAATCATGCACTGTGATGAATCCCATACGAGTGCTGGACCCGATCATAAATCATCAGCAAGGGTTTTGCTCAAACAAACAACACCTTGCGAAATTGCCGGAATTGCCTTGATTTAGGGTGACCTCAGTCCACATTGTGGCTGTACTTTGAATCTAAAAGCAGGGACCGGCTTGACATACTCATCCTCAAACTTGGTTCCCTTGCCAAAAGTCGCATGCGTGGACATTAATTCATAGTACCATACATTATTCGTGTGTCCAGAACAGAATCGACCAACTTGGCAAGCAAACATCGGGCCCACTTCACTTTCGGAATTGCCCATGGCCCATGTCTTGAAAGACACTCCCTTTTTGCACGTGTCCCTGTCTCCTCAGTTCCTTCACTGATGGTTTCCACATGCACAAGGGTGATATCTGGACATGCCTTTCGCGCATCTGCCGCACGCATGCCTCGCCTGACCAGCAACTGCTCCGAATCCCTCCGAATCCCTGTCGGGTCAAGCCATTGAGGGCCTTTTTTGCTGATGGTTTTTGGGATCTGGAACGATCCAGTTCTTAGGTGGCTGGTATTGTTTGACCATGTTTGACCCATGTCCAAATCTGCTTGTTTAATGAAAATTTAATGGGACGGAAAACAAATACTCATCCATGTCAACCAGATTGAAATATGCAGTGGGAACTTTGGGGTCTCCCCGGTTTTGAAAACAAAAAACAAAATATTGGGAGGTTGCCCGTATCTGCTGCATACATTCGTATCTGCGCTTTATTCTCTACAAAATCCCTATTGATGTTTTTAAAATTTTGACATTCTTGCTGCCAACACTCCCAGTTCTGTTGGCTGAATCCCCATTTGTGCTTGCTATAGCCTCAATTAGTAAATTAGCTCTGCCTCTATATGTTTCGATCCTCAAAAAAATACCCGGCAAGAGACCACAAACAGGATGACGATGACGATGGTGATGGTGATGACGATGACGGTGACGATGACGATGATGATGATGATGATGATGATGATGATAATTGCTGCGCACGCTGATGTAGAGGATAATGATGTTCAGGATGATGAGGTGCAGGAGGATGATGTGGAGGATGATGATGCTGAGGAGGATGGGGATGAGGATGATAATGTTGAGGATGGTGAGGATGAGGATGATAATGCGGAAGATGAAGTGGAGGAGGACAAGGTGGAGGATGATGATGTGGAGAAGGGGGGAGATCATGATGTTGAGGGTGGTGATGTTGAGGAGGATGATGTGAAGAGGGAGGAAGATGATGATGTTGAGAATGATGAGGTTGAGGAGGAGGATCGGTCCCAAGACCTAGGACCATACTTTGTGCGAGCCTGCGCAGTCAAAATGCTGCATGTCAACAATTAAGAAGAGGCACTTCATACGGAAATTTACAGGAAAAATGCCGGCGCCCAGCTGGAGCACCCTGATCAAGCACCGGCCTTTACTCCTACCGTAAGAATCCCTCAGTGTGGACACACTGTTTGGGGAACAGCAAATTCAATTAAAGTAGCGCGGGTTTCACTGGGCAGGCACACTTGACTCCATGCGCTCGAGCTGCGTAGTTCACGGCGATGAGACCATCCCACCTGAGTGCAACGGCAGGCGCAAGAGCGCACTGGATATCATTTGGATGATCATTGCAGATGTTATAGTGGTCCCAAAGACATGTGTACATATACATATATAATATTATATAATCATATACAAGAGATAGATCGAAAAGATGTAAAGAAACCTAAGATGATAGGGACAATGATTTCTATCTGTTTGCTGGCCACTGTCATTGGGCAGACACCCTGGTTTTAACCGGGTACCTTCCTGCACCAAGCCTTGAAACCTCAGACTCGGGCTGCTGAACTGCTGCAGCAGGGGAATCCCTGGCAGGCAGAAAGCCATAAAATCTCCTCATGTCTCATGGATTTATTTTTATGTACATTGTACATATTATTTATATATATATATATGTGTGTGGGATTATATGGGTATTATATGGGTATTATATGGGTATTATATGGGTATTATATGGGTATTATATGGGTATTATATGGGTATTATATGGGTATTATGGGTATTATATGGGTATTATATGGGTATTATATGGGTATTATATGGGTATTATATGGGTATTATATGGGTATCATATGGGTATCATATGGGTATTATATGGGTATTATATGGGTATTATATGGGTATTATATGGGTATTATATGGGTATTATATGGGTATTATATGGGTATTATATGGGTATTATATGGGTATTATATGGGTATTATATGGGTATTATATGGGTATTATATGGGTATATAATGTTATATATATATAATCCATAATAATCCTATAATCATCAATGATCCCATGGATATGGAACACAATGGTCCTCCACACCTGGATGTCCAAGGTGGTCGGCCCAGTCCCAAGCGCCGTTGCTCCACCTGCCAAAACCAATTTAGAAAAGTGGGCTCGTCAGAGCAAAAACGTAGGAAAAACATAGGAAATCATGGAGAATCATGGAAAGTCATGAAAAAATATGGGGAATGTGGGAAAAAAATGGAAAAAATCATGATTCCCATCAGCAAGTCTCATGGAAAATTCTGGATTCTTGCTGATGTCATCGAATTTCACCAGCAAAATTCGATGAAAACCGGGGATCCCATCGGCAAACAACGTGCTGCACGGTTGAAAAACGCTTTCCCTTGGTGTCCAGTCTCAGTTGGCCAATGTTTGGTTTCTTGTTTGATCAAATCTCCGTCATGAAAAACGGCAAAATCCGCATGTTTCATCATTTTTGCCTGTCCTATACCCACCCCTCTTCCGATTCACCAGACTAGAGATCGCTTCAGTTGCATCCCACCATTTTGATGTGGCTTCAAAATCGTCCAAGAAAATTTGCAGCCTGCACCACATATCAGAATAGCTGGCGGTGCATGTTCAGATGTTCATCCAGCGAAGTTTTTGGGAAAGGTGGCATGAAACATCCCCATCTCCCCATTGCGGCTTATCTGCTCCTGCACATAGAAGCAATCCAGGTCCAAATGCGCTATCACGCGCTGCCCAGTCCTTTCAAAAAACTGTGTCCACCTCAATGGGGCCAGAACATGTCGACTTCGGTCACAAAAGCGCTGCTGTTTCTGTATCTATTCCCTATTGGACACCAACAAGCGGCATTTGGAAATACCGGTACTTCACCAACCCTGGAAAGGTCGGCCATTTCTGGATGATTCCTCACATAACATATAATGTGTATAATATACGTATATATGTAGTATATATGATTCTATTTATTTATTTATCTATCTATTTATTTATTTAATTGATTATTGTTCTATTATTATTGTTATTATTATTGTTAATTATCATTATTACTATTATTATCATTGTTATTATTGTATAGACAATATCAATACATAGTGTGTATCCTTTCTGGGACGGTCGCAGTCCTGGGCGCCATGTCCCATGTTTCACCGAGCCGTGATGGTTATGGATGACTTGTGTAGAAAAACCCGGCCTGGTTTTTTTTCACACTTCGCCATGGAAAATCACCATGATTTGGATGACTTTTCTTGGCCAATTCACCATTTTGTTGGTCAATTGCTCATTAGAATCTAAAAATGGCATTGCTGTACCATCTAAAAGCTAGCAAAATTGGCATTGCTCATTAACCATTCAAAATTTTGGTGGCTAAAAATTGTGGCTAAAATCTTGTGATGCTCAATTGCTCAAAATTTTGAGGGTATTTAAAAAGACTATGAAGAGCCATGCCCAAATATTTGGTGGCTCGTGGTTGAAATAGAAGGCTGCACTATTTGGAAAGTATGGTGTGCTGTCTTGGGTATTCGAGATACTTCATGCGCACTACTTCTGCTACAGGGAATGCAACCAAATCGGCCGGTCGTCTTTTGTAAAGAAAACCACTCACTGCTTCGGAATGACGTCTGCTACTCTTGAGCCTCCAAGCCTTAAACCTTCAAGTGTGGCGAGCGTTCGCAAGCGCACTCTGTCGTTGCTGGAAACAAGGAATTTGCTCTTTTCAGCTGGTTGGTGATAGGATTTGGAGCTAATTTGGGATACTAATTGGGATACTAATTTGGATGAATGATATCATTTCCCTGTCAATGACATTCAATGACTGTGGTTTTGGTGGCTTCCACTCGCCAACTTTGGATTTGAAACCACCGACACTGAATCACACCTTTGGCTTCGCTTGTTCTGCTTCGGCAAAGGGAACAACAAGGCCACCCTTCCGAAAAACGTCATCGGACGCATCCTCGAGGTACACAACCTCCGCAGAGATGATGAAGTCATACTGCACGTCCTCGTGCGATGCCCCAAGTATTTTCCAAGAAATCTCTCAGGAAAATTGCAAGATTCAGACCCTCCAAACCTCCAACATGTCTATTTGAAATGAACTTTGATGAGGTCTGTGGCAGAACGCCCCCTTTGCGATACACTGCCTAATCCAAAAGGTTGGTCATGGCTTTCAAAGCATGTTATGATGTGAATTGAAACAATCCTACTCGAGAGCCAGTTGCTTTGATGCTTACACTTTTGCAAAGTGCAGTGCAACCTCTGATAAATGATACATTCACCAGCTCAAGTTGCTTTTGAGAGCGAGTCTTGTTTTGCATCTGCAAGCTTCCAAACAACCCCTGTTCAACTGGCTATGAACGATTGCAGCAACCATCTTAAAACAGCGTTGCTCTGCAATTCTGTCAAGCGCACAGTCGGTGCGCCAGGGCACCACTTTGGATGCACAGTCGGTAAGGGTCCGGTCCCTTCGCCTCAGGCAGGGATGTCCCAGTTGAAGAGTTTCCCAACGACGAAAAGCATCAGTGTGCCAACCTGAGATTCCAGAACTTTCGATGCAAGAAGTGCTTGATTTGGCCTTATTTAGTGTTTAATTAAAGATGTTTAAAGCATAATGTGGCTCGTATTTTGACAGACATTTAAGAGATTCTTTGCCATGATCATCCATCATACCGAATCAGCTCACAAGTTCGACTCGGTTGAAGTCCTGTTTCAATGTACGTCCTGAAATTTCGTGTGAGGTACTGCATCATCTTTCCCTATGTGTTTTTGAAAAAATTCTGTAGCTTCTCAATGGGAATTTCAGGAACCTCAATTGGAGGTACCTACCATATATAAGACATTATAAGACCTATTTTTCAGGCCTAAGAGAATATCCCCACAAAATATGGCCAGAAATATGGTACTAACGTACCTCCGTCGCCAAGATGCCACTGACACCATGCTGTAGCCCAAGTCGAGAGTAGGGATGGTGCCAGCGATATTCACCTTATATCCCAACAAGTTGGATCCTCAAAACCATGGCCATAGGAATAGTTGATTAACCATGATTAACCCATATCAAATGGTGGTGTTCCAGTTATGTAAACGTTTACCATCCAAGTTCTGGTCCGTATGATCGCGAAAACTCTAAGAATGGCACAGGTTCTGTCGCCGCGAGGATGGAAAGCCGTTCCATGGCAAGGCTCATTGCCTGCAAATTGGCCGACCTGGTCCCCCTGAAATGAACAGAACCGTAGCGTTCAACATGGATGGTTCGGCTCGATCCTCAATTGCTGAGGCCTCCTCTGGTAGGGAAAAAAAAAAGCACCTTCGTCGTGAATTTTTGACACCGAAGCCATTTCTGCGGGTGAAACGGTGGAACCCGAAAATTTGGAGCAACATCCTCAACTACGCAGTAACTACGCTTGTCCCAAATTTCTGGAACCCAAAAAAAACCACGCTTTCGATTTTTTTTGGCCATACTTGGGGCACCTCCATTTTGACCCAGCCTTCAAATCATCCTGCACCGACTCCCACGAAAATCCAGAAAAAAACCACGCCTGTTCACACTCTTCATCTGCCGCCCCGCCGGACTTCGCAGACGCCTCGAGAAAACCCATCAGCAACAACCAACAGATTTAGGAATATAGATATGTGTAAAAGGCAACAACATATGATAAAATATGGATTGGCAAGATGCGTTCTTACCGCGAATTCCACATCAGAGATTGTTAGGATGCCGAACTCCGCACCGGGTGACGATCTCACCGAGCTGCATTTCGCCAGCGCGCGCGGCAGATGTTATTTGACAGCTGTGGGAAGTTCTCATTCGCCTCCGCGGCGCCCGCCATGAAGGGACAGCCATGTCACCGGTGAATCAACATCTACAGCCATGGTAAAAACATCTGGTAGATATTAGTAGATCATGATGAAGGGACATTTCTACTGGTTTCTTCAACATCAAAAGGCCATGTCCCAAAAAATGTCCCCTCCATAGCTGATGACGGGCGTCCAACGGCCTTGGATCCAAAATAGATCACCCGAAACATGATCACCTCAGCAGCACGAGGTGCGAGGAAGCTCCTGGCTGGGGCCAGTAATTAGTGGGTGCCAACCCAATGTGACAAAAATTGTTATTATAATACAATATAATACCAGAAATGGCATCTCTGATCGAAATTACTGTAAGCCAGTGGGATTTGAAATCCTGGCTTGGAATTGTTGCATCCGTTTTTCAAGATCCTTTTCTCACGAATGTGGCTTTTCCAGTCAACCAAGCTGCAGTAAATCCTGACACCAGCGAGAGAACCACCACAGTGAAGGAGTTCATCTGGTTGTGAACGCCCACAACCACACCCACCAGCACAAAACCCATACCTCAGAGGGCTGGCTGGTTCCACTCATCCCAAACAAAAATCACATGATTGGGGCTTCAATCGGGGGTTTGATTGCCAGGGGCCACCAATCCAAAAAACCCTTAGTTCATTCATGTTTATGATGGTTGCCGGCCATCCCAAACAAAAACTTACTTAGGTGGGGAATCCTCCGAAATCATGCGAGTGAAAACTCGAACATCTTCTGCCAAAGCGCCGATGGATGCACCAAGGGCCAGAGTTGCAACGTAAGCTTCCACACGAGCTTGGTATCTTCCACCCAATCGAAGAGAGACCTGGAGCAATCGACCCTCGATTGATGATTTTCAAAAGTGACCCATCAATTTCAAGGGCTCCTTCTTTGGGTATGGATTCGAAAAAAACAAACGGGAGGGTTGAATCATTGAATGTATTTACACATACATACAATACCGTGCCATAACCATACCATACCATTACATTACATTAAATTACGTTGCATTACACTACATTACATCACATCACATCACATTGCATTACATACATACATATATATAATATAATATATATATAATATATATATATATTATACATACATATATATATACAATATGTGTATAATATATATATATAAGATTATTATATAAGTATAATGTGGTTATATGTGTGTACTGTGTATATAATATATATATACATATGATTACATATGTGTATCTTAAAATGAATCCATCTGTGGGTCCTTTACTTAAGAACTCGTGAAAATGGTTGACATTCTTGACCCCATGATCCACGTGCCTCGAAGCAGCCCAAGACCGCTCGCATATTCTCCAAGCCCACCGCGCCATTGAGCTGCGCCTGTGGCAAGTTGGGCCACATGCAGAACAGCGGCCGTGTCAGGCGACAGATGGATTCCAGCACCAGATGCATCCGCTTGTAGTGCACAATTGCCATGACCTGGGCGGAAAATGATGGAAAATGATGAGCCGTTACTGTTGGAATGGAGCTTTAGAATGATTTAGATGGGGTAATTGTATGTAATTGTGGCATGCCAGTACCAATAAAGTTGGGTTTTAGACTTCAAAGTTTGACCCGCTGGACCACCAAGATCCTGATGGCATCAGCTAAGGGGGCGACTGCAAACAAGCCCGCCAAGAGGATGTGTATGTAGCAGAGGAAACCAGAGGTCACCACGCAGAAGATAACCTGGTAGTAGAGCCAAAACACTGCTGGCGTTTTTTTGTATCCTGCGAGTTAGATCCAGCAGGTGAAAGTCTTTGGGTCACCGTCATCTAATCATTCTCGAAAAAAATGCTGGAAAAACTCAAAAAATGGTTAGCACACCATCTAAATTTGCAGGCGCTTACTTCAGGACTTTAAACTTGTGCTGTCCATGATCTTTTTTGGGAGTGAACAGCCACGACGGCCATCGATTTTGATGCGAAAATCAGAATAACGTGGTGATCCGACGAATAAGCCCGTTTTTGAGTATGGGCGTCTACTCCGTTTACTGCCCTCAAATCCTCAAGAAATATGGTGAATGTAGTATGGTTTATGGCATGTTGTTTCAAGACATTAACCATCACTAACTGGATGCCATCCCAATTTTGGGGGCCATGGCTAAAAAGGCGGCTTCACCACCTCCCTGTCCAGACACTGGAGACGTGGAACCCAGCGCAGCTTTCAGAATCTGTACAGCATGACCTCCGGGGGGAAAATCTGGATGCGTTCAATGATGTTCACCCCAAACTTTTCGGGCTTCCGTCTGAAGAATTGTATATAATTGTATCCTATTCCATAGATCCATAGATGGTTGAGAAGTTCATGTTCCTCATGAAAAGTGCCTGGGGTAGATCCTCTTGGGACCAAAGCTTAAATGGCTGGAGTCCCTGCTGAGTTTCAGCCCTGCCTTTGCTGGCAGCACAAGCCACGGCTCTCCAAATAGCAGGCACCAGGGCCGGCAGCATCGCCCAGAAGCCTGGAACACAGTTGGAATTCATGGGGTTTCATGGGAACTAAGGATGTCAATCTGCCTTGACGCCTTGGGGGGAAAAATCACACCCCTGTAGATGACTTGCCTGATCTTTTATTGAAACATATTGAAACAATCGGAATTGTCCAGGCTGCCAGGTTTGTGCGAGGCCAAAACCTCTTTCCATGGCTCTCTCAGAGTCTCAGCGTTGTCAAGTTTTCGCACCTACGAGTTGAACTCGGTTGAACTCCACGACGTGGTCAATAGCAATTCTCCAGAGCATATGCAGCATCTGAACTGCACCTGGCCATGACACGGTAGGACCATTTCAACCAAAAAAAACACGTTGGTCAAGGGGACAATGTGATTGAAACTTCCAGATTGACACCGAGGCGCTGATTGTGTAGACACCATACTCAATCGGCCCACTCGCTTCCAGATCACACGTCTGCGGAAGTTAACAAAAACACAGGGCAAGGACATCAGTTGGGGTTCACAAATCACAGGTTCTTCGGCAGATCCCCCGAAAATATTGAACACCCCCAGAAACTAACTTTAATAGGGGATGAAACCACATATTTGGAACCATCAAAGAGGGGGTTTAATATCAAGGAGCTGGGATTACAACGCTCACCAGTGCCGAGCCACATGTGGTGGAAAGGGTATTTCGCCATTCAGATCCTCTCGGGAAACGTGACGAATCCTCGGTGGTTTTTCGGCACGAAAGGCGAAGGGTGACTTGGATTGATCAGAGTTGATCTGCCAATCGACCAGCGAAACTCATCTGGATCCGATGAAATCCAGGAAATGGAAAAAATATCATTAAAAAAAAACACACACATGTGTGTATATATATATAAATATAAATACCTTTCTGTGTATATATATATATATGTGTGTAAACAAAAACAAGCGGACCGCTTCATCTTGAGACTTTTAGATGATCGAAGTGGACCAAGCGGCTCTCGCCAAACGTTCCATATCCTCCAGGAGGTCTCACATTTCCTGAGGAAATGAACAGCGAGATGCTGTTCATAAATAGCAAAGTCGGGTACAGTTTGTAAAAGTCGAGATGGTTCACTACTCGGATCTACTAGAAATGCCACAAACCTGCTGTTTCAGCCCTCATTTCACTGCAAACAAGGCACACCTCATGGTGAAAGAAGAGACTGTGAAGATCCGCGCCTTTTTGAGAGTGTGGGAATCTCTCACTGGTTGGCTAGTTCATGTGGATCCCACTGTATAAACTATAAACTATCAACATCTATCAACCAACTTGTTTAGAATAATTCTTGAACCAATCACAGTATCATACAATCAGGATTACGTCCCTGGCGCAGAATCCGCCAAGGCTTCGGGGCACTTTCCAGAGCAGCCTCCCCCCGAATTCGGCTTCAGTCCCATGCCTTGCATCCGACAGGCTTTTTGAATTTCCATCAGCAGCACTTGATCCGGGAGCGGCAGCCAGGTTGACAGCAATTGGATTTGTCTGCCCCACCTGGCAGATTTGATCCAATGTGCCAATGTTGCCAGGAAAGTTTCGTTCCCCTAGAAAAATCCCCCAAAACATCCTCCAAAACGCTGAACCCCCAGGACCTGAAACCATGTCAAGTTGCTGCTTCGCTTTCCGCACCGGTGCATTCCTCCATCGTTGGTACTCCACGTGCGATAATCCACTGTACTTCCTGAATCGAAAGCTGGCCAAACATCCCATCTTCAGGACTAGACGTAAATCCATTGCAGAGATACATTCAAGGGATTTCTTTACAGCGAATTATGGTTGCTGGATTCGAAAATGATGATTCTCCAGCTCTGGAAATAATTAACAACTCAGCGTCAGCGCGATCATCGAGCGGTGTATGATCAAGGCCACAAGGGGAAGAAAAATGATCTCAGTTGCACTGATGTTGTCGGCCACAAACTGCTCCTTGTAGATCACCTCTAGTTGCAAATACCCATGGTTTTTCCGATCTTTTTTTCTGGATGGATATCCAAAAGATAAACATCCAAATGTGCGGCAAGAGGGTTTTCAAACACTGAGACTGACCTTGGGGATTCACAACCAAAAAAAAAGGATTCAACCGCCACCCACCGCAAAGTGTGGTTTAACCACCAAAATTTGCGTTTTTACCCGCAGAAATGTGGATTTAACGAGTTTGACCGTCAAGAATGTGGTTTTTGTTGAGATACAGAGTCATTTCCACCTGGTGAAATCAGCCCAATTTTTGGGGTCCCACTGCTCCGTCTGTGGTCCCAAGGTCTCCATCGGTGCAAATCAGGACACAAACAGAGCAATGTTCACATAGACCAACAAGGGCACCATTATCCAGAACACATCCATGGTGTTGTGGGGCGGCCAAATGGAAGTGCTGGCCAATAGTTTCCCTTGGCCAGCAGCAAGGTAAAAGAGTATACCTCAATGCCAGAGTTTGACACTAGTCCTATGTGGTGATGGGTCAAAATTGAGGTGCCAATGGATCCATACAATTCCTCGTGGCATCAAATCATCTCAAATCATCATTTTGCGGGGTTGACAATTTGGCCAGCAACTGTGGATCGAACAACGTGCTTCCCCATCCGCCCCATCCGCCGAAAAACCCAGTGGGCAGGTCATATGGAGCCAAAACATCTGATGGAAGACTTCTTTGCTGAAGCAGTCCTCAGGGTTTCAAATGCTGCCCCATGGTTGTTTTGTGAGATGAAGGGACCAACTCATTCAGAAGTGAAAATCAGTTCCGGTATATTTTCAGCACTCAAACCAGCACATGTATGTGAAATTCACCAGTAAACATCTAGATCACTGGCCGCATTCTCCAGTGAGATTGTGACCATCCATCCCATGGTTGATCACCATTTTCTTCATGTCTCAATGGCCAGTTTGGTATCCCGAAATTTGAGACAAACCCGTGGATAATCCTTATTACATCTTATTACTGTGTAATTATTTGGGCACTTGCAAATTATCAAATTTGTGGGTAGTATAGACCATACCCAAAAAAGAAATGTATTGTTGAATTGACAACAGTACTGCTTGCATTATGGTTGCTTATGGTACGACCTGCATTGGTGATACAAAGTATGCCATGGCAGGTTGGCCCAGAACAGGTCATGGGAATGGTTCCGAAAAATTATTTAGCCCACAAAGTAGATTTAATTGGGTTTAATGCGTCTTCTGTCTTCTTGTTTTGATACTTAAAATCCATTAATATCCATTAATACTTTAAATGACCTCTTCTGCAGGCCGCTTGCCATGACCATATCCCCACTGCATCTCCTCAATGGATTGCATATGGCTGTGAAAACTTTTTAAAGCAATGGCTTTCGCTGAAAATTGAGGCGAACAACATCTAAAATCAATGGCCACTTCAGGTACCTAAATTGGAGGTACCTACCATATCTAAGGCCTATGTAAGAGCTATGTAACGGGATATACACTCAAAATATGGCCAGAAATATGGTACTAACGTACCTCCATTTTTGGATCCTGGAGATCTCCCATTTTTCTAAAAACCCCATTTTCCTATGGTTTCCCTATTGTTTTCCTATTAAAACCTCTGGTTTTTATGTTTTTTTTTCGTCCCAAAAAACCCATCGTTTCAAGCTGCAAAAAACCCGCCGTCCTGGGTCGTTTGATCCATGAGCACCTCTGGTAGGTCAGTGTCATCGCTGGAGGAGTCTGCCTCACTACCTGGGAATTTTTTGAGGCTCCTGATACAGATATTTAGATATATGGATAAGTATATTATGTGTATATATAATATATAATATATCATATATAATATATAATATATAATATATCATATATCATATATCATATATAATATATAATATATAATATATAATATATAATATATAATATATAATAGATAATAGATAATAGATAATGTATAATATATAATATATAATATATAATATATCATATATCATATATCATATATCATATATAATATATAATATATAGTGTATAATATATAATATATAATATATCATATATCATATATAATATATAATATATAGTGTATAATATATAATATATAATATATAATATATAATATATATAATATATAATATATAATATATTATATATAATATATTATATATTATATATAATTAATATATTATATATAATATATTATATATAATATATAATATATAATATATTATATATAATATATTATATATTATATATAATATATTATATATAATAAAACATAATATACATATATATATATATACTTATTTATTTATTTATATATTTATTTATTCATATGATATTAAACTGAGGAGACAAACGTGACCCACGACATCGTCTGCGGTCCAGGCGACTCTCTTCATGCAGGATTTCCATGGCACGCCTGGGGCTCAGGCTCCGAGGATGGGCCCCATGGCACCATGGCACCATGGGAAACTGGTGGCAACACATTGGAAAATGGTGATAAATGGTGATAAATGGTGATAAAACCTGTGAAAATGATGAGAAAACATGATGAAGATTGATAAAGTGCATCAAATTTGGGCGTATCCCCCGTTCTCAAATAAACCCAAAAAAACACGGCTTCCGATTTGCATGCTCTCCGACAGGTATATCTAACCAATTCAAAACTGGACACTTCAGTTCGAATTTGCGAAAGGTGCAAGCCATGGCGGGCGCTGTTCAGAAATGTGTTGGCCGAAAAGGCAATGTTTGTAGCAAAATGGTTCCACAGCCTGTCAGACAGTGTAGATGATACCGCTTGGATTTCCATGTCCATCTGCCATCACCAGCAATTTCTCCCAAAATCTGCTTGAAGCAAGTGCCATTGAAGTTCAAGTAACAGTTCGAATTGAGTGTTCAATCTGTTTCAAATTATTTGGCATCATGGTGCCGCAGCTTGAACCAGCTGTCGAATCTGTCGAATGCACAGCCCAAAAAAAGCCGACCCCGGGACCTCAATACTAACCGTGACCAATGAGTCACTTCAGGTACGATGCTGGAACAGCATCAAAATGGCTGGTGTAACTGGTTGGTCACAAACATGTGGGGAAAAGTCATAGGATTTGACACATCAACAAATGGACATTCCCTTCACTTGCCACTAATCATCTCCCAACCATCAAAAAGGAAGCTCCACTTCTACGGCCTTGTGTATTATGAAGTCCACCAAGATTTATTGTGAGAGGTTATTATGTAAAGGATATATATATATGGGTTCATAGTTAGACACCCATTTTCTGTAAAGTCATCATTTCTGGTTATTCTTGTTGGTGAGTCCTCACTTTTTGGTGACCAAATCTGAGTGTTTGTTGCTATGCACCTGTATGTGTGTATATGGTTTGCTATATTTTTGGTTGGTTAGACATGTTAGACCCAAAGGTGACCCCCAAATCCAGGAAAGGGAACAATACTTTGGCTTTAGTTTACTTCAAACTTTATATGGTTTACTGTCAGATTCCCCTTTCTTGTTGGGTCAGACACATGAGCCATGTTCAAAAGCCTGTGCCGTCCCTTGAAAAACTGACTGGTTCTGGATTTCCCCCAATGGGTTGTGACGGGTTGTGATCCCCAATAATCTTGGATAGTATACCCTCTGGTAATTTAACATAGCTATTGAAAATTGCCATAGAAATAGTGAGTTTTCCCATAAATAGCATGGTGGATCTTTCCATCGTTTTTTGTATGTTACCAGGCCGGGTAACAGTCTAACCGTGTCCCATGGACTCCAGGTCCTCTTTGGCAAAGTCTGAAGCCGCAAAGCCCTCCTGGCAAAACGCATGGGGCGCTGCTCCATGGTGATACCCGCAGATAAGATAAGCTGGTGGCAATGGCTAATTATATTATATATATATATATAATGTGTATTATTGTGATATGATTAGAACTAGAACCCTATTGTGGATATCTTGGATATTATGGTTGCAGTTGATCAGCTACCATCCCTCTGCTGTGGTGATTCTTGTGCTGATTCTGGTGCAGCAGTCCTCACCCCAATCCTTGGAAGCAAGGCATGGGCGACATTCCAGTGGTCTTGCTTCATCTTTCAATTTTGAGTCTAGAGTTTTTTTGAACCATAGCTTAACCATTATTATTAACCATAGATTAACAATAGATTATCCATAGATTATCCATTATTATTAACCAATATTAACATTATCATTAATCATAGATTAATCATAGATTAACCATGATTTTCTAGAGAATCCAACTTCATCCAACACTGAAACATCCCAGGCATCCGAATCGCCAAGTTTCTAGGATCACAGTGCGCACGCTGCCACCAAAGCTCTCAGGGGCACCATGTTCCCTGGCAGCCAGGATTTCTGGTAGCACTACCCTCTGGTAAACTAACATAGCTATGGAAAATCACCATTTTTAATGGGAAAATCCACTATCATTGACCATTTTCAATAGCTATGTTAGTTTACCAGAGGGTAAGGCTCACTAAGGCCCAATAAACGGCGCGAAGGCTTCTGAACGTTGGGATCTCAATGAAACCATTTTGAGCAACCGATCCAGCAAAGGGGGTACTCAAATCAAGCCTCAAATTTCTCGCCATTCGGGGTACCTTTCTGAACACACCGCACCGCTTGTCATCACCCAATGATCACCCAAAAGATCGTCTCCACCGACCAAAGGATCCCAAAAAAGAAATGCTCCCGGCCTGTCAAGATCTTTTAGAGACTCCTGAAGAGGGGAAACCAAACTCGAAACTCGGTTGCAGTTCTGTGACGAATCAAGTTGAACCAACTGCTACATTGGCAGGTCACCAAATTTGCAGGTCACCAGCATCCCATCAATTTATCCCACTCAAATCACATGGAAATTGGTGGTAAATCTCTGGAAAATTCCCACGGGGACGCATGTTTTCTTCCAAGGTGAAAACTTATGAGACTGCACTCATTGCAGTGGATCTGCCTGAAGGACCGGCATCACTTTCACTTGGTCCGTGCAGGTGACGTGAGCACCCAGCCTGCGAATCCGTCTCGATTGATTAGGACCTAGGAATTTAATGCAACCCATTCCACAGCAGGATGTCAAGTGTTGGAAGTCACTGCAAAATGAAAATGCCAAAAGCGCACATGTATGCACATGTGCTTTTTCCACGTGGCACATTTCCGAAGCAACCGCAGAGTTGCAAAGTGCCGCGGAGGTAGCCAAGCTGCATCGAATTTGTCATTCACCGAATTTACAGCAAATCAAGATTGCACTCACTAAGCTGACCATAGTCTGAGCCTCATGTCAGAAACTCTTACAGGAAGTGCTTACTGCGCCATGATACCTTGTGATGTGAGATGTGAAATATTGGAAAAAAATCTTCAACATGCATCTGGGCACCTTCAAAGATAAGGAGGGTCCGAACCATCACTTTGGATTTTGGGTTAACGTCATTCCTGTCAATTAAATTCGAAAATCAGTATCAAAACATTTTTACAATATAATTCCAATTTTGAAGTCCAATTCTGATGTCCAGTGAGTCTGTTGAAGTCTATAGAATTCCAATTTTCTCACAGCGCACGGTTCCAACATCTTCCACCGTTCCGCCACTTCAAATCACCGAGAACTCGAACTCAATCCGATCCGTCGCCGTCCGGCTGTTCCACCTGAGGTTGGCAACCCATGGGATCACAATCTCGGCAGAAAGGATGCTTCAATATACCCTCTTTTAAACCGTAGGATTCCGTAGGATGGAATGGATTCTGGATTTCCTCTTGTTGGCATTACCTCTCACCGTGGGTGTACCATGATTGTTGGTCTTATGAGTCTTACCGCCAATTCTTCTTGTAACTGTTCCGCTCTGGTCTCCATGTGTTTCTACACAAATATGTTTTGGGTGGAATGGGGTACGCCATTTTCAGACAAACCAATTGGTTTATGATCATTTTGATAATTTCTTTAGCGAAAAGTTGGAACAAGTAGAATCTATATACCCTCTGGTAATTTAACAGTTTGCTATTGAAAATGGCCATAGAAATAGTGGATTTTCCCATGAATAGCATGGTGGATCTTTCCATAGTTAGGTTAGTTTACCAGAGGGTATCAACATTCATGTGTATATATATATATATACATGATACTAGCCGTGAAAACAATGGGAGTTGGTCAATCACTACTGACTAAATGTCCAAATGTCTGAAAAAGATGTGAAATCCAATTCATTTCTTTGCAGAAAAATTGCGGGGGCGGTTTCATATCCCACCTTCATTTACCATCATTTACCTATATATTGTTTATTGATCGGCGGTTCTTCCTCCAGTTCAATCCCTTTTGAACCCATGGGGCATTCCATTAAAATCCATTCAACATTCACTAGCCATTCATCAACTAGTTGGCCATGAACATTCCTTGGCAAGTTGGGTGAGAATATTCACTAGCAATGAACATTGACCTAGCTGGTCTACCCTCTGGTTAATGAGAACATTCACTAACTATTGAAATCCACAGTGAACCTCCGGTGATTTTCTTCCGTTTCACCAGTGGTATAGATGGCCCAGAAGTGGGCCCCACAGGTGAAGATCATCTCCAATAGGGACAGTTTTCAGCATCGGAACCATCAACTGGTGATGTTGTCTATCTGAATCTATCTATCTAATTCAATCCATATATATATATACATATACATATATACATATATACATATATATATATATACATATATATATATCTACATACATATATATATATATATATACATATATATATATATACATATATATATATATAATACATATATACACATTTATACATATATATATATACGTTACATTGGTCAAGTAGGAAAACGTGTCATCTCGGTTTTTTTCTGCTTCATACTTGGTGCTCCACCCCACAATTTTTTTCGGCCGGCCTGCGGGCCCTGCGGGCTGGCTGGGTCCTTCTCATGTTCAAATCCCGAAGATTCTACTTACCCGGCCTGGTAAACGTTTACAAAAAACTATGGAAAGATCCACCATGCTATTCATGGGAAAATCCACTATTTCTATGGCCATTTTCAATAGCAAACTGTTAAATTACCAGAGGGTATATAGATTCTACTTGTTCCAACTTTTCGCTAAAGAAATTATCAAAATGATCATAAACCAATTGGTTTGTCTGAAAATGGCGTACCCCATTCCACCCAAAACATATTTGTGTAGAAACACATGGAGACCAGAGCGGAACAGTTACAAGAAGAATTGGCGGTAAGACTCATAAGACCAACAATCATGGTACACCCACGGTGAGAGGTAATGCCAACAAGAGGAAATCCAGAATCCATTCCATCCTACGGTTTAAAAGATTGTTTTTCATTTGAAATGGAACTAAAATTGAGGTAGATCTTCATTGCTTCATTGTCCACATCCAAACATCAAAATTGCTATAGATTGGGCCTGCACACCCCATAATTGGGACAAACCCTTCCCAGCTTACCAGGGATATGCAGCGATGCTCACCGTCCTTCTTCGGAGTCATGATGGGCGCAGCACCAGTGCTGGGCCTTGTCACCATGGGATACTCTCAGGTTTCGCCATGGGGAAATCACCAGTTGTTTCATTGGGAAATACCCTCTGGTAATTTAACATAGCTATTGAAAATGGCCAGTTATAGTGGATTTTCCCATTAAAAATGGTGATTTTCCATAGTTATGTTAGTTTACCAGAGGGTATGTTCGAAAACTCCTCTCTAAATTTGTGATTTTCCACTGCCAGCTATGCCAGCTATGCCCAATTTAGCTACTCACCTGATCCAAGATCCAAGATCCAAGTCTAGCGATGCTCACCCTGGCTGCTTCGTTTTACAATCATATAAAATCGGGACACCTGGCTGCCTCTGAACTGGAGTTTTCTGAGGCCCATTTGCCATTTCTCTTCAAATTTAGAACATAAATTAAGGGCCCCATTGATCTTTTGATTCATCATTTTCATCCATATGTCTCTTTTTCAATGAAAATATGATAAAAGATGTCTCACAGCCACAAAATGGAGTGGTAAAATGTGGTAAAATGTGGTAAAATCACCACTCGAGCGCCAGTGGTAAAATCATCGCCTGAAGACGCACAGCTTCGAGCGCTGCTGCTCCCATTCCGAGTCACGCCTTGGTCACGTCCAGAAAATGTCCAGCCGGCTCGAAAAATGACCGATCCAGCTGATATGACTTAACACACGAAATTGGACATTTACCAAGTGAAATGTGGTGAAATGTGGGGAAATGTGGTGAATTGTTTTTTAAAAAAAATGGTGAAATGATGTATATCATTGTATATTATCATTGTATATCCTGTCACTGTTATCAGGTGTCATCATTGTTCCATGCTCCCCAGTTGTTGCTTCATTGGCTGCTTCATGTATCCTCATCCACCACATGTCAGAGGCACTTGGCAAGGGCAACTGCACGAGCCCGCTCAGCTCGCTCCTGGGAAATCCCCTATAAACGGAGGTTCAAAGGTGCAAAACATCGAACTAAATGGGTCTTTTCCAGCAAACCATGTTTGATTCCCAGAGGATATAGGTCAGAAATACTTAGATTTCCCACCCCACAGAGCGGTGAGTGTCTTTTTGTTGGTATCGAACATGTGTGTTTTTGGGGCGTTTTTTTTTGGTGCTGATTTGAAGCACCAAACTTGGCCCTCCATGGAATCCACGAAAGGTGACAGATGAGAAGGTCTCCTCGGTGGTTTCGGCAGCCTGGATCCATTCATCATGATCAACTCCTTCTGGAATGGTCGCCTCATCGAGGCGAAACGTTTGTACTAGTGGCGTTCAATCGACGAAAACACACTGATTTGGATCCCCCGAAAGGGACGCCATCGTTTGGAATTGTCTGAAAGGCCACTTCTAACGACAGAGAAGGACTGAAAGGCCCTTCAAACTCTTAGCCGCCGCCTTTCAAGCTGTGCTCAAAACACGGATGAAGCCACAACAATCTGAGATCGGTTTCCCAACATCCTTTCGATCCGAAAAACTCCGTCCACGCCTCCTTCACCTTGCGGGTCGGCACCGCCACGTCCATGATATCTTTGAAGGGCGCAGGGGCCTGTAAGAAAAGTCATCATTTCTAGCTGGTTTTCAGATGAAAACCTGGTGGTGTTCCAAGTACCATGTTGATCAGGCGAAGTACATCCCCGCCAATATCAATAAATATGTATATATATATATATATAATTATATATATATATAAATAAATATATATACATATATGATTATATCAATATTTCCTGGTTAAATTATGTTAAATCCCCAATTATGGTAGGTTTTTTCCATGGAACATATTAAACACATACCTAACACACCATCCCATACCGTCCCCGATGAAATTCTTGGCAGCACCAAGGTGCCAGGGCGGCAAAGCGCTGCTCCAAGTGACGTTCGATGGCGGCCTGGCCGGCCCGGCCGGCAAGTGGATGGGGATTTAAGCATCACAAAGGGTAAACTGATATAGGTATGTATGTGTATATAGACATATCTATATAATTCTATATATATATAGATATACATTGTACCAATAACTTTATGATATTTTATGATATAGTATTAAAATTATATAGAAAGAAGTATAAGAATCATGTCCCCTTAATCTTAAATACCCTGCTGGAACCGCTATCAATTCATTTTAGGTTCCCATATTGGCGGGGTGCTTGATATTGGGGGGCTGGGATCAATCTGCATGTGGATCAAAACCCTGGCAGTCCGGTGAAAATTGGAAAGTTGAAAAGAAAAACTTGAAAATCATCGGTCAATTTTTTTTAACCCCACAGATAAATGTGGCTCCTGGCTAGTCGGCTAATCGGCTAGGGCTATTGCTATTATTCCTCCAGAACCATCCCGGCCCATCCCGGAACCCACACTGGAATGTCCGCACGGGCATCTTCTGACAACCCGGATGGGAACCTCCCCAGAACCTAGCCCGGAACCTGCACCAGAAAGCGCTCGGAACCTTCATCTGAGTAGTGTTTTTTTGATGGCAAATGTACCGCGTAGCCACCGCAAGGCCGCGTAGCCACCACAAAGCCTACATCTGCAGCTTTCATAGCTCGCGTAGCCTCTGTGAAAGGGGAACTGAGCCGCGTAGGCGCTGCGAAGCCTACCTCTGCAGTTTTTGCAGCCTTGCGCCCGCGGAGTTCCGTTTCTCGCGTAGCCAGCACGAAGCCTACTTTTCAGCCTACGCAGCCTCCGCGAAGCCGACCCCAAAAAAAAACATGACTCATCTGGGCGGCTGAGACCCCTAAGCCCTAAGCCGACGCTATTGGGGAAAATCTCTTAATCCAAACCTACATCAGGTACCATCACTCCTGTCTTTCGAGCCTGCTCCCTTGGATTTGGATGTTTCTTCAGGACACGCGACTCAGATCCTGCAGCATTGCTGCAAGCATCACCAGCCAACACGGAGCTGTTCGACTAACGCTCTCCTTCAGATGACCTCAATGAGAGAGAGTGGTCTGCACCTGAGGCTCAACAAATTGGTAAAAGTGGTAAGTGTCTGCAAATGAAAAAGCCCCACAAACCCACAGATTGGCAAGTGTCTGTATCAAATCCCAATTTTTTTCGAGCCTTTGCTGGTTGGAACATGATGTTCTCGACTCTGACCAGAGTCCCCATGTTTGACAGATCACCACAGGGACATTCATTGCCAATTTCAATCCCCATGGTTTCATAAGAATCCCCATTTATTGCTGGTGAAATGAATCTAAATCCCCATTTATTGCTGGAAAAACCATGTAAAACCCACATGTTCAACCCATTTCCATTTCGGAATTTCCACAGCTGAGCACTCCCGGCCATGCCAAGAGGAGCTGCGCATGCGCGAGCCACGGTAAGTGGTCATCAGGTCGGGGGCCTTGGGGGTTGGTTGTGAAGATTGTGGGGAAACCCCCAAATTTTGTTGGTTTGGAACCCAATTTCCCCGAGATTGATTTCCCAAGTGCTTGATGGTTTAGTACTCGATTTCCCTACTAAACCGGCCACTTTGGGATTGACTTTCGATTGGATGGTTTAGCTAGAAGCTCATTTTTCCTACTAAACTAGCAAATTTACCATGGTATATCCCTATTTTCCATGCAATATGTTCGGTGACTTTTGTTAATTGGGGATGTTAAACAAACATCATAAGAATAATGAAGGAATCGACCTGATTCGACTTCCACATCTTCCACTGTGGTGTGGAATTAAGCAACAAAAACTGCAGATTCAAGCAAACAAAACTTGATATTTGACCAACAAAGCCTAATGACTTTAACTGACACAAAAGGGAGAATGTAACAAAAAGGAAGATATGACCAAAAAGAAATCGATCAGAAGCTGGTTTGAACAAGAAGAACCAGGTTTTTTTCAGTTTCAAAAAATCTCCACGAACCCACAATAGTCAGGAAAACAATTGGTGATACAATGATAACAGAAAACAAAAAATCCGGGTCTGTCGGGGCCGGTGGTTCACCATCCTTGTGCGGGTCGAGGCCGTGAGGCCCTGCGAACTCAAATGGCCGTAATATGGTGTGTGACCGTCCCACTTTTCGGATCGCCAACTTCCATATGCACATATGTTGCTATATTTTGCTATATTCAGCATAGATAGATAGCTAGATAGATAGATAGATGGATGGATAGATAGATGGATAGATAGATAGATGGATGGATAGATAGATGGATAGATAGATGGATGGATAGATGGATAGATGGATAGATGGATAGATAGATGGATAGATGGATAGATGGATAGATGGATAGATGGATAGATGGATAGATGGATAGATAGATGGATAGATGGATAGATGGATAGATGGATAGATGGATAGATGGATAGATGGATAGCTGGATAGATGGATAGATGGATAGATGGATAGATGGATAGATGGATAGATGGATAGATGGATAGGTAGATAGATAGATAGATAGATGGATAGATAGATAGATAGATAGATATGTAGATAGATATAGATAGATATAGATAGATATAGATAGATATAGATAGATATAGATAGATATAGATATATATAGATAGATATAGATATATATAGATAGATATAGATATATATAGATAGATAGATAGATAGATATAGATAGATATAGATAGATATAGATGATATAGATAGATAGAGATAGATAGAGATAGATAGAGATAGATAGAGATAGATAGAGATAGATAGATAGATAGATAGATAGAGATAGATAGAGATAGATAGAGATAGATAGAGATAGATAGATAGAGATAGATAGATAGAGATAGATAGAGAGATAGATAGAGATAGATAGAGATAGATAGAGATAGATAGAGATAGATAGAGATAGATAGAGATAGATAGAGATAGATAGGGATAGATAGATAGATAGATAGAGATAGATAGAGATAGATAGAGATAGATAGAGATAGATAGAGATAGATAGAGATAGATAGAGATAGATATAGATAGATATAGATAGATAGATAGAGATAGATAGATAGAGATAGATAGATAGATAGATACACACATACATACATACATACATACATACATAGATAGATAGATAGATAGATACATACATAGATAGATAGATAGATACATACATACATAGATAGATAGATGGATAGCTAGATAGGTAGATAGGTAGATAGGTAGATAGGTAGATAGAGGGAACAAAAAAACCTTACTGTCTGGTGAAATCCCATGAAAATCAAACCTCCAAAGATCCCCAGTTCTTTCCACGACTTGAGCTCCGCTCCATGGGCGTGGTCAGCGTCCGATCCGTGCAGCGCTCGGTGAGGCCGCCCCCCAGCAAGGCCTGAGCCACATATCGTTGCTTTCGAAGGGATGGTCACCAACCAAAATGGGGAGTTTTACCAACCAAGACTGTGAGTTTAACCAACCAAAATTGGGATTTAACCCAGAAAAAAATGAATTGAATCAGCAAAAAACTGGTACTTCACAATCAAAAATATGGAGGTATCCGAAGTATCCATGAAAAAACAGGATTTAAGCCACCACAAACTGCAATTTCATCTCCCTTAGATCATCGACGATCCAATACTAAACCAGGATTTTGATCGAGAAACATTTAATATTAGAGGAAAAGGATTATATAATCTGGTATATTAACTATTTAACATTATATAATCTGGTATATTAAAAGATCTCAACTATTTGGTATGTAATTGGGGGTCTTTCATTATCAAATAGTTGAGATATGTCGACATTCGTTCCTTAACAACCGTTTAAGCTGCCTCCATCATTGCGGCAATGATGAAGCCATCGTTGCGGCAACGGGCTTGGCTACAATGATGTGGACCGGGATGTTTTTATAAATCACCGTGTCATGGGGACAAAATGTGAATTTAACATAGCCATGGAAAATCCCTCATAAATGGAGGTTTCTAGCTGGGAAAATCATCTATAAATGGGCCTTTTTCCATGGCTATGTTAAATAACCAGAGGGTAATAACTTGTATAACTTATAACTGTTTAACTAACTTGCGCATCAACCTTTCCACTTTTGGAGGGATATTGTGAACAACAAAATGACACCCATTGATCATGATGAGCAATAAGGACAAATATGTTTGCCCCTTTGCCATTTGAGCATGTCAGCCTGTCAGCAACGGCTTGGCGCCTCCTTGTACTTGCGACGATTGCGACGGAGCTGCTTCCTGATCGGCCATCACAACGAGTATCGCAACTCTGAAAAAAACCAACGTTCTTAGCTTAATGTGGTAAACTCAACACTCAACCCCAAAAAATCAGCATTTTGATGGGTCAGCATTTTTTTGGTAGGTTTATGGCCAGGGCCAACATTAGGGTAGTTGAATGATCTCCCCATGGGTCAACCAGCTGGTCCTCAGAAGCCTTCGTTCCTCGGCAGCCTGCAGGCACTCCCGATCCTGAGGCGACCCGAAGCTCACCATTTTGCCATAAAACCAACGCCGTAAACGTACCATAAAACGTACCATGTTTCGATGTCTGCGATGGTTTATGGCACCCATCTATGGTAATATTGGGGATGGTTGGAATGGTTTACTATTTGCGAGATTTGCCAGCATTAAGCGATATCATCTCTTTAGGTGTTTAATGGTTTTTACATCTACAGCTCATAGCTGAACAAGTTGAACATTCCCTGCCTCAGTGCTGAGCAAATCCTTCGACAGACTGCGCCGCGAGAGCTGCGAGAGCCTGGGACTTGATGCCAAAACCTTGATCCCACTGTAACTGGCGGCCATTCGGATGTAGCCAGATGTAGCCAGTCAATTTAGGTCCTTTTGCGTTCCCAAAATCCTATAAAACCCTCACCTTCACAAGAAAAGAGCACCAGTTTTATATGTTTTCTGTCAAATCTTCCTGGGAAATCATCTTGACATATCTTGACATCAACCCGCCAGATCTGTTTCGCCTCGAATCCCTGCTGAGCTCAGAAGTCCGAGAACTGGCATTGGATCGTGCCGGAGAAGGTGCCTTAGGTGTCGCACCAGGCGGGGTTTCCTCCCTTTCGACTGGGATCTTGTACCCCGGGCGAAGCCAAGGACAAACTTCATCAGTCATTTGTCGCATTCGCCCATCCATTTTTGGGGGGCCTGATAATTAAATCATGTCTATGTTCAACAACCTCAAAAGAAAACGTGTCAATCGGGAAGATGGCAATGTTCAAAACCACCAGCCAGCCACTGGAGCAGTACATCTGTTGGGCTTCAGGCCACTCCTCGTTCAATGGAGGAACCAAAGGCAAACTTCCGCATGGGCGAATCCAGGCGAGCCAACCTGGGAAAACGGCAGCTGCCTAGGGCCTAGGTTGACCCTCACTGACCATTTTGAGGGGATCAAGCCCGAAACCTAAGGATTGGGATCAAAATTCGGGTGCCAATGGAGCCCTCTATAATTGCTCCTGCTTAGAAAGCCGCCATTTTGGATGTTCAATAATTTTGACCGTCCTGGCTATGGATCACAATCTGGTAACCTTCTGTTCACATCAAGAAATATGGAAAATCATAGGTTTTGACCCATTTCCATCTCTCCATGTTTGTTGCTCAAACCCCAATTATTGTGGATTAGATCCCATTTTTGGTGGCTCAAATTGCCTGGAGAAACCCATTTTTAGTTGTTGATTCAACCCCAATCTTTGGACTCAGCGCTGAATTGCACCGGCTGTGTCCCCAACGACATGCGGCTCAAGTAGTGTTCCACTGCCACCTAGGTGCTAGCCGGCCATTCCTCATGCATTAGTGTAGGAAAATGATCTCCCCAACCATGGAGCCGACCCTATCAGTGGCTGGTCATCTTTCACCACCAGCTGGGCCGATCTTCGCCCGCCGGCCTGCTCCTTTTCTGGCATGCCACGGCCCGGAGTCATTGAGCGCGATTGTGGTCGCCTCGTCACCGTGTCAGGGCCCCAGTTCCGATGGAAACCATCCAATCGCCTGGTTGATGATTTTATGCAGCGGCCATGAGTATCTGATAGTATCTGTATCAAGACAGATGATCCAATCAATATTTAATCAACCAAATTTTGAAGGTAAAGGAAAAATTCCGCATTGTATAAACCTTCTGCGAATTTCAAAAGCAGAAATTTCCCCCCACGAGAACATTCATTTACATATATATATATATACATGTATATATATGTATATGCATATATATATAGTTGTCTTCCATAACCATCAACAAATCCTGAGTTCAGGATATCGCCTGGTTGGTGTGCCCTGCGGTGTCCATTCGCGGGAGGATGAGCAGCTTCGAGACCTGCACATGGTGCAGTGAGCAGAGATGAATAAAGGTTGAAAATGACCACTTTAGTCACTAAATGTCACTAAGTTATCTCAAGTTTAGAGGATTTTATGCAAGTCGATTTTTGTCTGGGTTTGGAATCCAATTGACGGATAATTGACGGATACCAAATCTTTGTAGGACTTCACTAAAATCTCATTTCGGGTGGTAAATGGATGTTCCCCCTGAAAATTTGTCAAGATTCTGACCCGTATTGGATTGGATCGTCACCTGGAACGCTCTTCAGTTCGAAGACGAGGCCCCTGAGGCACCGTGGGCTGAAATTCCTTGCCCCAGAATTGCCTCGAAGTTCGCTCGAAGAAAAGTTTTTTATGTGTCGCTTCAAGGCATTTCCACTTACAAAAAACCACTCTGAAAATGAAAAAAAAAGTTTCCGTGATGTTCATCTGAGGGTTGGTGCTGACGATCAACCCATGACGCATGGCCCCCTTGAAATCGCAACGGGTCCAAGGGCACGACTTGGTTTCAGTGTCTTGACGCAAGCTGGTGGACCATTCATGACGAGAGTAGCGCTCGCGTTCACCTTGAGCAGTTGGATTTCCGGTATCTACCCTCTGGTAATTTAACGTAGCTATTGAAAATGACCATTAATAGTGGATTTTCCCATTAAAAATGGTGGATCTTTCCATAGCTATGTTAAATTACCAGAGGGTAGATGGGCAAGATCCAGCAGTGACACAGTGGTAGCTTTGATAAGTGCAGCACGTCCACGGGCCTGGCGGAAACAGCCGCATGGGATGTATAGAAAAATATGAAGGTTTTAACTCCCTGATTCTACGGGTACTTCGTTGGAGAACCCCTTTGGAGTTGAACATTTTGAATTGATTTGGTTGAATCATAAGGAGACTCACATTTTTACTATCATATGGTTTGAAAACTCTTGGTAGTTCCCGCTCTCCCCTTTCAATACGGCATATCGATACAACCATAGCTCCTTTGCCCCCTCCTTATATATATATATACATACTTTTATTTATATACAAATATAGTCATAGAAATATCATATATACATGCATATATCCAACACCCCCAGCCAAGAGCAAGGGAAGCGCGTCAGCGAAAAAAGGCACCATGCTGAAGCCGTAATGCCATGTTTCATTGCGAAGCCAACTTTAGTGCCATGATAGGCATCAAGTTGGGAAGTGCAGGATCAAACCAGCGATGCCTCGCTGTGTGTGTGGTGTAGCCTGCAGCTAGCTTTAGCTACCTGGGGGCGCTTCATGAAGGATTCCTATTTTCCATTATTTTCCTTATCATTTCGGTCCTTCTTTTACCTCTAGCCCCATCTTATCACCTGTTACGCCGGCAGCAGAGGCGCGCAGCGGGTAAAACCCGTAAAATAATTATCATATTGGTGCTTCTTCTTTGTGGTTAACTGGTAAAATACTTATAAATAGAGAAAAATATTTTTAAAATATATGAGAAGTAAGAGCAAAAAGAAGATCCACGAGATTTAATAGAAGCACCAATAATAATAAGAAAATAATTTAATTAGAGAAAGAAAAAAACAATAAATTACAGCACGCGTAAATATTAAATGTAAAATGTAAAAATAAGAGAAATGGCCGACCCCCCAAAATCCTTCACTCCGGTGATGTTTTCACGTTTTTCGGGGTCCGGGGTGGGAAAAAAATAAAATAAAGATGCTTTTTGGAGGTCCATTTTGGGCACTTTTTGGCAGATGTTTGCTGTTTTTTTTTGGCGCTTGCCAAGAGTTCTTCTCGCAACATGCTGAAAACTGCGTAAATACCAGTGCTTTTGCTAGGCGCGAGCCAAAAAACATTGTAAATACCGTGATGTTTGTTACAAGAGGCAAAAAACATCGTAAATACCGTGGTCTTGGGCTTCCGAAGCGCAAAAAAACAGCGGCATGTACGATGTTTTTTGCTCTGAGAGTGTCAAAAAACAACAACCCCACCTATGTGACGATTTTTAGGGGGCCACAAAAATGCGAAAATAAGATGTGTTGCAAGAACAACAAGAACAAGAACAACAACAACAACAACAGTTGCTACAACAACAACAACAACAACAACAACAACAACAACAACAACAACAACAACAACAACAACAACAGTTGCAACAACAACAACAACAACAACAACAACAACAACAACCAGAAGCACAAAAATGCCACAAAAATGCGACAAAAAGATGTGTTACAAGCTGCGGTATGACAAGAACATCATACTGTGCTCTGCACCCGCGCGCACGCGCCGTGCTCATGAACAACACCAAGGCTCACACTACCATCATAACCCTTATGGCATCGAGAGTGTGCGAAGCTCTACAATACGTACTGCATAGATATATATACTGTGTATATATATATATATCCCAGAGTATTCCATTATGTCCCATGATATCCCGCTATATACCAACATATCCCAGGACATCCCGTTACATCCCATTTACATCCAATTTACATCCCAGTATGTATATATATATATATATACAATGTTTATTTCCAGTACATCCCTCCAGTGATATCTAATGATATCCCATGATATCTTTTTGTTGTACGATGTTATCTGTTATCCTACAAATACTTTCCATTCTACCCCCATAAAATGCTACTTGGATGTGCATCCCACGAATCGGATCCGTGGTTTATAATCCATAATATATATGTATATATATAAGATTATATAAGCCATGGTTCATACCATATAATCCAGTGGTGATATTCCATTCATCTAACTTGGGTTTTTTGGCCGATTTACTAAGTTGTCCCGCACCCCCAAGTATAAGCAGCTAATAAATGGGATCGACCTCGGAATTGGGGATTTACTAAGTGGGTCCGGATCCTTCAAGTAGTACTCGGTACCTCCAGGTAAAAGATGACTAAGATTATCTAAGATTACTAGAGTATCGAAGTAAGGTTGATCTAGTATCTGTTATCCCAAGTTATCCTACAAATACTTCCGATTCTATCACCATTTTTCGGTCGTCCGCCTCGGATGGCGCCACATTTGGAAGCTGTGCGGGCGTGGAGCGTTGAGATGCCACCCAGGCCTCGATTGGGAGGGTACCATTGAAGTATCAATAATAAATGGCTATATGGGGGTACCCTCCCAATACTTCAATGACTATTGGAAATGACTATTGGAGGAGTACCCCCCTATTTTTTATAAACCATGGCTTAGCTTGTGCAAATGTATCGTACTTTCGTCGCAGAATGTGATTCATTCCGTGCACGGACATCAAAAAGAAGCGGCTAAGCCAAAAACTCTGGATGGATAAGACACTGATGGGGCCCATGGATTAGGAAAACCGTCCTGTACGAGGCCAATCAATTTTTCGTACGTGGCAAAAAGATCTCGCGGGAGAAAAGTCCCATCCCTATCTTGGATTTGCTTCAAATCATCATTATAATTATATATATACTAATATACATATAAATACATGACAATATAGTGTATATATATACACATGTATATATATATACAACTATATAAAATACACATATGTAATATTGCGTAATATTTATATATACACTAATCCCATCCCTTTAAATTCCCCAAAATGTTGGAATGGTCAGCCAATCCAGGCCATGCGCCTGCAGCGATGGTTCAAGCTTGCGGCAACGAACCGGTGATGGAGCCTTGGTGCCAGGGCTATCGTGGCTACCATCGCGAGTTTCTTCGGATGGGTTTCCTAAGTCATAGGCACCCCAAATCATCCAGTCGTGACCATGACTTGGTATTGAAACCCGTGGTTGAAATGGGATCCATTTGGAGAAACCCACATATTGAAACCTTCCAATTGGGAGAATGTTGACCCTGTTGATCCGTACCCAAACAAAGAATGTTTGGAAGGGCTGGTGGTATTTCTAGGATCATTTTTACCTGTGACAAAACCATCTGTTGTGGATGTTGAGCCGTCTTCACACTGAGTTGGAGGCCAGAATTGGGTGACTTTTCGCTTCCGGCGTCTCCTCGGGCGCCATTTCACAGGATTGTCATCATTTTTCCCCATGAAAATGGAAAAACATTGAAAAACATTACCCCTTTTCTGCTCAAACCCAGATAAGTCGTTTATCAACTAATGTGCCCAAATCGTTACCCATCATTGTTGATTGAGTTCCCACATGGGAAAAACCCATGGTGTCCTTCTTCTCAGCAGTCGTCAGAAGCTTTGGATTTTCCTCGACGCCAACAAAATGGCGAGTTGGGACTTTTCACCAATGGCTACGACTCCAATTTGGGGGACTATATAGAATTCAATTTGAAAAGTGGGCACTTGAAGTGCTTCAATGGGACCAATCATCTGCAGTCTGCTTATTCCAGTGGGATGGTCTTTTGCTCCATTTTGAAACCCATCCCAAAACAGTTCAACTACAGGCAAGTCCTCTGGTGTGGCATTTCGCTCGCGCAAGACCATGTTTGGACTCGGAACACAGCTGCTGTGACTCTTCAGTCTGGGAGAATTAGGTCAAGACATAGCCGCTATGCCGCTATGCCCAATGGGCAAGCAATGAATTGCATTTTGGGCAAACCATTTTGGACAGCCAGGTCTTGCCATGCCCCCGCCTTGAGATGTCGGCCATGGCTTAAATCGGTCAAACCCAAGCGCGCTGATGTCTGCTGTTTGAAAGGGGCTGAGATGCCAAAAATGTTCCAGAAGATGTTCCAGCACCAATTTCTCAAAATCATCCAGATTTTATAGTGGTTAATAATGGTTAATGGTGGTTAATAGTGGTTAATAATGGTTAATAGTGGTTGAATTTTATAGATGGGATTTCTTGTATGAAAATATCCCAAACCTTTAAAACCCAGAAGAGAAAACGGACTTTACAAGCAAGACCCTGCGCTTTCAGTGTCAAGATTTCCATCCCTTTGGCAGATCAAACTTGAAAACCCACCATGAAGAGATATATATATAACATATCATATTATATATATATATATATATGTATAACGTATGTTATATAATTATATATATATGTATTCAATAAATCCAATGAAATACAATACACTATAACATAACATAATATAATCTAGTCTAGTATAATATGATATAATATAACGTATACATATTATATTATAGTTCAATATACTATAAGATAGAATGATATGATATAATATACTATAATAACACATAACATAACATAATATAATATATATATAATGTGTATAAATCTATTTACATTGGGGGTTTTCCACCCATCCATTCATCCCAGCCTCGCGAGGCCATGACCCAAATGTCCCAGGCCGCTGCCGAGCTCCAGGACTCGTTTGCCCCGCAGCGCCTTGCCACGCTCCGGCGCCTCGTGGCCACAGCTGTTCGCGAAAAAAGACATGAAAAATGGGGATTTTCCCATGAAAAATGTGGATTGTCCCATGAAAAATGGTGATTTTCCATAGTTTTTTGGATGTTTACCAGAGGGTAAGCAGGTAAAAATCCCAGTTTCTGGGCAGCGCAAATGCGGAACACGGCAAGCTGATTGGGTTCAAGTTGGCAACACGGGAGACGTGATCCGGAGAGAGGTCTGCAGAGTTGGTTTCGACCAGCGAAACCCGAAACCCGAAACCCGAAACCGACTCTGAAGACTTACCTTCCCCAGGACCGATCGAAACCCGAAACCCGAAACCCGAAACCCGAAACCGACAGCGAAAGTTGGTTTCAAGCGACGAAACCCGAGACCGAACCCGACCGAAACCGACTGAAGACTTAACTTCCCCAGGGCCGATCGAAACCCGAAACCCGAAACCCGAAACCGACTCTGAAGACTTACCTTCCCCAGGACCGATCGAAACCCGAAACCCGAAACCGACTCTGAAGACCTTCTCCAGGGCCGATCGAAACCCGAAACCCGAAACCCGAAACCGACTCTGAAGACTTACCTTCCCCAGGACCGATCGAAACCCGAAACCCGAAACCCGAAACCGACAGCGAAAGTGGGTTTCAATCGACGAAACCCGAAACCCGAAACCCGAAACCGACAGCGAAAGTTGGTTTCAAGCGACGAAACCCGAAACCCGAAACCCGAAACCCGAAACCCGAAACCGACTCTGAAGACTTAACTTCCCCAGGGCCGATCGAAACCCGAAACCCGAAACCCGAAACCCGAAACCGACTCTGAAGACTTACCTTCCCCAGGACCGATCGAAACCCGAAACCCGAAACCCGAAACCGACTCTGAAGACTTAACTTCCCCAGGGCCGATCGAAACCCGAAACCCGAAAGCGACAGCGAAAGTGGGTTTCAATCGACGAAACCCGAAACCCGAAACCCGAAACCCGAAACTGACAGCGAAAGTTGGTTTCAAGCGACGAAACCCGAAACCCGAAACCCGAAACCCGAAACCGACTCGAATCCGACTTTTGGGTGGCTCTCCGGATCGGAACTCCAACACGGCAAGTAGCCTGTAAGTAGTACAAAAGCACCAATGAAGCGTGCCAAATGTAGTTGCCATCTGGACGTTCCTGCGCAACTTCGCAAATTTGGCACCTGATCTGATGATCGACTCATGAAAACAACATCGTTACTTTCATGAGTTGTGTCCGTGCGCAAGTCCTCAAAATCATACTTGAAGGTTGGAGCCTGTGCGAGACAGCACAAGGGATTCGGAAGAGGACATCTGTCGATTTTTTCTTAGTTTCCCACCTCACTCATCAAGTCGTGGGAGTTCCCATCGCACGTTGCAGTAGAGAACAGACTTGTAGGGACTTGCAACAGGGCAACACAGAAGGTTTGAACATGTCTAAACATCACCAAAGGATATCGTGTGTGTTGAAACAGTATATAGGATGGATTCTTTGTCTCAATCTCGCTTGAAGTACAGCGTACATGTTTAGCCTTTTCAGTCCTTTTCACCTTTCAGACAATGACGGGCTGGAGCCAAAAGTGGCCAAACGTAGATACAGCTGCTAAGAGGTAAAGCTTCAGACACTGAGACGGAAACCTCGAACAAGTCATGCCGAGAGAGATGCTGTGAGACTGCTATGCAATGCTCTGTGAAAACGTCCCTTTTCATTTTTCTTGGCGGGAAGATCGGACGGCACTCCCACCCAAAGTGGCGAAACAAACAACATAGAGATCAATAGAGGTGCTTGGCAAACTATTCAGCTGAACAAAAATATCTAACAATATATTGGTATAGCGTGAATCAAAGGGATCCGTTCATCAAACTCTGCCCTGCTTTGAGCTGTGGCCTCAACCGCTTGGCCATATCGATCACGGCAAGGCTCAGGCCTTCAGCATCACTGTTCAACCTGGCTGGACAAAAAAAACATGGCTGTCGGTTGGTGCCACTGTCATGAGTAATGTCAACTCTGGATTAATAAACCATGGTTTATTAATTAGGGGGGTACTCCTCCAATAGTCATACTCCAATACTTAAATGGTACCCTCCCAATTAAACAGCCGTTTGGGGTTTATTAATCCGGGGTTGACATTAACCATCCCCTGAAATTTATGATTCCAAAAAAAAAGGATGAGGATAATATCCACTGAGATGGCTACTGGACAATATGATTTACACATCCACTGAGATGGGTCATATGCTTGGCATCTGAGTACCTGAGTATCCGGAGTTGCCTGCGGACGGCGGACGCTTGGCACGTCTCTTTGGCCGTTTCTTTGGTTGAATCTGCCTGGCGATGATCGGATGATTCCGACATTTGATGGGAGATTTGAAAGCCTTGGCTCGCCAAAAAGGTAAACTATGGGTAAACTACATCTGGATTTCACTAAAAATAGGCTACCCCAAAATCTGAGTAATCATCCTTAATCATGATGCCTATCCTATTGAAATGGCAGGTGGTTCAAACAAAGTTCATCACAGAGCCTCCTTCGCCACTCGTTCCAGTCCTGGAGAACGACGACATCCCTCTGGGAAATTTAAGAGGAAAATCCTTGAAATTTTGGAATTCGGCCCAATCCATATGGTTTCCTGTAAATTTTTGCCAGCCGAGTGACATCGAGTGACCCTTGGCAGTACATTGAAAATCTGTGAGAACTAAGATCCTTTCTTCAGCTGAAGACGTTCAGTCTGCACCAATCTGGGGGGATGATCTCAAATGATACTCCAATCTGGCTGGTTGCGCAAAGAAAAACTGAAAATACACAAACCTGATAATCTTGGAAAAACACCCCCTTGTTGTTTGATTAAAACGTGCTCAAACCCCATTTCCCCACTGTCGGTTGGCCAAACCTTTCACTAGTGACCCCCACTTCCCCCAGTACTGAAAACTGTGTCCTCCTGTTTCGGTTTCGCATCCACAGCAGTTTGCTTCGCGGCCTCATATTCGTCATCCCAAGATTATCAGGAAAGCCTTCTAATTTGTATGTAAAACCACTCTTGAAGGGGGGGATGACCATCCTCTTTTATGGTAAAATAGACCATGTTTTGACCATGACACGTCCATTTTCGGGCAAAATGAATGATTCGGACGACTGCGCTCTTCGCCTCATCTTTCGCTTCTGCTTCTTTTTCTGCACGAGACTTACCACCAACATTCCTCGGCAACAGGACCCGTGTGCCCTGGGCGATGAGATCTCCTGATCCTGATGCTGATGACGCTGATGACGCTGATGATGCTGATGATGATGATGCTGATGATGATGATGGTGATGGTGATGATGATGATGATGATGATGCTGATGATGATGATGCTGATGATGATGATGCTGATGATGATGATGCTGATGATGCTGATGATGATGATGATGATGGTGATGATGATGATGATGGTGATGATGATGATGGTGATGATGGTGCTGATGATGATGCTGATGATGATGCTGATGATGATGACGCTGATGACGCTGATGCTGATGATGCTGATGATGATGATGCTGTTGATGCTGGTGATGCTAATGACGCTGATGATGATGATGATGATGATGATGATGCTGATGATGATGATGCTGATGATGATGCTGATGATGATGATGCTGATGATGATGATGATGATGCTGATGATGATGATGCTGATGATGATGATGATGCTGATGATGATTAGATGCTGATGATTGTCATTATTATTATGATTATGAGGATGATGATGATGATGATGATGATGCTGATGATGATGATGCTGATGATGATGATGCTGATGATGATGATGATGCTGATGATGATGATGATGCTGATGATGATGATGCTGATGATGCTGATGATGATGGTGATGATGATGCTGATGCTGATGATGATGATGATGCTGATGACGCTGATGACGCTGATGCTGATGATGCTGATGATGATGATGCTGTTGATGCTGGTGATGCTAATGACGCTGATGATGATGATGATGATGATGATGATGATGCTGATGATGATGATGATGATGCTGATGATGATGATGCTGATGATGATGCTGATGATGATGATGCTGATGATGATGATGATGATGATGATGCTGATGATGATGATGATGCTGATGATGATGATGCTGATGATGATGATGCTGATGATGCTGATGATGCTGATGATGATGATGATGATGATGCTGATGATGATGATGCTGATGATGATTGTGATGATGATGCTGATGATGATGATGATGCTGATGATGATGATGATGCTGATGATGATGATGATGATGCTGATGATGATGCTGATGATGATGATGCTGATGATGATGATGATGCTGATGATGATGATGCTGATGATGATGATGCTGATGACGATGATAAAGATGATGATGATGATGATGGTGATGATGATGCTGATGATGATGATGCTGATGATGATGATGATGCTGATGATGATGATGATGCTGATGATGATGATGCTGATGATGCTGATGATGATGGTGATGATGATGCTGATGCTGATGATGATGATGATGCTGATGACGCTGATGACGCTGATGCTGATGATGATGATGATGATGCTGTTGATGCTGGTGATGCTAATGACGCTGATGATGATGATCATGATGATGATGGTGATGATGATGACGCTGATGACGCTGATGCTGATGATGCTGATGATGCTGATGATGATGATGCTGTTGATGCTGGTGATGCTAATGGCGCTGATGATGATGATGATGATGGTGATGATGATGACGCTGATGACGCTGATGCTGATGATGCTGATGATGATGATGCTGTTGATGCTGGTGATGCTAATGACGCTGATGATGATGATGGTGATGATGATGATGGTGATGATGATGATGCTGATGATGATGATGCTGATGATGCTGATGATGATGATGATGCTGATGATGCTCATGGTGCTGATGCTGATGATGATGATGCTGATGATGATGATGATGATGCTGGTGATGCTAATGACGCTGATGATGATGATGGTGATGATGATGATGATGCTGATGGTGCTGATGATGATGATGATGATGCTGATGATGCTGATGGTGCTGATGGTGCTGATGATGCTGATGATGATGCTGATGATGCTGATGATGATGATGATGATGATGCTGATGATGCTGATGATGATGATGATGATGATGCTGATGATGATGATGATGATGATGCTGATAATGCTGATGATGCTGATGATGCTGATGATGCTGATGATGATGATGGTGATGATGCTGCTGATGATGATGCTGATGATGATGAAGATGCTGGTGGTGATGATGCTGATGATGCTAATGATGCTGGTGACGCTGATGACGCTGATGATGACCATGGTTATGATGATGATGCTGATGATTCTGATGATGCTGATGATGCTGATGATGCTGATGATGCTGATGATGCTGATGACGCTGAAACTGATGACGCTGATGATGACGATGATGGTGATGATGATGATGGTGATGCTGATGATGATGCTGATGATGCTGATGATGATGATGATGATGCTGATGACGCTGATGATGCTAATGACGCTGATGATGATGCTCATGATGGTGCTGCTGATGATGATGATGGTGATGCTTATGATCATGACGGTGATGATGATGCTGATGATGATGATGATGCTGATGATGATGATGATGCTAATGATGCTGCTGATGATGATGATGATGAAGATGATGATGATGCTGATGATGATGATAATGATGATGATGATGCTGATGATGATGCTGCTGATGATGATGCTGCTGATGATGGTGATGCTGGTGATGCTAATGATGCTGCTGACGCTGATTGCGCTGATGACGCTGATGCTGATGATGATGATGATGATGATGATGCTGCTGATGATGATGATGATGCTGATGATGCTGGTGATGCTAATGTTGTCGATGATGATGATGATGATGCCGATGATTATGATGGTGATGATGCTGATGATGATGATGATGATGGTGATGATGATGATGATGATGGTGGTGATGATGATGATGCTGGTGATGCTGATGACGCTGATGATGATGCTGATGATGCTGATGATGCTAATGACGCTGATGATGATGATGATGATGATGATGATGCTGATGATGATGATGATGATGCTGATGATCAGATGATGGTGAGATGATGATGCTGATGATGCTGATGATGATGATGATGCTGATGATGATGATGGTGATGCTGATAATGATGATGATGCTGGTGATGATGATGATGATGCTGGTGGTGGTGATGATGATGCTGCTGCTGATGATGCTGGTGATGCTAATGACGCTGATGATGATGATGGTGATGATGATGATGCTGATGGTGCTGATGATGATGATGATGATGCTGATGATGCTGATGGTGCTGATGGTGCTGATGATGCTGATGATGATGCTGATGATGATGATGATGATGCTGATGATGATGATGATGATGCTGATAATGCTGATGATGCTGATGATGCTAATGATGCTGATGATGATGATGGTGATGATGCTGCTGATGATGATGCTGATGATGATGAAGATGCTGGTGGTGATGATGCTGATGATGCTAATGCTGGTGACGCTGATGACGCTGATGATGACCATGGTTATGATGATGATGCTGATGATTCTGATGATGCTGATGATGCTGATGATGATGATGATGATGATGATGCTGGTGCTGGTGCTGATGCTGATGCTGATGATGCTGCTGATGATGCTGATGATGCTGATGATGATGATTATGAGGATGATGATGATGATGATGATGATGATGATGATGATGCTGATGATGCTGCTGATGATGCTGATGATGCTGATGATGATGATGATGATGATGATGATGATGATGATGATGATGATGACGCTGATGATGATGATGATGATGATGATGATGATGATGATGTTGATGCTGGTGATGCTAATGACGCTGATGATGATGATGGTGATGATGATGATGGTGATGATGATGATGATGATGATGATGATGATGATGATGTTGATGGTGATGGTGATGGTGATGGTGATGGATCAATGCATCAATCATCGACCCAAGGAAAACCTGCCCCGAACGGCCCAGCTGCAAATGTGACCCCAGGATCCCAACTGAACAAATCTGCGAGCTTCGGCAAATTATGGCTGTACCAAAAGGCGGTCCCCGGGTCCCCAAATCCGCTGATCATCTCTCCGCTGGTTTCACAAGTGTTTGTCCGGAGGGAAATCTCTCACCCGAGAGTTATCTTGAGCCAGTGCACCTAAAGACACCTTCTGTTCGTGCTCCCAACTCGATGCACCACCCCTGGCAGTGTTGAATTCAAAGTTGGAACCCCTCAAAACCATGGGTGATTCAAAAAACGACAAAACAAATGTGGTTTGGGGGTCCCCAATTTGAAGAAAACCTATGGATAGTGCTTGGTGAGTTGAGGTTCAGTCAGTCGCCAACTTCGAACGAAGCGAAAGCCTCGATGCCGAATCGCTCCACGTCTAACTCAGGCTTGATGCCTGGAAACACACCACTGGAGGATCCAGTTCTCTCACGAAAAAATTACATCGTCGTCCATGGGATATGATCAAATCCATGGGGAAAGCGCCGAGCGCCGCTGCTGATCCGCCTACGATTCGCATGCCGAGTGGAGATTGTCCAAGGCGTCTGGCCTGGCGTTGATGATTCCCGAGGAACTGCAGATTGCCAGTGAAAATTGACCAATGGTCCAATGGTGATCGTCGCCGGCCTGTTTCAAGGCTTCCTGCTTCACAGCAGCAATGGAAGCCTCCACAAGATCAGTGTCCATCGTTTCAACATCGAGTCAGATAACATAGTGAGGACACCACACTCCTGCTATGCAACTATGGAATTGTTTCAGGGTTCCTCCAACTCATGAATACACCTCCGGATGGTCAATTGCGTGACCCTAGGAAAAAGCAAACAATTCAGTCTCTCAGGAGGAAAATATTCCCTATGATTGCAAGCTATCATAAATCATCATCTACAATCGAACAACCATATAAGATAGAAACAAATAAATGATGAAATAAAGAAACAATATATTCATTTAGAGAAAAAACTACATATTATTACATATATATATATGTATTGTTTATATATGTGTGTATATATACATATATATATATGCTATACACGTACTTATAAATCATCCACTTTGAGAGCCGCCTGCACTCCATGGAGGTAGCCAGCTTTCACACAGGCGGAGGTGGAGTAGGTGCTATCCGTCAGGTAGATGTCCAATGCCCCGTGCAGGCCTAATGCCTGGCTTGATGTTGAAGTCAATATCAGTAGGGAACACTTGTATTTTATTAATGTATTCATATAACTGCATGTACATACATTATATATATATATGTGGAATTGTATATCCATGTTTATATAGATATATACATATTTCGTTTCTGTACTTATTATAAATATATATATAAGGCGGTAAATGATATTGGTTGATGGGGATCGGGATCGGGTTTGAATTTTCACCCAAAAATATGCTTCGCCTTGTTTGCTTGAGTACCCTTGGATGTATGATACCTATCGGATCATCTATGAGGATAACAGCGAGCTACACCAGTTATTTCTTCAACAACATATTAAGTATTCGACCCACACCACGCAGCAACAGCAGTATATAATTGCAACAACTGCAGTAACTGTGAACAGTAGGAGTAGTAGCTAGCATATGATGGCAAGTAGGTGCAAGTAGAACTAGTCGCTCACACTGCAATTAGAACCTGCAAATTGCCTATCACAATGTCCACAATGTCCACAACTAAGGGGATAATAAGCAAGAATAGCTTCATCCATGTCATATAAAACCACTAGATATGGATCAAGGACTTAGTTCTCCTGTGCCTTCCGTTCTGACTGATAAAGGGATGTTGTGACAACCATCAAATCACCGTGTTTTTCACTCTTCGCGTCCCAAGGAAATAAAGTATAGCAACCTACACAATAGAAAAGTATGATATTGTATATATATAATCCAATCCTAGAATAGTACTATCTACTTTTCTATCTTTGAGGACATTCCTATACTTTTTCTCATGTTTGTTGATCTGTTCATAAAATTCCGCCTTATCTTTCTGGCACTCGGGACCTGAGGGATGTTGGTGGACAGCACCATGCCCGGTACAGCTCCCCGACCTGCGCTGCGGTCAGCTTCTAGACCCGAAAGCCATTGGGAAATGCAGATCTGAGGCACAGACTCAGATTGCCGAAGCACGCAGATGCCTTGTGACAGGCCACTTGCCGAATCACTTTCAAAATCAGCAAAAAATCGAAGCTGGTTGGTTTCAACCCATCCCAGAAATCTCAATCTTTCATCTTGAGAAACCAGCTTTCCCGTAATATGTTCGAGTATTATTCCAAGTTGATACTCTCAAATTCAGTTGCTTGATCTCCACTGTTTCAAAAAAAAATGGAATCCAATGGCTGATCCAATGGCTGATCCAATGGCTCCTTGCTATCGGCGAATCGCACGGGATTGTTCAGGGAGTAGGCAACTCCTCCACCGACCAATGAGCCGTGCAAGGCACAGACACCGGGGATGGCCATCCTCGGCGGAAACGGCCCGGAAAAGGCCGGAGGTGGCCCACTCAACGGGATTCCGCTTGGGTAAGGATGAATTATTGAAAGATATGGAGGGGATATATATTATATTATATTATATTATATTATATTGTATTATATTATATTATATTATATTATATTGTATTGTATTATATTATATTATGTTTTATTATATTATATTATATTATATATTATATTATATATTATATATTATATATTATATATTATATATTATATATTATATATTATATATTATATATTCTATATTATATATTATATATTATATATTATATATTATATATTATATATTATATATTACATATTATATATTATATATTATATTTATATATTATATATTATATATTATATATTATATATACATTATGTAGTATTTGCCCAAGGATAATAATAGTAATAATAATAAGAATCATATGTACTATTCCCATACTACTATCATTCGGAAATCATTAGGGTAGCATGGGATACTCATCAACCAACAGGGCTCAACATCTCGATCCAAAACGAATCTAGGGCCATCGGACTCTCTGCAGCGAATAAACGGCAGGTAGCCAGCATACCTCAGCAACATGAATGACTCATTTTTCCAAGGTGTAAAACTTTTTGGGGGGCTCCATAGTCATGGGGTACCCCAATAGCTGAATGGTTCGTAATGGCTAAATCCCCCCAAAAAAGATGTATGATTTGGGGGCTATCCCCATTTTAGGAAGCCTCCAACTGCACATGGCTTGGCAGACCAGGGGCTGGTTCACGGTGAGAGCGATGTGTCCGGGGTACAACTTTGGATTTGGATTACCACCTGCGAAAAAACCGGGTCTGTCTGGAAATTGTAAATTGGTATTCACAAGTTGAGGCTTTGTCATCACTTTTCCCTATAGATAAAGATGGATCTGTAGATCTTTAGATAGGTCTATAGATTGATAGATTGATACATATCATATAGAGACAGATAAAATAAGATAAGATGGGATAGGATAAGATAAGGTAAGGTAAGACACGGCAAGGTCAGATATGATGAGATCTATGAGATCTATGATATCTATGCGTTTTTTAAAGATCTTTAAGATCTATAAGATCTATAAGATCTATACGATCTATAAGATCTATACGATCTATAAGATCTATAATCAGATCTACAATCAGATCTATAAGATCTATAAGACCTATAAATACCTATAAGATCTATAAGATCTATAAAATAGTATCGGATAGGGATCGGATCGGGTAGGATAGAAATGGCCATAAAATGAGGTACCTCCTGTCGAGCAAACAGTGTTTGTGCGCCTGGGCAGAAGTGAGGCCCGGAGCCCTGAATGACATACGCTAATGGCCTGCCATTTGCCATCGTCCTCAGCGATGCGGAAGAGAAACTCCCCACTATTTGGAGGGAGGTGCACTATTTGGACAGGAACAAGTTGTATTTCACGGTGAAGAAAATGGTTCATGGATTTTGCCCCAAAAGCCATCCATGTAGAAACCTTGGGGGTCGGGTTGGATATCAAAACCTTAGGGAGATCCCATGCAAATAAAGAAGACAGGAACACCAAAAGGTTAGCATCATGGCAATACCGGTCAATCTCAAAAACGTCAGCCAACTGGTGTCAGCCACTGCAGATAGGGATGGGGAGCAAATGATGAAGCCACCACAACCCGCTCATGGCCCAAGTGTTAGCAGCTCCTACCTGGCTGATGAGTCCCTGATGAGTCCCTTGAGTCCCTTGAGCTTTAAACTTGGGACTTTTCAGGAGCTGTATCACAGCATCCATGCCAAACAAGATGTCCTGAGAAGTATCCGGGTCCATCCTGGCGGAACACAGAGTGGCTGCGTTGACCGTGTGTTTTAACATAAAAACGTCCACCGAAAAATGTCAACATCATCAATACATACGTATAATAATATGATTTAATAACAATAATAATAATAATTAATCATCATCATCATCATCAAAAAAGCACCTTCACCTCCATTCACAATACTTCTTTCGAAGTGACTGGGAAAAGATCTGTATCAGGCATACGTATTGCTAGCAAACATGGCAGCTGGGCATGTTGAAGGTGGCCTGCGCATTCAGTTCCTGCCGTCGGTCGAGATTTGGACATGGGATACCAAATGGTGTGCAGTTCCACAGCTACCAGAGCACATAGAATAAATTCAATGACTTTTTCGGGTAAGTTGAAAATTGAAAAAATATAGAGCCAAAAAAAAAAAACGTTGACGGGAAAACTCGCAGATAGAATTGATGTTGCTGTTTCGTTGCAGCATTGAATATTCTATCTGTTAATCCGTGTATGTGTGTATATATATATATGATTTTCCGGAAATTTTGATCAAATTCGCCTTTATCATCATTTTTTTCATGATTTATCTACTGAACTATTCTATCTGTTGGTTTCCCCAAGGGTACAGCTATTTCCGTACATTGTCATTTTGGATTAAGCATCAGTGACCCAGACATTCATATTAACCGATGAAAACATTCGAGTTTGTTGTTGTTTCTGTTCACATTGTGTCTTACCATTGCACTGTATGCATTTATCAAGATCATTTTGTTCCGGCTCTGGTGGCACATTGCCTATAAAAATAGATATATGTCAAGGTGTATCATATATGTTTTCTCTGATGACGTATGGTTTGTTTGTATATATGTGGAATAGATTTGGTATGACAAGGGAAATACATAGCTTGCACATAGATTATTCTATATGTTTAAAGCACCTGAAAAAAAAAACAGGAAAAATGATGCGTTTGAAGTTGTTGTCCAAAAAAATACATATATTTTAGGTCTTGAACAATTCTATCTGCCAGTTTACCCAGATATAAATTTGCACTATTCTATCTGTTGATTTCGAAATCAATGAAATTTTGAATATTCTATATGCTGGTTACTTAATATATATATATATATATCATTAAATTATATTCTATTGTGTTATATTATATAGTATTAAATCATATTATATATATATATATATGTTTATTATGATATATATTATTGTGTACATTATCATATTATGATATTATTCATTATATATAATGATATATATATATACATATATGTTTTATATTATTATATTTATATTATATGTATATTGCATTTATATTATATCATATCATATTTCATATCATATCATATTAATATCATAGTATATTATATCATCATAGTATATAATATCATCATAGTATATAATATCATATCACATCATATTATATAATATAATATTACATTATATTATATTATATTTAAAAAGTGTATATATTATATTATATCATATTATATTAGATTATATTATATCATATTATATTATATCATATCATATTATATTATATTATATTATATCATATCATATTATATTATATTTTGTATTATATTAGAGTATATTATGTGATCTTATATTAAAATAGATTATATTATATATACATATCATATATATATACATATTGTATACATATTGTATACATATGTATATATATAACCATAGTTGTAGGGGTCCCATATGCAGTTGGGTCAAAATTTTGAGACTTAGGGGACTGGGGACTACAGAATTTCGTCTATGAAATTTTGGGTACCCAATGACTTGACCCATACCTCCCGATGGGGTTAAGATCCCGATGTTTACAGCCGTCAGGGGCTCCCAAAACCTCTAACGTTTAAGCCACGCCAGCTGTCCAGCAGAAGGACTGGAGGAGTAGTCTTGGTGACCAGTACTCTGTGGCGAGAATCTTCTGGACAGTCAGGACCTCAAAGATGAGAGACCCAAAACAGTGCCCTTTTTAAAGGGTGTTGTTCTTGGGTCTACCATGGTCTACCATCTAAATCTTCACAATCAAACCAGATGGCATGACCCATACCCAATTTCGTAGAATTCGTGGGGCCCTGCACTGATAAATGGCTTCACCTATTCAACTGCAGATATATCCATCATGAATCCAACTTAAGTATACTTAATTTGAAAACAGAAACCTCTATGGGGGAATTGCTTTTTTGAAACCAAAAAATGGCAAACCAGAAAACATGATAAAGAATGTGTATGACATTTTGGGATGATCCTTCCAACTCTACCCATCATTTTTGGGTCTTTGCCCTCACTCAGGTGGCCAGGCCATACTGAATGGTGTTGATCGGCTTGGCAGAAATGCCCCACATCAAGGCTTGCCCAGGCCCCATAGTCGAGATCTTGCTGTACCTGTCAGTTTCCGAGTTTCCCACCATGGCTTTGTCAACCCCTGACTGAACATGGGCGGATGACCATCCCCCAATGGCCCCAATTGATGGCTTCATCTAATCCAACCACCATGGCACACATTAATTTCCTCTGCAACATCGATCCAGTCATGTGAAAAATCCAGTCTTCAGTGTCTTCAGTGCCTGCTTGGCAGCAAGTGTGCTCCTAGAAGGGCCTCGATGTGACAGAGCCTCCTGGCCCTGGGTTTTTTTCTTCAATACCTACATCAATTACATCAATTACATCAATTACATCTGTAACTGGAGTTACAACATGTTACAACTATCATCAACTATCACTGGGGAGACTCCAAAAACTCGAAAAGTCGAAAAGAACTGAGGCATCCACTCGCCGCCCTTTCTCCAAGGAACCACCCCAGGTCCTTAGTCCCCCATCATGGCAGTTGAGTTTGTCCGAACATGGTGGTAATACACGGGTATACCCTATACATCCCTATACCAGAAATCCGTGTTCAAGAATTGGGTTTACCAGGCCACTCAAAACCACAATCATCATCTTCCCCTTCAAATATTGCCATATAATGTGGTATGCGTCATTTTCAGACTCATTTTGTGTCTGAGCTCAGCTACTCCTCACATGGCTTTGGCTCGACAGGCGCCTCGAGTGCATGGATGTCGACCAGAAGTGGATGAGGCTCAAAATTGGATACAAAATTTTCAAATGTGAGCATACCGTATCCAAATTTTGACCTTCCAATTTGAAATGGTCGAATTCCAGCCCAGAAAACAAGCCTGACCATTTATTCATCAAACTCGACACAAAGTTGAAGTTTCGAAAGCTTTACCCACCAACCAGACCCAGCATACCCAGCATACCCAAGGTCCAAGCCATGCAAGGGCCACGCCGGCGGCGCAGAGGTTTGATCTCATTCTGACTGCGGATGTGGATGCTTTTTTGACCCAGTTGGAAGCATATATCAAGTGGGAGAATGTGGAGTCTTCCTAAAATGAGGGTAGCCCCAAATCATCAAATCATCCACTTGGACAGGATTTTCCATGATAAACCATCCAGCTATTGGGGATCCCCCATTTTAAGAACCCCCCATGTGTTGTTCTCAGTCGCGCTGAAGAGCTTTTCCTGTGGTCGAACTGCCGGCATCGAAACAAAGTTCGTTCCTCCGGGCCCTCCAATCGGAGGGACTGGTCGAGAGACCACGCGAGTCGTTAACGAAAAATCACTCGGTGAGACGTCACTAGATTTGTCTTCGCTATGTCTTCGCTATGTCTTCGCTATGTCTTCCCATCCAGGTATTTGGGAAAGGATTCAATTTGGAACATCAGGTCTTCTCCCAAAGAGAGGTGGCAAAAAAAGAGACACCACAAAAAAATGCGGACGGTCATTGGCATCTTAAACTTCCAATCAGAATAGTTGATAATAGGTGCTAGCTGTCTAGCTGGATGTTCATGCCATATGGGAAATTCCTGTATGTTTCATGTCACAGCCTGTTCGTGTCTCGTCAAAAGGATCCGGTGCTTGCGAAGCGATCGATCCGTTTGTGATGGATTCGAGTCTGCAAGACCTTGGCCGACTGGGTCAAAAGTGATTCGCAACTGGGTTGTCTTTATAGCTGGGATGTTGCAAGAGATATACTATCTATATATATATATTATGGATCTACATATCATTGTGTATATATGTAGTGTGCATATGTATACGCACACATATATGTGTATAACATCATATAATCTACATATTAAATATATATATTATAGTGTTCTACAAAATACATATTGTAAGTGTAGCGACTAGAAAACATCTAGATATAGCTATAGACATCTAACATCATCTAACATATTAGTACGCATGATCCATAGGTCTCCAAGTTCCTCGTCATCCCTAGTTGACTCCGCCGAGACACGGGTGACCATTCGTGCCAGTAGAAGTGTCTGTGGGAAGGTCCTGGCTGTTCCAACGGATCCAATCCTCGATGCAGTCGACCAATGCTCTTTTCAAAAGGGAACCAAACCCTAGAACTGTGTATAGCATTGTATAGCTCTGTGTGACTCAACTATGTTCCCATCCTCCTGGTTCCACATCCGTGAATCACCATTTCGCGGAGCTTAGTCAATTTTGCCATTTGGGATTTTCAGATTTACCAAAAATTGTCTCCCCAGTCGTCACCATAGGTTTCAATACGAGGGGCCATGGTCGAATGACGGCTGGATGATTTGGGGGTCGAATGACGGCCATGGTCGGCAGCGATAATTTCGGGGTACCCCCACTTAGGAAACCTCCAAGGTGCCTTGGCAGCTCCAGCTCAGAGCTTGCTGCAAGGGATCGTTCAACTGCCGCAACGTGAAAACGGCCAGTGGCCAGTTCTCCACAGACGCTGGGGCATTCGGAAAAAACCAGACAGACGCTGGGGATACTGTATATAGTAGGGAAATTATGGAAAATCCAAATGTAAATGAACATCATGGGGAATTTTCGGTGAATTGATGGAAAGTCGAACGATTGGAGGATGTAACGATCATGGGATTGATCATCCTGATATTCACAATGGTATACAATGATAACAATGATAACAATAATGGCTCATAAACGAGCACGTTCATGTCTGCGACGAGCATCAATTGGTAAATTTATGGATCCAAGCCACTAGGATACCCAGACTTGGGGTAGGGATTGGCTGCTTCTCAAATGAAATTCCCATAAAAGAATGCTGGACCGGAATCTTCATAGGCTATAAACTTTATAAACTGAATCCCTTTGATGGTTTTGCTGGAGCATCACAAACATGAGTAGGTGCGATACGACTTGTGCTATGTACGCAAATCTCAGCACACACCCTTGATCCTCGCCTGCCATTCTCGCGCTTTTTGAGGAAAGACCAGCGGGCCATATCTGGACCTAGCATTTTTCACAAATTTAAACCTTGACATGTCTGACCTGATCTTCCAAGTGCCAAAATCTGGTGCTCCAAGTTATGTTTGACTGAAAATTAGATACTCAAAATTTATCAGAGTTATCATCCTACTCATTTGGAGGTTTCCATAGTCATGGGGGTACAGGGTTTGTTATGGATGGTGAAAAATTTCATGGAAAATCCCACTCAAATGGATGACTGGGGGTAGCCCTATCCGAACCTCCATTTTTGGGCAAAGCCAGGACGGGACGTCGGACGGGACGGGGCCCCGGGACCCAAACCAGGTCTCCCACAGCCAGGGCGGTGAATCCGCAGTAGGCAACGCTTCTTTCTCCACCGATGCCTCGATGGGCGACCATGGGCAGCCTATTTCCAGTGACCCAGTGGGCAAATGAACGTATATATGAGTATACATGTATGTATATATATTGTGAAACCACTTGTCATACACATCCATGTCTCAGGTTCCATTGACCTTTAACAGCTTTTCACTGCTTGCATCCATCGCCGGCCGCCTCGCCGTCCTTAGTGGTGGGCGGGACAGGGCATTGAGCCTTGGTAGGAGCTACGGGTGAAACAGGAAGCAGCAGCAGGGTCTCTGCATAGGGTTGATCAGGCTGGCAGGGTTCAGCTTTCCGGTAAGGTGTGATTGGGGATCCCACTAAACATTCGCATTGGTAGCGGAGCTTTGGGCTGCCGCGTAATCACAGGCTCCTTAAGGGGGATTTGTTTACCTGGGGTAGGTACAACACAGTTTTCCTTAGGAAAGACCTGAGCCATGGAGGGTTCTACAGCGGACGCGCAAGCAGCGGGATCTGGGTTGCCGGGATCCATGGTGCCGTGGAATCAGATTCCACGATTCACACCTGGCGAAACAGATGTTCGCACCTACTCCAAGAAGCTTCAGTTCTTGCGAGAACTGTGGCCAGCCGAATACCTGGATCAACTTGCTCCAAGGGCTGCGATGGCAGTTGAAGGGGTAGCCTTTCAGAAGGTGTCACGTTTGGACCCTGGTCGCCTGAAGTCCAAGGACGGGGTCAAGTACTTGGTGGAGGCCCTCGGAGGAGAATGGGGTCGTCTTCCGAGTGAGGAGAAATTTGACTTGTTTGAGAAAGCCTTGTACATGACCTCGCAGAAAAGTGATGAGTCAAATGACTCCTATTTGGCTCGGCATGATGCTGCCTTCGAGGAGCTGATGAGCCAAAAGGTGCAGCTGGAAGATGTCAGAGCATACGTGCTCCTTCGTCAAAGTGTCCTTGGTGCCGAAGATCGCAAAAAGATCATATTGGATTGTGCAGGAAATCTTTCTTATGATCTGGCTCGAAAGAGCATCCGGTTGTTGGGATCGAAGTTTTTCCAGGACTTGCAGACCCAGGGCAAAACTCAGGGCCGCACAAAGACCTATGATGTGCACCATGTTGATGAAGAGCCGATCTACTACCAGGAAGAGGAAGAGATGGATGAAGACGTCCTGATGCAGCAACTGCTTGAAAGTGGTGACGATGATGCCATGTTCATACAGGAGTTCGAGGAGCAGATCCTGACTGCCTGTCAGGAAAGTCAGGACCTGGCTGCCTGTTTTACCAGTTATCAGGAAGCCAGGCAGCGCCTGAGAGACAAGGCCAAGGGCCGTGGTTTCTGGCCAGTGACGGGGTCCAAAGGCCGTGGAAAGGGCAAGAAGGGAAAGTCTCCTGGGGGTGGTGCTCGTTTTGGAGCTCAGGGCAATCAGAGCTTTGGGGGTCGCCGCAGGAGCCTGGCAGATCGCATAGCGAACTCCACTTGCCGGCGATGTGGACGAGCCGGTCACTGGAAGAGAGAATGCCCTCTCTCTTCCACTCCTACTCCTGGAGGCTTGGGCAAAAAGCCAAATGAGATGGAATCCTTCACGGGCATCCTTCAGACCGATGAGGAGGTGATGGTCATCACGGAGGACATCGGGCTTGATGCTGCTGTGGAAGTCGTTGATGACCTTCCTCAGGGCGCTGTGGCATACCTGGAGGACTTGGGAAAAATTCATGGACATGTTTTTCATGCTGAGTGTTCGGATCGGGTTGAATGTTGCTTTTTGGGAACAACACAATGGTCCATGAACTTGACCCACAAACTTTTAAGTTGTTGTAGGAAACATGACATGTCCTGCGACGCTCGAGCTGCTGTGTCTTTCGAAGCCCATCCACTGGATTTGAAGAATGCAGGTACGACGTCCGCACCTGCTGTTTCAATTTTTAGCGCAGAAGAGGCCGATGATGAAGCAATCATCGACACTGGTGCCAGCCGTGCCGTCATAGGGGCTGAACGGTTGAGGAAGTTGGTTCGCAGTTTACCCCCCCAAATTGGAAAGAGGGTTATGCAGGTCCCCTCGGAAGGTGTTGTTTTCAAGTTTGGCAATGCTGGCAAACTGACGAGCAATTGTGCTGTCATGCTCCCTCGCGCGCAAAAAGGATGGCTTCGAATTGAAGTCGTGCCGGGACATACTCCTTTCCTGATCTCAAGTGCCATTTTGAAAGGGTTGAAGGGTATTATTGATGTTGAAGGAAAGTGTTTGGGTTTTCGTGGTTGTGAAGAGACCATTCCTTTATTTCATGTCCGGAAAAATCTGCTGGGAGTGAAGGTGACTGATTTGTTGAACAAAACTCCCCACCTGAGTGATGCACCTTCACACACACTCTGTGCACCCACTGAGGAATCATTCACAAACGAAACGAGACATGAAAACGGAACAATGTCATTGAAAACGGATGGAACACTTGGAGACAAACTGAATGATTCAAAACATGACAACATGAAAACGCCACAGGTTCATGCTGCCGTCACCCACCATATGCATGACATGTCCACTCAGGATGGAATTCAGAACATGTTTCCTAAGGAAAATTCAGTTAATGATCACCAAGGTATGAGCCGAGTGAACCGAAAAGATTCTGCGTGCAACGCAGCTCTTCTGAGTGACCAAGATCGTCCAGCCCGGGGTATTTTCAGTGAGACCGCATCTGGTCGACATGGCGAATCTCCAAGGGCCGAACTATCTCGACCGCATGCTGACCACGCCCATGGATGGAAATCTGATGGGCTATCACACCCACGGAGATCTTCCGCAGGCCTTGGTGAGGCCTCCGGATATCAATACTCTCACGGATTGGGGGTATCTCAAAGCTCCATCGGGCAAGCATGCTTCAAAGAGCTTCGCGGCCATCTACGAACTGGACCAGGGCTATGTCAACCAGATGTGGAACCGCAGAGGGGTGTCCTCGTGGGTTCGAAGTTTTCAGATGTACAGTCGAGCTCGTCGAGCGGCCAGCGAGGAGGCCAAGAGACGTGGCCGACAGGGGAGTCCTTCGACTTCACAGGGCCCTCCGATGACACCACCGCAGATGCCAGTGCCGCCGATGTCTTCGATGGCCTCGAACACAGTGCCTCAGCCGATCAGTCAGGGCAAGCTCAAGGAGAAGGACAAGCAGTCCGATCTCGAGGAATGGACCCAGATACCGGTGGAAACATCGGTTCCATGCGAGGGGAACAAGGGCAAGAGGGTCCTCGACAATCCAACGACCAAGATGGAGACCCAGCCCAACAAGGAGAAGATCGTGCAGATTCAGACACAGATTGCCATCTTGCAGCGCGAGCTGCAGAAGGAGACGTCGGGCACCGAAGTGTTTCAACATCCGGAGAGCAACTGATCCAGATGGCAGAGAAATTGAATAATCTTACCCACCAAATCGAGGGCGATTTGTCCACACTCAAAAAAGATCCGGCATATGTGTTCAAAAGTGAACGGGTATATAAATGTCGGGGAAAGAATCTCAACATGTTGGGGAATTCCAATTTAAAGAAAAGTATGACCAAGACCACCAATGGGATCGATCTTCTTGAAGTCTACTGCGATACTGAGTCCCAATTAACCAAGCAAGTTAATCTTTTGGGGGGTAGAGCAGTTCGATTTACCAAGCAAGATGGGGATCTGGGAACATCATCGGGTCAGAAGAAACTGTGGTCATGGATTTACTTGTTGGAACCCCGCAACATATGGGTAGCACCCGAATGCAAACTATGGGGAAACTTCTCAAGGTTCAACATGGGACGAAGTGTAAAGATGTTGGATCAAATCATGGAACGGAGGGAAGCTGATATACCACATTTGATGTTATGTAATCAGTTGTACCTTCATCAGGTGAGTCAGTCACGGCACTACCATCATGAACAACCACAAGGATCAGAGATGACTGCTCAGCCGGAACTGTCCGACATGGCTCTGGGAACGCTGCCAGCCACTTTTGATATGTGCCAGGTTGGGAAGCTTAGATTGCCTTCAGCCTCAGGTTTTCTCAGGAAAAGGACCACTTTAAACACCACATGTCGAACACTCTTTTTGAATCTCAACACACAAACATGTCGAGGTGATCATGATCACCAACCAATTCAAGGAAAGTTCAAACATGAGGGTTCATGGAAAACAGTGTCACACTATGCACAAACATACACCTCACAGTTCGCACGGCGAGTTGCTAGGGTTCTTTTGGCCGAATCCCGACATCGGGAAACTCCTTTGGTTTTAGAAGAAATGGTTTTAGGCCTTGAGGATCACGAGCGTCCCGAAATGGCACAAGAGGCATTGCAGCTCCAGAAAAGACGTCGCGTCAGCTTGAAACAACCAGAAAATTCACTGTATGGCAAAGCACCCACATGGCATGATGTGTTCCGTCAAGCTGGACATTCCACCCCAAGAGTAGGAAATGCTTTCTATAAAGGGGAAGAGGGTGATGCCGTGTTCCGAATGGTTCAACAACTGGTGCCTGACATGACAGTGAAACTGGTGGTTGCATGCCGGGGTACAGACAGACACCGTATCCAGCCGGCCGCAGCAAACTGTGAAGTGTTTCCCTGGCGGAAAACAGTCTTGGTGGCACGCAACTCGGGGGAGATTGTTGATTTGGGGCCTCCCGAAAAATGGAGCACGCTCACACGTGCTCGGCAGATTAGGTCCACTGGGGCAGCCAGAATTTCACTCTCTATTTTTGGGATTAAGGATGAAGATGGTGTTGTGGTGGATCCTCCGAGTGCCGCTGTCAGTTCCGACCGAGACAGTGCCGAAGGCCAGTCTCCGGTCTGCGTTCCACATGAAGATCAAGTCATGGCCAAGCCCTCCAATTCCAATGGGGAAAATTTTGCATGGGTCCCCCGAGTTATCCCTAAATCGGGGCCTGGGTTTCTCATGTTGGATAAGGGGGAACAAGTTGAGCTTAGGCGTTTGCACAACAATCTTGGTCATCCTGATCCTGATAAGATGGTTCGTTTTCTCACGGAACGAGGGGCTAAGCCTGAGATTGTAGCCGGGGCGAAAGATATGAGTTGTGATACTTGTGTTGAAACCCAAAATCGACCAAAGTTGTCCCAACCAAGTCGCATTCATGAAAACCTGGATTTCAATGATGTTGTCGGAGCCGATGGGGCTTATTGGACAAATGCCCAGGGGAAGACTTTTCATTTCATGCATTTCATTGATGAGTCTACCTTGTATCATCTAGGTGCAGTGTGTGCGCGAAAGGTTGAGGACCAAATTCGAGTCTTCCTACAAGCCTGGGTCCAATGGGCCGGACCATGCACGTTGCTGTACTTGGACCCGGCAGGGGAATACATCAGTGACGAATGGTCCGCTGCTCTCCAAAGTGAGGGAATCAGGGTATCAATGACAGCTGCTGAGTCGCATTGGCAGAATGGTAGAGCTGAGGCGCATGGACGCATCATCAAAAATATGTTGACTCGTATGGAGAAGGATCAAAGTATCCTCACTGTTGAGGATTTTTCTCGATGTTTGCGTCAAGCGTTTGCTGCTAAGAATTCCTTGAGCCGAGTCAATGGCTTTACCCCAGAGCAATGTCTACTGGGAAAGTCAAGGCGCCTTCCAGGCTCTCTTACCTCAGACTTCGATGCGGCCAGTCACAGCCTTGCAGAGAGCTCGTCCCCAGAGGGTATCCGTTTTCGAGCGGCCTTGCAGCGTAGGGAGAGTGCCCGGAGAGCCTTTGTACAGGCAGACAACGACTCGTCATTTCGACGAGCTCTCTTGCGACAGAGTCGGCCAGGTAAGGTAGAATATGAAAAAGGTGACTGGGTCTTATATTGGCGACGAACAAAGGGAAACAATCGTATCGAGCGGGGTAGGTGGTATGGTCCTGCACAGGTCATTGTTTCAGAGAAGCCCAAAGTCATCTGGCTTAGTCACCTTGGACGTGTCATCCGTGCCAGTCCCGAACACATCCGACCAGCATCCTTGAGGGAATATGCCAATCTGCCTAGAGATGAAAATGGGGAAGTTCGGGATGAGAAACCACAGGGAAGAGGGTTTATTGATTTGGGGAGTAGTGGAGGCATGGGCCCTGGAACCCCCGAAAATGGGAACCCTGAAGTAGAACCTCATGAAAACATGGCAGCTGGCATACATATTCCTGAGCCACCGGTTTCCGAATTTTCATATGCTCCAACGACTCCTCTGGAAAGTCAACCAGACGGGGAGCAATTTCCGAGTGGTGTTTCCGAGCCTATGGATGAAGCTTCCGAAGAACCCCCTCAACAGGTTGAAGAAACCCCTGACCTGAATGATGGTAGGTTTGTTCCTGTTCCGGATAGTGATGATGGTCTGTGTGTTTTTGGGGATGATTTAGAAGTGTGTGAGGATGGTTGTGGGGTTTGGGAGTTAAACCTGGTAGACCATGACATGGAAACACCGGTGGCTGATCTCCTTTGTCAGAACCCCCAAGTTTTTGAGGATGTTTTTATTGCAACAGGGGATCGAAAGAAGAGGGTTGAAGTCGACTATCGGAGGTTGGGTCCCAGTGATCAGAAATTGTTTGATGTGGCAAAACAAAAGGAGGTCAAGGCTTGGTTGGATCATGGCACAGTGAAACGTTTGGCCAAAGGCACCTTGCATCCAGAACAAGTGATGAGGTGTCGGTGGCTCCTGACTTGGAAGGATCCTCTGCCTGGCAACACCGAGCGCAGAGCAAAGGCTCGCCTGATCATATTGGGTTTTGAAGATCCTGGTATCGGTGTGGTACCAAATGACGCTCCAACTCTTTCCAAGGATGCCAAACAGCTGTTGCTTCAGAAAGCTGCCAGTTGCCGATGGGATCTGATTAACTTTGACATTTCAACAGCCTTTCTCAAAGGGGAAGGTGATGGCAGACCTCTTGGAATTCATCCACCGGGAGAAATCCGAAAAGCCCTGCATATGAAAGAGGGTGACCAATGTGGTTTAGAGGGGGGGGCCTATGGCAGGGTAGATGCTCCCTTTTTGTGGTATCGGGCCTTCAAAGCAACGTTGGAATCGCTGGGCTTCTTGACATGTCCCATGGATGGTTGCCTGTTTAGTTTGGTGACACCTGATGCCAAAGGCAAACCTAAGGTTAGAGGAGTTTTGGGTATTCATGTTGACGATGGCATCGGTGCAGGTGATGAATATTTTAAAGGGGTCATTGCCAAACTTCGGAGTATCTATGATTTCGGGGCTTATAATGAGAGGGAATTTGATTTTTGTGGGGTCCACTATAAGCAGTGGGATGATGGGACTATTGAGATGGATCAGATGGGGTACCTCCAAAAGATAGAGCCCATAGAAATTTCCCGAAATAGAAGAGGACAACCCGAAGAAAATGTCACAGAGGTGGAGCGACAACAGCTTCGCCGGTTGTGCGGCAGTTTACAGTATGGAGCAGTGCACACCCGTCCCGACTTGGCTGCGAAAACCGGCCAATTGCAGGCCATTGTAACAAGAGCCAAAGTGAGACATCTCATTGAAGCCAATCGAGTGTTATATGAAGGAAAAACTCATCCGGTTTGTTTGATGTTGGTACCTATTCCTGAAGATCGTGTTGCTTTTTGTGCCTTTTCTGATGCTTCTTTTTCAACTTCTAAGGATTTGTCTTCACGTCAGGGAACGTTGATATTTTCAACGGACACTCGGCTGGCTCAAAATGAGCGCACTGTCGTCTGCCCCATTGCATGGAGCTCACGGAAAATACCTCGAGTTGTAACTTCAACTTTAAGTGCAGAATCGATGGCACTCAGCTCAGCCCTGGACAGATTGGGATACATCAGAGTGATGTGGGAATGGTTGAAAGATCCGGCAGTAGACTGGGCGAATCCTAGTCAAGTTTTGGCCAAAGCACCCACTTCCAGCGCAGTGACTGATTGCAAGAGCGTCTACGATCTGGCAACAAAGACCTCTGTCCCAGTCTGTACAGAGTACAGAACAACTTTAGAATGTTTGCTCATACGTGAGCGCCTTAGAGAGAACGTAGCTATGCGTTGGATAAGCACTCAGGCTATGCTGGCTGACTCCTTGACAAAGAGTATGGATTCAGGCATGTTGCGGGAATGCTTGAGGTCAGGGCGATATACTTTGTTTGACGAAGGAGAAAGCTTGCGTCAGAGAGCTTCCAAGCGTGAGCGGTTGCAGTGGCTGAAAGATGGAACTGCTTCCAAGGAACATGGATGTGATGGGAAATAAACTTTTTAATCTTCTTGATTTTTGACCAGTGTGAAACCACTTGTCATACACATCCATGTCTCAGGTTCCATTGACCTTTAACAGCTTTTCACTGCTTGCATCCATCGCCGGCCGCCTCGCCGTCCTTAGTGGTGGGCGGGACAGGGCATTGAGCCTTGGTAGGAGCTACGGGTGAAACAGGAAGCAGCAGCAGGGTCTCTGCATAGGGTTGATCAGGCTGGCAGGGTTCAGCTTTCCGGTAAGGTGTGATTGGGGATCCCACTAAACATTCGCAATATATATATATGTGTGTGTGTAAATATATATATATATAAGTTCTCCACATTTGCTGCTTGTTGGCTGAAATTCCAAAGTTCAAAGTTCATGATATTTGAAATGCTGTTGGTTGGATGTGAAATCAGTATCCTAGTTTGACCCATCCAGTAAGAGCCAGACGCGCAGCTGCTGGGAGGCATACGAAGGCACCTGCCCACTCAAGAGATTCCCATACCAACCACCTTGGTGTGCCCCCCTAAATCCCGAAATCTCTGGGAGGCCCAAGGTCCGGTCCGACGGTCCCCCATATTTTACAGCCTATGCATCCCTGTTTCTAATGGTGATAAACATCAACATACTGTGGATGGTTGCGAAATCCTGCACCAGTTGATAGATGGTTTATCCCATTATTTATAGGGTTTCAAACCATGCAAGGTGGTGCAGGATTTCGCTGGCCCATCCACAGTATGGGTGTGTTTGAAAACAGCTCCCCAATTTCTGGACACGAGATACATGTTGGCAAATAGTTATCAATATCCCCAATCGATTGATATATATATATATGTGTGTGTGTGTGTACCCAGTATTGTTGCTTCATTCTCAAGGATATACAAGCACATAAGTATATATTTACATATATATATATATTATTATATGTATATATTCTTATATAAGTATATACATGCATATATATATACATGTTATGTTTCCTATTTACAAATGACTTTCCTTATCTGTTCGCTGTTCATCCACCTGGGAGAACTGATCCAGGACATCACGTTCACCCGCAACGGTTTCTTTGGCCTCAACGGGGGGGCGGCCACCAAAAACCGGGTGCTTTGTTATCTACAGAAACTCTAGAACTATAGGCAATATATATATAGGGAAAAGAAATACTCCAGATGAGTAGTTAAACCAATGACGTGTATTAAACGGCTTTGTCCCAAGTCATAAGGGATAAATATATATATATATATTCCCCGATTTATGTGAGGTTATTTCCGGAAGAATGGGATTTTCCGAAAATGTTGAAACTCCAAGGACGCCCCAGGACGATTTCAGGGGTAGGAAGCCATGGCCCCAAAAATCTCCAGCTCCAGCCTTGATAAGATTCCGGAGAGAGGGCACCTGTGGAGCCTCCACCGGATCGTGGTTGAAGAACAGCTTCGGAGGATCGAACGCCTGGTGGCAGCGAGCGAAAACCAGAGCTTGATCCGAATCACCAGAGGTTGAAGGGAAAATTCAACGAAAACTGTCTTAGATTATAGTAAAACCATGTAAAACCGCTATAAATGATGGTAAAACCATGGTAAGCCCCTCTTTTTTGTTGGTAAAAATCTGGGTTTCCTCTAAAAGTTCTCCCAGTTGTGAAGACTTTCAGCGGCCTCCAGTCCTTTCACGAGGTATGTGCCACCCGGTTGCACCTGTGAGTAAAGTCGGTCACAAATATCCGCAAGCCACTGGCCACAAAACCATGGGTGTATCGAAAACAACAACAACAACAACAACATCAACATCAACAGCAACATCAACATCAACATCAACAACAACACAATTTCCACAACATGTCCCAGGAACTCCAAAAAAAAATCTGCGCAAGTGGCAACCATCGTCCGGTTTCCGCCGGCGGAACCTCGTCCAGCGACAACAGCGGCTTCATGTTCACATCGTAAAGCGCCCTTGCAGGCGCCACGACCTCGCGGAAGCCAGGGCAACAAGCAGAAAAATGGAGCTTTCCGTTCAGCAGTTCAAGGCATGTTAATATTATATCTATATATATATATATATCTATATATATATATCTATATATATATATCTATATATATGTGTGTTTTAACATATAGATGTATGCATATATATATAATGATATATAATGATATATATACAACACTACAGTATCCGTTTCAATGGGGGACGATCCGTTCAAACCAGGCCATCACTGGATCTGAGCTGCAAGCTGGTTTGCAAGCCTGCCACATCGCTGCGAGGAGATTTTGGTGGCATATCTTCCAGAGCCCCCATTAAACATGGTTGATTCAAATAATGTTTAATGAGTAATCTATTCACTATCTATTCAAGTAATGTTTCATTAAACATGGTTGATTCAAATGGATGTGGGTCAAAATGGAAGACCGATGTGGAACCATAGATGGAAATGTCTAGTTTAGTATTAACCATCCAATTATCGGGGTACCTAATTTTGACCCATACCTAAATAATGAATCAAAATTAAAAAAAATGATTCAAAATCTATTCACTATGAGTAAGTATGAATGATTCAAACTTCATGGATAGCAAATCCTTTGATCAAAAGCCCTCCCGAACCTGGCCAGCCAACTGAAGCAATTCCTGTTCGCGAGGCGGCCCAAACTGAAGCTGCCGTCACATGGCTGAAAAATTCCAGCTAGACAGCGTGTCGCTCCATGGTTGGGATTCGGGATGTTCAATTGCTAAGAGTTTATGATAAGTTAAATCAAGACATGTTTACAAGCTGGAAAAATCCTCGTCACCAGTCGGCAGTATGTTCCTTATCTTCTAGATGTCACATCTACAGTCCTTGAGTCCGCCCGCAGGTGGCCAACGCTTGATGAACATGGTCTCAGCAAGGTGAGTTTTCAAAATGGCGCTACGGATCCACAACCGACTGTAGAGGAAAACATGATCAGATTGAAGAAATCAAGAGCAAAAGAAACAGTCTGTTGAAAATGGATATGTGGAGATTGATTCGGAAATGGGGATTATATAACTCTTTTTGTTCAAAAATGAAAAGTGAAATTTGGAAACTTTAGAATCTCGCATTGAGTCTGTGACCTCTCCGCCATGCAGTCGCTCGGCATTGCGAAAGAGCAGCAATGCCATCGTCGTTGGCATCTTGGCGGCCAGTCACAGGAATGACATACATTACATTACATTACATTACATTACATTACATTACATTACATTACATTACATTACATTATTACATTCCATTATATTATGTTATATTATATTATATCATATCATATTATATTATATTGTATTAGATTACATTATATTGTATTATATTGTGTTTTGTTATAATATATTATATTGTATTATATTATATTATATCATATTGTATTATATTATATTATATCATATTGTATTGTATTATATTATATCATATCATATTGTAGTGTATTATATCATATTATATTGTATTATATTATATTATAGTATATTATATTATATTGCATTATATTATGTTATATTAAAATAGATTATATTGTATTGCCTGCTTATATTGTATTATATTATGTTATATGATTTTATATTACATTATATCATATTATGTTATATTATATTTTATTATATTGTATTATATTATTACATTATCATGTCATATGATATTATATCATATCATATCATATTATACTATACTATATCATATTGCATTATATGTTATATATATATATATTATCGTAATATAAAATATTATATATATACATATCCAAACCATAAGTAAGTTACTTACAATATATGATTATAGACGCTGGATGTGTATATAGTGTATGGGGATGGGTTTTACCCATTGTAATAGTCACTGGGGATAATTCTGCATAATTGTATTATAGTATACTCATACACACTGATTGTTGTTTAACCAAGCACTGGATCCCTGACAAAAATGTCAATGGACGCCCCAAAAATGGATCCAATCCTTAGACTTGACCACGGTTTCTAGTGAGTATTTCATCTAGGGAGTACAAGTTAAACTTGTCATGGGCACGGTTCTGAACTCATTTTGCTTGAAGAGCCCTTAGATAATAAACACATATATAAATATCATTAAATATATATATAAATATCTGTTTGTCTTTAAAAATCAAACATGTTTTCTGTTTGCTTTGGTTTTGATGCCCTTGGCTCGCTCGGATCTCACAAGATCTCACATCTCATGTCATCTCAGGGAGCCGCACCTGAAGAGATCGACCTGCCAATTTAGGACAACCACGACCAGGCTACCACTACAACTGTTACAACTACCATATTGGTTCCATATAATATGGTAGTGGTTAATAGTGGAACTAACCATATTATTAAGCTATGATTAAGCAATGTAAAATGTGGTTCCAAACTACCATATTAAGCAGCCCCTGTTGATGGTTCGAAAGTAATGTGGTTTCATCCCCCTTTTTGACTCTCCCTGGAGAAGGCTGAGCCGCCTCGAGAAGCCGGTGGATCTGTGGCTCCTCAGCGATTTGGGTAGACATTGAAGTTACATCATCAATATCAAAGGTATGGAACAAAAAAAGGAAAAGCTTTTCTTCTATAGCCAATCAGCCAATCCATTGAAAATTCATTGAACTTAGAATGAAAAAGTCCAGACACATCCATTCATCCAGGGCAGCATAGGACAGTGTGGCTAAGGAGGGGACCTTCCTCGCCCGTGAAGTCATGTTGGTCCTGGTGTAGCGGCAGACCATGTGGTTATGGGGCGATCAATTTCGTTAAGGTGTATCTATCTATCCATCCATCCATCCATCCATCCATCTATCTATTTTTCTATCTATATATCATATATGTCTCTATATACCTCTAGACGTATTTGGGTATCTCTATTTATATATATATGTGTGTATATATATATGTGCACACATAAACATATATATATATATATATGGTATTGCATTTGGTGCTAGAAATGCTGCAATCACCAGTGGCATCCACCAGTTTTTCATAGGCCGGTCCAAAAAAGGCCCACGGAAATCAGTTGGAGCATCCGCTCCCAATAATTTAACGGTTAAGTTGCCACCACCGGATTTTTTCTGACAACACAAAGAGAAGCAGAAAATAGAAAAATCCTCCACTGTTTTCCCTATTATATACCATCTGGTTATTTAACATAGCCATGGAAAATCCCTTATAAATGGAGGTTTTAATGGGAAAATCATCCATAAATGGGCCATTTCCATGGCTATGTTAGTCATAACCAGAGGGTAAGTGACTTTAGTTCACCCGTGTTTCCAAACCTTTGGGAAACTGATTTTCACCGCGATCCTCCAGTTGCGAGAGCTTTCTTCGACTGGAGGCTGAGGTGTCTTGCCTTGGGGTGACCACTCCCGAATCTGACATAGACCCCCCAAAGAATGGGCAAATCTCATAGGAAAATGCTGAAAATGCGTCTTCCAAACCTGATTCTTCTATTCTTCGGAGTCCATGTCAAAGTGAAAATTACACAGGTTGTGACTGGTGGTTTGGTTTGCTTTGGAATATCAGGATCACCCTCAAAAGGACTATCACTGGCACCCCCAACATTTCCAAACAGCAAGCGAACCACCGAACCAATGGCTGAATTGATGCAGTAGATCCGATCCCCATTTACCAAGAAAAAACAGGCTTTATACCCATCCAAAATGAGGATAGAATCCAAGTGAGAATGAATGTGGCAAAGCCATGCAAAGCCAATCCCAACACACCACGTATCAAACATCGGATTACTGTCAGTGGCTTTGTCTGATTAGATGCCCCAAAACTCCACTGGCTATTGATGATGACTATTTCCCCCGGGTAATCATCCTTTTCCCTATCAAAGTTCATTCAAGAATCCATAAATTGCTGGTAAATCCCCACATTTTCAGATCTATAACGTGGCCACAGAGAGGCCTCTCGGGCACGTCGCCGGACTCGCTCCTGCAGTCCGTTTTTGCCCACCGTTTTTGCAGGAACAAAACTGAAATTTGGAGGGGAAAAAAAAGTGTTGTTTCCCCATCTAAACCACACGCCCCACATAAATACTCTGTGTAAAAATGCCCATGTAAACCCCACTGGTTGGACATTTTTGGATTTCCTGTCTGACCCGCCTTGGAGCGGAAGCATCGTCTGCCACCTCGCGAAGCCCAAAGTCGTTGAACTCTTCAGTTTCCTCCTTTGCTGGCGCACCCTCATCCCTGGCGAAAGATGGTTTGGAAGAATGACCATCTCTGCAAAAAACAAACCAACTAGTGATCTATCTTTTGATCTTCAGAAACAGGCATCATTCATCCATTTCCAAAGCCAGCGACCTTCCAAAGATGGCTCCAAAAAGCCCACCATCCCTGCAGCTGGAACTGGCTGGAACCCTCAAACCCCAAGAAATCCAAAAAAAAAAACATCCACCAGAATTTCTGGCAGCGCCTTGCGGTTGCACTACTGAGATGTTCAGTCTTCTCTGAGCATTTCACGACTTGCTGGCCAGTTCCGTCATCATTTTCTTTTTCTTGTTTTCCTGTCAAAGGACAGAGGCAATATCTCATCACAGTATGCCAGTTTGGCGCATGCCAAAAGGCAGAAGTTGGGAAACGAAAACCACATTCAGAATCTTTCAAGCAAAAGCTTTCCAGTTGGAACGAGAAACGTCTCCCTTTCTCAAGCTACCCAAGTCCTTCGGAGCTATCTGTTTTTGCAAGTCCTCCAGGGCACCAAACTTCCAGAGGCTTCACACATACGATTTTGCAATCAGAAACCACAATTATATAGTACCATTTATTGTCTGGTTGGTGGTTTCAACTTTCCTGAAAACATATGCTCGTCATTGGAGAATCATCCTCTCAAAATGGTTGAAACTATGAATAGTTCAAACCACCAACCAGATCATGATGCTTTCCGGGGGGAAAAAAACAACCTAAAAAACAACCTAAAAAACATCCTTCAACGCCTCAGACGGCTGGAAACATCTGCGGCCCAATACGGGAGGCGACGCGACCCAGCGCTCCTTGAGCTGCAAAGAAGTGGACACAGAGGTGGGTCTATAGCGTTGGCTCCTCGACCTCCGAATTTGGCCGCCAAATGGATGGTTTCCATGGGCCCAAAAAGCTGGATGGTGATGGAAAATCCAAATCTAAATTGGATGACTGGGGGTTACCCGGTAACCCCCATTTCAGGAAACCCCCATGGAAAATTATGATAACTGGCTATGTATTTATCATAACTTGCTATTTTAAAAAAAAGACACGTAACTGGCGTTTTATTCATCATAAGTGGTGATTTTATCATCATAACAGGCTGTTCAATCATGATAAGTGGCTATCTCATCATGATACCTGCCTATTTGGTCATGTTAACTGACTATTGAATCATCATAACTGGCTAATGAATAATCAAAAAATTGCTATTATTTATCCATCATAACAGGCTATTAAATCATCATGATTGGCTACTAAACGATCATCACAACTGGCCATTTAAGCAAGGTATCTGGTTGTTGAATCATCCTATATACCTGGTGAACTTATTTTCAGAACTTGCGTTTTAATCATCATAACTGGATCATTCCTCATGATAACTGGTTTTTTAATCATGAAAACTGGTTATTTAATCATGATAAGTGGTGTTGTTATTATCATAACTGACTGTTTAAGCAGCATATCGGGTTCTTGAAATGATAACTGGCTGTTGACTCATCAAAACTTGCTATTTAACCATCATATATAGTTGTTTAATCGCACTTGGCTATTAAATCATCATAATTGGCTATTTGGGCAGCGCATCCGGTTATATAATACATCATAAACACTGGTGAGTTTGTTGTCAGAACTGGTTATTTAATCGTGATAATGATAACTGGTGAGTTTGTTGTCAGAAATGGATATTAAACGTGATAAGTGGTTATTGAATCATGATAACTGGCTATTGCATCAGCAAAATTCGCTATTTATATAATCATCGTAATTGGCAATTTAATCATGATAAGTGGCTATTGAATCATCAAAACTGGCTATTTAAGCAGCGTATCTGGTTTTGGAATCATCATTACTGGCTATTTAATCATGATAACTGGCTATTCGATCAGCAAAAAGATGTGTTTACCTGGAACATCGCCGGAGACTATTTGTTGTTGGCCGGAAAATCCTTCATTACCTGAGGCTAATGAAGGTCGTACCAGAAATGGGAGATCATGGTAAGTCCCACCAGTTGCACTGAGGGCAACACCGTACTAAGGGATTGTGGCTGATCTTGAGCTGCAAACGGTCACCCACAAGGTCTTCATGCCAGCGATCTCTGACCTCAGGTTTGTCAACGGGGTACCCCCAAAAAAGACCGTAGATTGAAGGCCCATCGCATTCAAAAGAGGCATTCAAAAGAGGCAAAGCGTTTCACCGTTTTCACCGTTTCACCCCGCTCCTTGTACAGCAATTTCTCATAGCGGATGTTGTGCTGCAAGGACTGCACAGTGAGCTTCCAAAAGGGCAGTTGCAGTAGTTCCCATACGGATTTGTCTGGAAATGTTGACCTCAAAAACCCTCATCATTCTCCATGATTTTCGAGCGGCCAAAAACAAAGGGCCCCCCTAATATACTCCCATTACCATCTGGTTATTTAACATAGCCATGGAAAATCCCTATTTTTAATAGGTAAACCATCTATTTCTATGGGCCATTTCCCATGGCTATGTTAGTCATTACAAGAGGGTAAATGTTGAATCTCCAGATTTTAGGGGCTAAATAAATCTCACCTCGGCCCAGCGCTGTAAGTCTCTGTCAGACCTTGAGACACATCCGGTCCGCGAAGGTACCAATTTTTCAACGCCGGAGATGTCTCCACGACTTGGGAAATGTTGATGGAAAAAATATCAAAGCATCAGATATTTGATGGAAAAAATATTGATTTCAAAAATTTCCAAAATATCAATGTTGATGGAAATGTTGAATGGTCAAAAATTCAATGCATCGGATATTCATAACCTATGTTTTGCGGCAAAACCACTTGACAACAACCACAAACTGAGCAGAAGTGCTGCCAGTAGCGTTCATAGTTCAACTTGTAGAAGACCTCAGCTGCCAGTGCTTGGCAGATGTTTATCAAGCAGGAAATCTAAACGGGAGCTGAGAACTGGACCATTCCATTGACCTTGACCTCTTGGATTGGAGCATCATCATGCTCCTTCCATCTGGCAACATGGGGTAGGCCCCTAAAATTGCCATGTCTCAGTTGGATTTCAGGGGTAACCCGTCAAGAGGCCCATGTGCTGTCAGTCTGTTGTCAGAACCCATCAGCAGTTGTCATGGCGGCTCCTTCCCAAAGTCTTGGAAAACGTTGACATCTTCCTGCAGAGCATTTCACACCATCCGCGCAGGTATCTTTTTTCTAATGCACTGTTTGTCGAAAGTCCAATACATCCTCAAGAGTTTGACGCATCTCCAAGTCACGGTGTTCCTTTTTGATTTGAGACACACATAACTGGCTCAAATGTAATAAGTCGCCTGAAATCAGGCCATTTTGGGATGATTCCCCTTACCATCGTTCCAGTGATTAGAATGGTACAAGTGGATACAAGTGGCACGATCAAAGCAGTCTGCATTGTCTGCCTTTTTCTTCTTCTTGCGAGTTCGGACCTGCAATTCTTCACCGAGGAGCTAATCTGGCTTCGGTGGAACTCCAAATCCATCAATCCATGGCTTTACAGGTTCCAACAAAAACAAAGGAGGGATAGCCCAAAATTGCGCGTTGAATTTATGGAAAAATACGATGACCAACCATGAGGGGTACCTTATTTTCATGCCGAAGCCCAAAAAAAATGGCTGGCTTTGGCGCGCCATGTTTCGAAAATAGAAATTATGATGTTGCTAGTTGAATTTGCCCCGAAACAAGCTTTGGGATGCTGGATGCTGCCCCAATGGCAACTGCCCAACGTCACGGCCGCACCTTGCTTGCTGAAGCTTCAGGCGCCTAGTTGACCCGCTTCAAGCTTTCTGTCACACAAAACAGGTGGGGAAATGACCAGCAACCACAGGTCCTGAATCAGATTATTGACCCATATTGACCCTAAAAAAGATGTGCTGTGCAGTACCAGGAATGATCAATGCCATCGGGTGCCCACATTTCTATCCATATTTTGGACATGTTTGGCCCAACGCTGGCACGCCTTGGGGACATGTTCAATGGGAAAAACCCAAGGCTGCCGTCGGCAGGACCGCCATTCAGAAAGGTCACATGTTTGTTTGCAAAGCCAAAGCCTATGGAAACCTGCCCAATTTTTCATGGCACTCAGGAATTGGGCATGGAAACACCATTCTTCTCTGGCAGCAACTTGTGGCTCAACGCGAATGCGCGATTTGCTAAGGTCGCAGCCGGAACGTCTGCCGTGAGGACCTGGAAAAATCATTGGAACAACAAACTTGCTATTGATGCCATGGCCATTTAGTTCGTTGATTTACCCATTAAAAATGGTGATTTTCCATGGTTATGTTAGTTTACCAGAGGGTAACTTTTTCGCAGGAAGTCAAAGGCTTTGGGGCAAGAGTTTGATGCAGTAGCTAAGGCCCAAGGCTGACTTCCTCTCGGAGCCATCTCGCTCCTTCTCCAAAGCCTGCATGAAACTAGATGATTCTTGATTTGGGTATGGGTCAAAATTAGGTACCCCAAAATTGTGGATGGTTAATACTAAACTAGACTAACATCTGTGGTCCCACATCGGTCTTCCATTTTGACCCACATCCATTTTAGAGTAGTTGATTTTCCCACTAAAACCACCAGTGGCTTTTATCATACAGTACCTTGCCAGCTTTGGGGATGTGGCAAAACTTTTACTACCATCTGCCAGAGAACATCAGCCAATGTGGTCTTGCCATAAACCACCCCCAAACCAACATCAGCCAATGTGGTAAACCTGCCATAAACATCATAAACCACCCCCAAAGTCATCATATTTCAGTGGTCCATCCCTCCTAAAAGTTGATGGCCATTTCATGAATCCTACCATCTTGGAGGATCCCCTTGTGTCACGCCGGCACCTTCATGGCTTCCTCTTCTTGCGCGCGCCGCTCCTTGGCCTGCCGAGCCTTGGAAAAATCTGAACACCGGAAACCATGGCTGCCATGGCTTTTTTCCCATGGATTTTTTTCGGGGAACCAATCGACCCATTGAGGAAGTCTGCAAAACCAACTCATGGCCATCCAGACAGATGAAAATCTCCGGAAGTGAGGTGAAAAATTCAGCCCTGGTGAGATATCCCTGATCCCTGTTGATTCATTGCATTTTCAGAGTTGCTGGTTATACGGATGTACTGCCATTTCCCCTTTAAAATACACCATCTCCCTCCTTACCGTTGAACCCCACATGCTTGTCCCCAAATTTGAAGCTCCCCAACCTTTGCTGCTTTCAAACAGGCTTCCACCGGTTCCACCCATTTTAGCAGTGCCGAAAATAACAAGTCAATGATAGTCAATGTTCAGTCAGTTGCACCAAGCTAGTCTTCCAGCCTCCTCTTGAGCCTCTTCCTTCGCGAGTTTAATCTGATCCACAGCGTCCAGCAGCTGACAGGGCGGCACCACTTTGGCAGCAAGAATGCCTATGTTCACCATCACAACGGACATGAAACCCAGAACGAAGCATCAACTCTTGGAACTTCAGTCTATCCATAACTATCCATAACTATCCATAACTATCCATAACTATCCACAATCCACAATTTTCACCATCCTAACATATCCATACATATCCATATCACGTATCCATTTGGATCTCCCAGATCTCCCAGACCACCTTGGCGGAGAATTCACCATGCAGGTGCTCCACGGAAACTCGGGGTGCCGAGGCCTGCGCCGATCTGTGAATTCTCAGATATCTCCACTTTTTCGGGGTGATGTTGATCTATGTTTATATGGTTATACTGACAGTTATACTATGTTTATACTATGTTTATTTATGTTTTACAGTTACACAGATATGATCAGATACTAGTATGGCCTTAGTAAGTCGACACGTTTCTTGGCTTTCGATCGATTCGACCATTCGACCGCCTCGCGCATGGCTTTCACGTGCTCCTTCCATGGCACCTCTGGAAGCGACATGACCTGAGGCAGAAAATCCATGGGGAAATTCACCGGAAAATTGTGACATAATTGAGATATAATTGAGATATAATTGAGACAGTCTGTCAAATCATCTTCCGAATACCATTAGTATCAGTATTGATTCGTGGTTCACTGGTCGCTTGTCATGTTGCAACTGGATGCCATTCAAAATTCTGGATGTTTCCGATGAACAGCACTGAGATTTCGACACCGGCTCCACTGCCGCCCTTTGGGTGGCTTTCTGTCCGAAAGGATCAGCGGATCAAGAACTGTTCTTATCAAGCCACTGTTTGAGAATGTATGAGGTATAGATTTAATAGATTTAAGCAGATTGAAGCCAATTTTCCGCCGACAACATCATCAGATCAAAAGGACCGGCCTCTTTTCCACGAGGTGTGAAAACGATCCAAAAGGAAGCTGCAAACGCAGACCAAACAAACATCTATGACAATGTCTTCCCCGCCCAAAATGTAGGGGGTCAACTTGTAGGCAAAATATCACTGTACATAGGAGGGATCCTGCGACTGGAAGGTCTTCCCTTTAAAAGAATCCCAGTCGGGGGAACTCCGAAGCTTTCTGAGCTACGCATCAACTTCTGCAACACCTTTCGATTCGCTTCATGCCAGCGTTGTGGCGGAGTCTCGGTGTGCAGCTGTTGATAAGCCAAGGTTCGGCAGCTCATTTCTTGTACCTGTACCCAGCTTCGATTCGACACGTGCATGGGTGAACACCTTGGCAGCCTGCTTTTACCAACGAAGCTGGTGCTCATGGATGTTCATCCCCCATTCAGATGGTTCCGATAGGTGGCACCCATGGCTGTAGTGTGCACAAGGCCTTTCCAAAATCTTCTTCTTCTCCAACTTGCCCATCTGGTTTCGCGGCCTCAGATTCACATCCTGTTGCGCCTCATCACCTTGACGTCCTTTATGGGACAAAAAAAATTACATCTTAACACCCCAAAAAGGATGGCTTCATGACCCAACATTTGCGGATCCGTGGAGGTTCTACGCTCCCTTTTTTTCAGATGCAGACAATTCGGTGACGGTTTCAAGCTCCTGGGGTACCTCAGGGACATCATGAAAGCCAAAAGAAAGCTAAAAGACACTGAACATCAGCGCCGCCTTGTAGGATGCCATTCGCTCTTTGCCCCACTCTCTGAGCTCCTCAAGGCGCTTGTGAGGAAAGAACCCTTCCAAGTGATACTACGAATCGCTTCTTCACTCCATTTCAGCTCGATTTAGTTCAAAATGTAGGAGATTTAGGTTGCTGCCAACTTGGGCAATTGTGCCTCTCAGTCTTCAAGTTGACTGGAGTCCAACAATGTCCTTGATGGTCAGCTGAGCACCGCTCTCAAGCACACAAACGGCCGTCACCTGACCATGGCCATGCCAGGTGTTGCTCAAGTGTTCAAGTTTGTAGTGCAAATGCGCCTTTTCACCCCAAGTCTCGTCTGGCTTGCCCACCACAGCACATTCGCGAATCTTCTCATGTTGAAGTAAAACCTGAAAGATTTGGCTGGGATCTGCCTTCACATCAAAATACCTTAAGTTTCTGTTCATCCCTCCATCAAGAGGTACCCCATCTCCATTTGTCAGCAGGGATCACAATCAACATAATTCCAATGTCATGGTATTCCCTCATTCCCACTGTCCAACACAATGGCCATCCCTAGGTGTTGGCACGCTCTCAATTTCAAGGCCGGAGATCTTGTAACCACCGCTCTTGATAATGTCCACCGAAGTCCGACCTCGAAAGATTCTGACGAAGACTTACTCTAAAAATTACTATACCCCATATATATATATATATTTCAACATAATTAATGCTACCATGGCCCATATTTCAACATCATAAATGGCAAGTGGAGCAGGGTTGCCACCTGCTAACGCTACGTCGCTACGTTAACATCATCCCGTAGGCGTCCGGACCCATGATGCGATAGATGGCACCCAGCTCCGGATCCGCCTCCTGTGACCATCCAAAATCGCACTTAAACAAAAAACATTATCTATGTATGTATGTATATATATATATATGGTACCCCTATGGTACCCCAAAAAGATATATATATATATGTATATATATATATACACACATATATGTGTATTTGCTATGTTGACTGATATTTGCGGTATTTTTTGTCTTTTTGCTATAAATATATATGTCTACATATGTTACATTGATTGAAAAAAAGCATCCCAAAGCCCACTGGTTTTGATCAAAATGTGAATTGCTATCTTGAAGGTATACTTCATGTTCAGACATCTCATATTGTTGGTTCCAAATCCTGGTACTAAAAATATCCCCGTTAATATGCATATTATATGTATATATATGTATCAATCACATCTAATATTATTTGCTTTGTTATTATATTTTACTAAACCCCCATGGTATCCTAGAGTAGGCCCCAAGTTTTCACAACTGGGACCCCCTGCTGCCGGAGTATCTGATCGTGGCCTTCCAGTGGAGGTCTCAACCTCCCGTGCATCATCCTGCAGCTGCGGATATTCCACGCATGTGAAGAAACCCTCTATCTCGGAAAAAAAAGAACATTGGCAAGAGACCCCAAACACTGTGGGGGTAGGAAGTCAATGTGCTAGATACAAGCAAAAGTAGCCATGGAACAGTAACAGGTCAGGTTAGACATTATCATAACTGCAGCAGCCAAAACTTGTTTCGGCACAAGGAGCAATGCTCTGTCTACTCATCAGGACCTCGTAAAGAAGGACATTCTATATAGAGGATCTTAGAAGATCTCCATGCAAAAGCTTCCTATGAGTATCCCAGATCTTAATGCAAGGACCTCTTGAGGAGGATTTCAACGGAATCTTCTCACAAGCAGCTGTATGAGATCATGCAAGGACCTCTTAGAGAGGACTCCACCAGAATCTCCACAAGATCTTCTCATGAGACTCGTGCAAGACCATGCAAAGACCTCTTGTACGATTTCAGCAGGATCTTGACAAGATCTTCTCATAAGGACGTCTCACAATGACCTCTACAAGACCTTGGTCAAAATCTTCACGCGCAAAGTGCCGAGAGGGTTGCGAGCCATGACAAAAATTCGCACAGAACCACAACAAGAGCGATCCGACACGCACAAAGTGCCGAGAAGGTTGTCAAAATTCACTCCGCTCCACAACGAAAACGATCTGACACGGAGAAAGTTCCGAGAGGGTTGCGAGTACATGTTAGATTTCCACACAACATTGTGCGCACCACGAAACATGAACATTAAAATATTTGAAAAGATCAATAACATTCAATAACGGATGTTTCACCTAGGTCTCAGCCACCTTTTCGAGGTCTAGAAAGTACTGCGCCACAAAAAAATCAACGGAATCATCGCGTCAAAACGAAGAAAGTTCACCTACTGAAGCGCCACGCCTGCCACACGGATCAAAAAGTGTCCGATGTCCTGCGCCTCTCACGCAAAACGACGTTTTAGACCTCAACATGTCCCGAACGTAGCGCTGGCCACGAAAAATGGGCATAGCTCAAAAAACGAGCACGGCGCGCTAGTAAAACGATACCTTCGGAAGAGCCAAAACAGAGGCGCCCATCTTGCGCGAGCCTGGACATCGCACAAGGGAACTTTCAGGCGAGAAGTTACAATGAAAACGCCAGGGACCAAATAGCGTACCCTGATCTAACCCCGGCCTTTAACACTTACCGTAAGAATATGTAAGAATCCCTCAGTGTGGACACGCTGGAGAAAAATGCGCCTGCAGCTTCTGAAGCTCTTCCACAGTGCCACCCTTCTGGGCCTGAGACCATCTCTGGAGCTTTAAAAAGGAGTGAGGTTGCGAAGGTATTCCATTGAGCCAGTCACGAAACTCAGGTTCTGAGTCATGGGCATTGTCACCAGTCCTGCGCTTCCACTTCATGCTGCGAAGTGCTGGTTGCAAATTTTCGTGAAAAAATCGCTCCAAAACTCTTTTTAGTCAACCATGGACCCACTCATCCATCCCAAAATGGTGTATAGATAATTTTTGAACCATGCTTCATCCCATTTCTGCCAGGCCATGACCACTTGAAGCCCCAGAAAACACCTGAAAAAACCATCGCTGGTGAATTCCTTCGCAGTGGCCTCCTGGAACCAAGACATGCCGCGCATGGAATCGCCATCAAAGTGATTTGGATCAATCGCGATGCGGCACACAAAACCATATCTATATAGTTGATCATATGGTTAATATATGGTTAATATATGTTAATATATGGTTAATATATGGTTAATATTATATTTTCAAAGCCTCAGTATCGTTGTTTCTTAAGTTTTTGAAGTCCTCTCGCTTGTAATACTCTTTGAAGACAGGACCACCTGGCAATTTTGCCACACACCCGTTGAGTCTCCATCCTTCCAATTTTTGGTACAGATTCTCAAGCGCCTTTCACCAGGATACCACCGTCCTGCGGATCGCATTCAGATGACACGGCTATGGCTCCTAAAAATTGTTGTGTTCAATGGATCCACAGATAGCTGGCATTGTGTTGAATTCTGAATTGAACGTATAGAACCATCCAAGTACTTATTTTGCCCAGTTTTTGGTGGGTCCAGCTACCACTGAATGAATGAAATCTCAAATCCATGATCAAAGGCAGACCCGGCCACAAGTACTAAAGTACATGAAACTCAGGTGGGCTACGCTACCTTTCGTGAAAAGTTTGAACCATGCCTCATCTTGCTTCACCTCCACATCTGGCAAGGGCCACCCCACGCACCTGTGATCATCTGCCAAACAAAAGTAACCCCCTGGAAATCGCAAAGCAGAGTTTAAGCATGCTCAATGTGGTAAAATGTGGTAAAACCTAATTTTAAAAAAAAAAAATGGCCCATTGGGGCTGGGTTATAATTGGGTTTACCACATTCTTCTTATAAGCATTTTTAAGGTGTGCGATCTACTCATTGGAAAGCGCTCTGACACACTAGTCATGCTGTGGGTCATCTTTTTCTGAGAGCGGCACCCTGGAAATCGGGTGCCATCGATGCGGTTGCTCAATGCCATGCCGATCTCGGTCATTCCATACCTGCCGTTAGCATCTGGCTCTATTGGGTTGTTCTCTCAACAGGCCTTCACTCTCGACCAGGAAAGCAAGGATATTTTGAAAGAGTGCTCCACGCTAGTGGTTACAATATGTCAAGTGCTCAACTTCAAGTGCTCACCTCCCCCCCCCGATTGTTGGATTTTGTTTCACCGCAAAAACATCATCAGCAGTTTCACACAGGTCCTTGCACTTGGATGTGAATCCCGCTTAGTGGTTTCTGACCATCTTGGGATATTTATTTATTTATATATATATATATGTATACAATAGATATATGTATATATATATATACGATAGTGGTTTTGGTCCTGGTACAAACTAGGCTGATGATTACAGTCAGCTATGTAATATATACATATATGTGTGCGTACGCTAGTGTAAATATGTATGTATTGATATGATTATATCCATTCTCCCGTTTGGATATGTAAAACTAATTCATGTATATAATCCATATCCATAGGTACATATATACATTTAAAAATATTCACATAGATCGATATTTACATAAATATATATATATAATATACACATATATACATATATATATATAAATATATGTATGTATGTATGTATGTATGTATGTATGTATGTATGTATGTGTGTATGTGTGTATGTGTGTATGTGTGTATGTGTGTATGTGTGTATGTGTGTATGCATGTATGCATGCATGCATGCATGCATGTATGTATGTATGTTTGTATGTATGTATGTATGTAATATACAACCATCTGTATATATATATACATATGTATGTGTATAGAAAATATATGTATAATAAATATATATATATCACCAGTTTTTTCACGCCTCTTTTCTAAGTTGCCCTCCAGTGGCCATTGCCACAGCACTGGCCCAATTTTGGCCTTAAGCAGCTTCGATCACAACACCTGGTTCTCTCCGGAGAAATAGTGATTTGCAAAAGAAGAAGCTCTTTCCACCCTTTTCATTCTGCTTGCACATTTCAAACACTAGCCACGATCACATCAATGTTAGCACTCAGTTCAGTAATTCGGTACTTTGCAGACACTGGAAGCTGATGCAAAAAGAGCTGGGCTCCAACCTCCTGGATGTAGTACTCCAGAGTTCTCAACTTTGACCAACGACCCTTCCAAGCAATTTTACTCAAATCCATGTCAGACAGGTACAGATGCGTAGCGCCAGAGCCCCGCAGGGTCCCAGGGGTGGCACCACGCAAAGCTTGGCGTCGAGGTACTTCTAAAAGATCCAGGACAGAATTCCATTGCCGCCGGAACACTGCCATGGAAGCATCAAACAATCGACTTTGCATCTGCAAGTGTCCAAACACTCGCTGAACCAAACTAATGACAGTGATATCGTCAATACGCACGTGTTGGCGCCGAGCAAACCGAGCAGTTTTTGGGTTTCGGATATGAACATACATGCATTCACGAAGCTCCAAAGTATCTTGGGGAAACACAAGATCACTACGGACTAAATGGACAAACTCATTTGGGTGAAGCATCCCGGCAAAACCTAAAGCAACTATGCAAGCAAAGGAGCGCCATTCCCAGAGCAATGCAACAGCGATGATGGCTCTGACCAGGGGCGCAGAAAGTACAGCGCGGCATTGGCCAGGTTCTTCCAGCTGCCACTTTCGATCAATCTGCCAAGCTCCATGTAGCAAATTCCTGTAACCAGGATACTGGTGCACCACGCCAGTAATCGCATAGACCAACCAGTAGCGAGGTCTACCCTCAGAAAAACAGAAACGACCATAGCCACGCAGAGCCAGGTCGGCCATCTCCGCGGTGGCCATTGCCTCATTCAAAGTCAACCCCAGTTTGTCTTTCGTCCAGGCTTCGAAAGCCTCCAGGCAGCGTGACATCCGCTGCACAGTCGCCTGTGAAAACCCGACAGACATGTTCAGCTCACCCCTGGGAAAATATGCACCTTGTTGAAAGTTTGGACCAGGGTTCCGCTCAATGTCACCCGCTAAAAGGAGTAATAACCGCACCCAACGCCCCAGAGGTCTCCGCCAAAAACTGCTTGAAACCATAATGTCAAAACGCCTTGCATCTCCTTGCTGCAGCTTCTGCAACCAGAGAGGAAATCTACGGGTCTGTTGCTCCACTGCTCTATCTCGTGAAGGAGCATCGGCTTTGTTCCAAGGAGACCGGCAGTGAATGCAGCCAGGGTATAGACAGCCGCCCAGCACATACCCCAAAGAAGTCCGCAAAATGCGGCTCAGCGCCTTGGAACTGGAGCGGCCCTTAGCCGCAGCCCCCATAGTTACTCGGCTATCCAGCAAGCCCACCACACGTGAGCGGGGATGCCGTTTTGCACAATGTTTCAGCCATGACTTGTAAACCCGGCACTCCAGCGTATTGATGTGGCCAGACTTTTTGAACTTGTACCGGAACAGCTCCCGGTATTGCACACCCTCGCATAATTCCTGCACCCAGTCTGGGTCATCATGCCAACTGCGCACATCAGTGCTCCCTGCCATGCTTTCTGCTGGCGCCCTGTCGGGCCAGAGTCCTTCGTGAGCCAGTTTGCTGCCAGCTGCCATCCTATCACACAAAGGAATGGGATAGGACGCAGAGAACCGACTAACTGCTTCGCCAACTTCTGGCATACGCCCATACACTTCCTCAGCACCAGGCACACACCGCCTGTCAAACTCACGCACTGAAGCTCGAGTGAAAGAGCCTTGGACCACAAAGTGCTGTGCCCTGAACTGGCAGTTGCATTGACCTGCAAGCTCATCCAGCCAGGGCTTGTTGTGCAACCATTTTGATGGCTTCATAAATCCACTTCCCCAGCTGCAAAAACAAAACTTTGTCACCCTACAGCCCATAGACAGCAACACCTGATAAATGTGCAGGTAGAACATCACGGAAGAGCCCGGCTGCTCCACTGAAATGAAACATCCACTGCGCACTGCCAAAATCAAAATGAAAGCAGTCCGCACCGCCAACAGCGTCTGCTCACGGGTAAGGGAATCAGACATATCATACCCAGCAGGACAAAGCTTGCTGCGGAGCCGAGGACGCCGCAGCGTTCCAAAACTCCAACATGGAGGAGCAGCATGCCATTCCTTCACAACGCCTGCATCGGCCATTTCTGCTAGTTCCCTGAAGGTAGCATCATCGGCCAAATCACCATATGCTATGGTCACAGCAGACCGCTCAAAACCAGGGTGCACCCTCAACCCCACTCTCGAGTGGGCAGCACTCCAGTTTCCCTGACCAGAAAAAAGCTCAATGCAGTCAAATTCATAACTGCCAGACAGAGGCTCGCAAGCCTGAGAAACAACCCCTGGGTCCGGAGGCTCAGAGAACGGGACCTCAGGGCCAAACAGTTCCTCATGCTCCAACCCAAGCTCTCTAAGTACCAGTCCGCTGCCCTGCTGCAGCGTAGTGTAGTAACCTCGCTGTTCAGAATGGCGCCAAAGCTCCTCGCAAGCTTCTACCCCCAATTTCGCATGACAGATAGCTCCGCCAGTGGGACTAGCGTCCAACATGTAAATGGCCTCACCCACATTCGCACGCATGTCAGTCTGCAAAAGGGGGGCCAACACAAGCAGCAGCATGAGTTCATTAACAGCCATGGCGCTCAACTGGAAGGTGGAATCAGGTGGTAAAGAAATCCCTTCAGAAAAAATGCAATCCATGACAGCAAACATAGGTCGTCTGAAAAGGCATGCATGAATCCAGCATCCTAACAGGCTCTGTAAAATGCGTCTGGTAACAACCTTCTTCTTGACAATCAGCATGGTTGTAAACATCAACAAAGCAATACGGCTGCGGGGTGCAGAAATTTTGCCCTCGGTACCGTCAATCTCAGCACCAAGAACTGTAGCTGATGCCACCCTTCTTTGTTTTTTCCCAGGATGAGCCACTAGCTTAACATCTTGATAAGCACGTTCCGCTGCCGCAAAAACTTCAATGTCCCGCTGTGTGTCAATCAACTCACTGGTCGGCCATCGGGGCACCTTTTGTAAACCAATATGATCATCAATGGTAAGAAGTTCATAAAAAGGGCCGCGTGGTATGGTCTTTCGATACTGTAGTACCTCATGAGATAACATGCTCCCAGCTTTTGCCCGCAACAGGTTAAAATGACTTTGTTGTGCAATCTCAACCGCCAAAGAATCTCCCATTGCTAACGTAGCCAGACATATGTAAACAGAGGTATCAGCAAGTTCAGAAGAGTAGCAACTCAAATGGTGCAACTCCTTCCCCTTGAAAACCACTCCAATTGCATTGCGAGCTGCACGCTGCTCAGATACAACAAATGTATAGTAAAACTCGCAAAGGTCGTCTGAGGAAATAACCAGCTTCTCATCATCCCGTAAACGTATAGCCCCTGCCAAATGCCCTGGTGCCAGAGTCTTAGTAAAAGAGTTACACCCAAAACACCGGGAATTAATAACAGTGGGATTAATTATAAGCCGATCATACTCCTCGTCCTTGCTGACTGCAAATAGCCCCACGCTTTCAGAGGGGTCAATCAAAGAAGTAGGGATCAATCTGCAAGCGCCCAAAGCATCCCATTTTGTAGCCAATCGGACAAGCTCCTGTCGAGAGCAATGCACTTTGGCCCGCCTCCGCACGGGCCAACTGGCTGCAGGCCGTCTGAGTACGTTGGGATCTTGGAAAGCTTTCTTGACAACTGGATCTGACAAAAAAGGAGTAGGATCAAAAGAAGGCCCCAACTTCCATTTTATACGATCCGCCAACACCGGCTTGGCTGGACTTATATTCAAAAAGACCTGCTGGCCAAGTGAGCTGCTCTCCTTGTCGGGTCTCGGAGAGGAAGACGCAAAAGAGCTCTGCTGTGGAAAAGCTGCTGGATTCTCACTACGCTTTGGCTGCCCATACGGATCCAAGGTGTGCTGAATGTCACTTAAAAAACTGCCAACATCAACATCATCAAAAGACACAGTTGGAAGTTGAATTGCTGCACTACAAATTTTTGCTAACTTATCACCAGCCCGCCCAAGCTCGGCTCTACCAACATCGGGAGCAGCAAGGAAATGACTGACCAGGCCCTCTATCTGTTCCAACATGACAAATTGCTGAGGAGAGATAGGGGAGCCTAACCTAGCATGGCTTGGGGGACTTTTGCAGTGACCTAGAGACAACCAATTCAGGGCAACCACAATGGTTTGTAAAGCTTTCGCTCTTGCCTGAAGCCATCTCCGTCTGCGTCTCCGCTTTGGTGACAAATGAGCAGAGCCAGTCCATCGCCAGGCTGGTGGGGGACATGGCCAAAGATCAGCACTGCAGGCATCAATGCTGCACACACGGCGTGTCAGACTTCGTCGCAAAAACTCCGGAAAACCAGCATGACACTGAACAACCGAGGCTATGACGAAGTCTACAATTGCACTGCATCTAATTTCCTCAGGCAGCCGCTCACCAGTAATTGTCGGCGAGTCATCGCGGCAAGGCTTCAAACTGCTTGCCACTCCTGCCTTTGCACCCTCAGATCTGCCAACGCCAGCACCAGAATCTGAAAAAGAATCTCTCAAAACTTCACTTCCAGTGCCAGAAGTCAGCCCGCCCCTCAGGCAGTGGTTTCTCCTGTGGGCTGAGCGGGCTCGCCCTTGCCCTTGCCTTTTGCTTTCTTCTTTGCATTGGGATTCCCCTTTGGCTCGCCGTCCTGGGGCTTCACATCCTTGACGTCTTTGGTCTTGCCAGTTTGAAGAATCCTGCTCTCCATCACATCCATGTCCTTCAGATAGGAGACATTGGCTGCCACCCAGCTCGGGCTCGCCAAACGGGTCCATGGTTGCAGAGAAGTGCGCACTCGATTGCGCGCCACCACAGCATAGTTTGGCTCTGGAATGCCCAGAAGTAACCATGCTAGACCGGTCTTCCCTCCATCCAGGCTTGCCTGTTCCACAAACATCATCCCTTTCACTGCAAAACCTTGCAGCTCGCGATTGCCGCTGCGAGCTCCCGCTTCGAAGGCATGGCTCATGATGTAGCCAAACTGAGTCAGCAGTCTGTGATCCCCCAATGGGATTCTGCGCTCCAGATAATCTTGAAGGAGACCGGGAGTCACCTGCGCAGTCTGCAACCCAAGATCCAGCGCTGCGTTCTGCTCTCCCACCGAAGCCAGTTTCACCAGATCTGCTGAAATCTTCACATAGGCCTCTCGAGCTAAACAGCCCTTTATACTGGTCCCTCCGCCACCCGAACTTCCCCCGTCGCTTCCGCTCAGAAGGGACTGGATGGGGTCGCTGCTCTGCTTGGCTTGCAACTGCTTTGTCAACAGCTGTACTTGCCGCATCTGCAGAGCTAGCAGTTTGTGGACCGGGTCCGTGGAAACCGCCATGGCCTCTTCGAGCGCCTGCTCCATATCGTCGTCCTCGACAACCTCGAGCTGCTCCTCTTGAAGAGCTCCGACTTGAGGTAGAGCATGTGACGAGGCCAGGGCTCGCTCGTGAGCAGCAGTCTTGGGAGGCCCCGTTCCAGCAAGCGCGCGCATACGATCCAAAACGGTGGGAGCAGCCGCTGAAACCCTCGGAGCTCCGGACAGCAAACCTCCGCCAAGAGTCCCAGGTATAGGATGTCGAGGAGGATGGGCCGCGGCGGCAGCCAACTGAGCTTCCAACTCCAGAACACGATTCTGCAGCTGATCCACCACGCCGGCATCCACAGCACCGTTTGGCAAAGGCTCCCCATCGATCGCGGGGTCTGCAAACTCGTCTCCAGTGAAATACTCGGCGGCCGTCTCTTCGGCCATGGCTTCGGCGATCCAAGCATCTGCAGCTGCAATCACGCTGTCCAGCATGGGGGCAGCCCCCGACGCACCAAGCTTGAACTTCACCAAGGTCCTTGCAGCCTCGCCTCGCAAAGCAGTCACCTTGGAAAAATCCTCCAAAGCATCCCAGGATGAGTCTACCAAAACGGCCTCGACCTCGGCAGTGTTGCGGCCTCGATTGGCCCCAATGGTGATCATGCACACTTGCTGAGCATACCGCAGAGGCGCCGCATCCAAAGCAGCCTGCACCTGCTCTTCGGCAGGCAAGCAAACCATAAAGCCGCCTGGACGACATCTGATCACAAAAGCCAGCGCAGTAATCGGAGCAGCACCCTCCGCAGCAGGAGGAGCAAAGAAAATAGAGGCTAATTTTCCAGGGTCTGTCGCCTCAAGCAGAGCCCTGATGGCTTCCTCACTCAGGTTTCCCCTTCGTACCGGGGCGGCCATGCCTCACCGGCCTCAATGAGATACGCCTCAGCTTCAGCACGCGATGGGAAAGCGTGACTGACACTGTCTGGATGAAAGCGATCCAAGTCCGCTCCACGCACTCGCAATCGGTAAGCTCGATAAGAGCAAGTCCAGCCAGCCGAGTGAGAAGGAGCAGCCCGCAGCACCACGTAGTAGTTGTTGCCAAGGCCAACCGAAGGAGATGGCACTACAGCACCCACTTCCAGGTCCAGACGCTGGCGAGCAGAAACACCTGCCCGCAGAGCCCTAGTCACGCGAGCACGTGGAGTCCACTCAGTTGATGCTGACCGCAAAGCCGCAGCCAAATGATCCACTGGGGAAAAATCCACTTCACAAAGTGCAGCAGGTGTAGAGGCTTGCAGCAGCTGAACTCTCCAAGCAGGCGTCCAAGGTTCAGGTGGACCCGTTCCTAAAACTGCAGTAGAACTAGCAGATGACCTAGGAGGTGAGGTGACGACCTGAGGCCTCAAGGGCCCTGCAAGGGGTACACGTTGAGGAGAATTCCCGGCACTGACCGAACTTGCGGGGGCTACAGAAACAGGAGGTGAACTGGTGGTGGATCTAACAGAGATAGTCAAATTCCCCAACTGGAACACAATTTCTTCAACCCCTGTCTGAGTCTCCTCTTCGTTCATTCACCGGTGCGATACCCACTCAAGCGCCTCTGCAAATCACGAGAGGGCACCACTTGCTGAATCGGGTTGAGGAGAGTGATCGCACCTTGCAGCACCAACACGACTAAGCGCCTGCAGCTAGGAGACAGGCACAAAACCGCAGCAGCCACCCCAGTTATCAAGCCTGCAACCCAGCACAGGATGCAGCTCAAGAGCAAAAGAGGAAAGCTTATGGCACAGTCCCCACCGCTAGTAAACCACCTAAGTTCAGAGAGGACCTCAGGCAACCAAGCCCGCATGGGCACTTGACCCGAAAGATGCTTGAGGACAAAGACGCTTCCATGCACATGTGATAGTTCCATACCAACATATGTATGTATGTATGTATATATATATATAACGAAATAAATCTATATAGAAACATATGTATATACATCTATCTATCTATCCATCTATCCATCTATCCATCCATCTATCCATCCATCTATCTATCTATAAATAAAAATAGAATATGTCCACTTCTTCATGGTTTTCAGTAGGCTTTCCCCAGCGTGGTGTCTGCACCTTTCCAGCAGGACGTGTCCAGAGATCTCTGCCCAGGACTTCATGGTTGGCACCGGCAGGGCCGCGGAGCCCGAGACCATGTACCTGTCGCGATGAACGACGGGGCAACTACAACCTGGGGAGATCTAACAAGCTTCAAAAATCACAAGATGTACGTAGGGTAAATATCTATGTAAATATGTGTAATATATGTATGTAAGTCATCTATACAATATATTTTTAAATACATACACATATATATATATATGTATGTATGTATGCATGCATGCATGTATGCATGTATGTATGTATGTATGTATGTATGTAGGCACGTACATACGTATGTATACACACACATAGATGTGTATACATGCACAAATAAGACTATACGTAACATATACAAAAGTAATCAAAAATATAGATTTACAAATACGTACTTATATATTTTTTCATTTACAGAGAGAGATAGATAGATAGATAGACAGATAGCTAGATAGCTAGATAGCTAGATAGCTAGATAGCTAGATAGCTAGATAGCTAGACAGCTAGATAGCTAGATAGCTAGATAGCTAGATAGCTAGATAGCTAGATACATAGATAGATAGATAGATAGATGGATAGATGGATAGATGGATAGATGGATAGATGGATAGATGGATAGATAGATAGATAGATAGATAGATAGAAGATGTTTTCCACAAAACCACTAAAACAGTGGGTTCATTGGATTTCAGACAACGCAATAAGGGTATGACAGCCTGAAATAGGCAGTTGGGCCCCCCATGGTGCCCCCGTAAGTCCGGCCACCTCAGGGATGGATTGCGCAGGCCCTCACCTGGCGAGATCTTTGGGGACATCAGTTGATGGCAGTTCCCATCAGGAATGGATCATGATATACATAGACAGTTACATACACATAAACATTACACACACATAAACGTACACATACACATAAACGTAAATATATACACACGCATATGCATATACATATACAAATAAATTACTGAAGCAAGGCAATGAGTGAATGAAAGAGGGGGTGCTGCAAACAGGCAAAGAATCACAAGAAACAGTCACTGAGCTTAAGGATATGCTGCCAACATGCACAAACCAACATTGGCCCCGTGACGCGCAGCAGGGTTCGTGACCACTAGTCTCTCTTTGGAGGGAGTGTGACTTAAAAGACGAAAATTGTCTCTGAGTAGTGACCGTGGGTCTCCCAGCACGCCACTGGCGGCCCCTGCTTGCTGTAGCTGTTGACATGCGGAGAAAGATCGACTTGAAAGAGCGTGCTGCATTGTTCCCTGATTTGATAATGGGGAAAGACCCAAAAAAACAACAAAGCAAATGGAGAAACAACGGGTCAATGGTTGGAAACTTGGTACCCTGTATTGACAGTTGCGGACTACCCCCGACCATCGACAGAAACCCTAAAAATAAAGCCTAAAGAAACAACCATCCCGACCATCCCGACCATCCCGACCATCTATCCACGATGTTGCTCCAGGATCGTCTTTGATGCTGATTCTGCAACGCTGATCCGGACCTGTGGATGTTGATTCAGGACGCTGCTCTGTGACGCTGATCTGACTTGATGGTTTCTGATACGGAATCTATTCTGATAACGCTGTTGTCAGATTCAGTTAAATGAAAAGGTGCAGCCAATCTGCTGTTGGCTACTACATGCAGGAGCTCAACAAAGTTGAGCAAGATTGCATGTAGGACGAAATTTAAAACCTAAGGTCCAGTTGTAGTGGGGAGTTCATTGTAAACAAGGATTTTGTCTTGTGAGAAATGTATCTACCGCTAGAAAGGGACCTGTCCCCAGGTGGAGTAATTACTTCCAGTCAATACCATGCATGCAAGAGATAACTGGAAGCACAAGCTACAAAACAGCGAAGGAGAAAACCAAACAAAAAGAGGAGAAAGGAATAAATAGCAACCAGATAAACTGGAGATCAGCACGAGGAACAATATCATCGCGGAGAACTCACTTTCAGTGAGTACCATGGGTGCAAATTCAATGAAAATATCTTTATATATTAAGACTGAGAGTCCTGGGAGCACAAACTCCTAAGGAGTGATGTGGCCAAATTGGCATGAAGTGAACTGAAGAAACAGCAAACAAAAACAACAAATTTAGGGAAACATGGGGCAACTGGAGCCGTGATGTCTCCCAATGGCCACATCTGTGAAACAGGAACAAATTGCACTCAGAATCTTCAAGTCCTTGCTGGTGTAGGAGCCAATGCCAAGGAAGATGTCCTGGTAGAGGTTGGCGGAGTTGATAAAGTCAGTGAACTCGTGGTGCTGGACCATGGCATCTTTGATGTGTGACTCTTGCATCTCCAGTGTGGGAGCTTCAATTGAGTGGCAATCTGTGAAAGGTAATTTCCTCGAGCGGTCAATCTTTGCCACTCTCTGGGTCAAAAATGTAAGGTATCAGGTGCAGTGAGGTTGAGTGCCAAAGAATCTGCACTTAAGTGTGTGGAGAAGATCGAAGTGCTTGTTGGAGAGCATAGTCAAGACCAGTGAGATCGATGTACCTGGCAGCTAAAGAAGTGAGTAACTCTTCTCATCCTGGATCAGTTCGAGGTTGCTTGGTAGGAGAAGTGTCTCTTCTAGGTTCCATTACATCAAGGAAGAGAACAGTAGTCGAAGAAGCTGGTGATGGTCCAGTTGAAGCTTGCACTGCTTGTTCTTGAGATGCAGAAGTCTTCATTGCGTACATGGCTGCAATGGATGCATCGTGATAATGAGGCTTGAATGTGATCAAAGTGAGGAAACACAACAAATTGGGGCACAGCCCGATCAACATGTGGCAAATGAAAGAGGAGAATAAAGAGAGCAGCTGCCAACGTGAACCCATGGGGCATGAACAATCATGACAGCACTGCTGAATCTGTGGCAAAGCAAAAGCTCTTGCCAAATGCCTATATACATATACATATACATGTACATGTACATGTACAGATACAGATACAGATACAATCAATCAAAGACCAACAGAAACCCACATTGAACCAGGCATTCACTCAGAAAATGAGCGATTTGCCATACAAGTAATGAGTGAGTTCGCGGTCCCTATTAAACAAATTATGCCCAACAACTGACCATCAACCAGAAAAGGATGAACTGGTCATCCTAATTTGGAGTGAGTGTACCTAGGACCAAAGGAGAGTCGACGAACTTAGTAAGGAAACCATCCAGTGCTTCCAAAAAACAGAAAAATGGCGAAGTTCGCAGTTTTTCCTATTCAATGTCCTCACCCAGGGTTCATCTTCCAATTTTTGTTACTGTCACCCTTATTTTTGGCGTTCATCTGCGCCGGATCGGACCTAAGGACCTGGCAGAATTCAGCTTTGGCACTGGCACTCAGTGTATCCAAGTACTGCGTGAATTTCACCTTGGCGGGGCGAGGTGAACCAGAGAGTCATGAGTTGGGCATAAATCATCATAAATCCCTCTCAGACCCAGGTTTTTTTTGATAACAGGCATGCAACACACAGTTGCAGGCCTATAGAAGAAGAGAACACATCAACACATCAACTGACGTCTTTTTGGGCCGTCTCCTTCGACCGACCAATGAGCGACGTAGATCGTGGGCACCGCATGGAAGCAGGTAATGTCCCCTGAGATGAGACGCCTCAGGCTGCAGCGGTCCGACATGGGGAACCACATCATGGAACTCAAGAAATGGACCCTCCAAACATAAAATATGGCGAAAATGTACGGAAGTTGTAATGAATATGTTTTTTGTCCACATCTGAAGTGTCTGATACTCTTCTGTCTCTGTTTTTTTGGGATTCACGCCCAAGCTGCTGGTGAAAGCCTATTGAAATCTTGACATGATTCCCTCTATAAAACGTCATTTTTGGGTTCACCATTGAACATGTAAGACCCCCACAATCTTTGTACATCTTTGTACACATTTTTGGGACCCTCTTTCCCACTGTGTCATCCGTCTTGGTCCATGACTTCAAGCAGAAGTCGGCATCAAATGCGGTCACTTCTACGGCGGCACCATTGAAGAGAGCGGAATTCAAAATGTTTTGAACCTGGGCCAAAAACCACTGCGTGTGGGTTAATAGCTGAAAATTGCTATGTATTGTAACTATAACGTGATATACAGATATATACAGATATATAATATATACAGTATGCATAAAGGGAAACGAGCTTCGGGCAGCGGTCCTTTTCTTGAGCCAAAGTCAAGTTGGACAACAATTTAAGTTGTCAAGTGACCTGCAAACTGGATTCCCGGCTTAAACCCTTTAGGTAAGCTCATGCATTTTAAGGAATTCCAGTTAAGCTTGGATATCTGTCATACTAACTACTGGGACCCTACCCTGGTGAGCCGTGTGCTACAACCAGGTGCATCAAGTGATAGCTCATTTGGGGTTGATTTTACCCGCATCCATTCTTCTCCCCCTTCGCATGTTCTAGAGAGGTCTCTGGGGCAGGTGTCTCCAGAGATGGATGCTTGGGCTTGATACCTAGTAGGTGCAGTGCATGTGGCCATTTGCCAACCGCCAAAGGTTTTGTGAAAGTCTTTATGTACATCAGCTTGGCAATACCACTCGCAAACACTTCGTACAGGGATCCAAGGATAATGCGGTGATGTTTACTGACATGACGCAGTTTTGGACTGTACCCTTGATTGCAAATCGCAATAGCGGCAGTATTATCTTGCATGCAACGCAGTTCTACTTCCCTACCATATACCTTCTCTATGAATTCCAGAGTACGCAAGGCATCATAGACTCCCGATGCTAATGGGATCACCTCGGCCTCTGTAGTCGATCTGCTTGTAGCTCCGGCTCCTTGGCGCTTGCTGCGCCAACTTAATGGCCAAAAGGAATTTGGCCCTTCCAGACAAAGCAGGCTTCCTGACGATGATTTCCCATCTTCAACGGCAGATGCGTGGTCGGCACCTGTATACAAGACCACTTTTAGATCCTGTTGCCTATCTGCAATCTTTCCACGAAGTTTGAAATCTTTAGTCGTCCACAGATACCTCATGAGCCTATACAAACGTTTGTCGTCTGCAGTACTCCAGCATGTAACGCGACGAGACAAAACTGCGATTGCTTTTTGAATGTCTGGTCGGCAGAGCCGGGCGCACCAGAGAATTTTCATGAGTACTGAGTATTCGACTGGCTGTTCCTGACAATTCCCCACGTGACTCCCATTCAGTCAAAGGCAAACTTCCTTCAGGAAGGTATGGAGGGCTTGCTTCTTTCAAGGGCTTTCCCGCCAATTTGACATAGAAATCACATGAAGATTGGATGAAGTCTACCATGTCAAATTCTACCTCAGCTGAATCTTCACTATGATGAAAAACATGCTTTCTTCCCAGGCATCGGTCGACTTCTGTTGGCGGTTCGATTTCCAAATGACTGGACAAAGTTTTCCAAAATTCTGCATGAAGATGTGAGTAACAAAACATTACCGAATGTCCAATTTGATTGGTTGTCTTGGTCAGGGCTTCAACCCATCAATTGCATCACCTCCCGGAATCTGTCTGGATGCCCGTAAAGGGCTTTGTCCAGAGGCGCTACGGGATCTTTTATGTGTGAGTATTCCTTTGGAACTAGTTCAGGAGGCAGCAATACCCATGTGGGTACTTTGGTTCTGAGAAGGCTCTGTGTATATGCATGTACAACATCGCTTTGAATGCTCTTATTTCCTTTTAGGGCACCATAGCTTAGGTTGAAATTTATAGCGGTTATTCCAGAAGGATTGACTTTTAGTTCTTGACGAATCGCTATGTTATTGGACTCATCGACTATTTGGTCTCCTCTGAAAACCACTCTTGCTTTCAACTTTCTCACTGTTGTACTTTCTGCATGCTTGACACTGAGTATTGTCATAAGCCTTCCCAAGTTGTATTGTTTTCCTGATTTCAACAGCTCTGCTTGTGGAAAAATTTTTGTCACACAACCAGACCTCATTGGCAACTAAACCATCCCTTTCCTTGGCAATGGCTTCGTAGGCTCCCGGATGTTTGCTCCAGTCTTTCCGGTCAATGACCTGATGCACTCCTACGGGGACTGATCTGGGCACATGCTTGGACTGTACAAATGGAACCGTTGGCATACCTGGAACACTGGCATCTGGATACAAGCTGTTCGAAATCACTTGGGCCATCTTTTCCGTGTAGAAGGCTGATCGTGAAGTCTCTGCCCCTTCCAAAGGACTGTGTTTAAACCCTTTTGGATGCTTACATTGATAGGCTCCAAGATTAACTGCCACTTTCATGGATGTTGTTACAACCCCCCACGTCTTTTTATGAGGTTCCCCGTTCTTGTCAACCAGTCCTAGCGCGCATCCACTGCAACAGGTTTCGAACATGTTGTGACGTTTGATGAATCTAAGCAACTGAGTCCGTGCCCAGCCTTCACTTTGCTTTGGCCACTCAAAACTAACATGCCTCCGTTTGCAATGACATTGTCTGCCACGAGAAGGAAATGCTCCAACAGCTTTTTGCTTGGTTTTCTTTTCTTTGCCAATTTGGTCTTCTACTTTTTACCGTACCTATACACGCTCATCTTTTGCCAGGCTGACCAAGGCCCACAAGGTAGGCTTGCCCACAGGTCTGCCCCCTTGAACTGGTTGGTCAGGTTCAACAAGCTTGCAATATGTGCAGGGTCTTCCAGGTTGGATGTGTCACGACTAAGTCTGAAATGATCAAGCCCGTTTGAGTGGTTAACCTTCCCCAATGTGGAGTCTTTGCTGCAGCAGAACTCGAACATTACCGGTTTCTTTCCTGACCGGATCCTGCGTTCTTTAGGCGGGTTCAATGTCCTTTCGTTCACAACATCTGCAGGTGGAATTCCAATGCGAATTTGGTGGACTTAGCCATTTCCAGAATTTTGGCTCCTAGAATTCGATCCAAGATTGGAAAGTCTCCAGATGAATTAAATTCATCCCCCTTTTCCGAGGTGTTGCAAAGGCTGATCCATTGAAAAACCTGACTCTCATCGTTCTTTGCATATTTGCAAACGATGCTAAACACTGAGTTTCTGAAATTCCTACACCTAGCAGCATCAGCAGGCAAGGGAGGTAACTTCACTTGATCATAGTATTTGACTCTCATTGTTTTCTTTTCGACTTTATATGGATCCCTTTCTCCGCTTGAACCCGGGCTGGACACTACATCACCTACAGCCGATGGTGGCCCACTCCCTCCCGGCATGCCTCTTCCACCCTTTTTGGAGTGTGAGCTTGACGATGATGATGATGACCCGCTTCCTGGTGGCGACTGAGGAGCCCTTGGCCGCTGATCCGATCTATTTGAAGGTCTGCGTCCATGTCGGTTTGACTGATGAGAATTCATTTCATTTGTTATTGTTTGCACTTGATTGGCCAACTGTTGGACTTGGATGCTCAATGCGATGCTCTGATCACCTTGAATTTGGCTTCCTACTTGCCAGTTCCTAAGAATTTCTGGTGGCAACATAGGAGGTGCCATGTGCATCTCTCCTGGACACTGCTCTGGTGAAGGTGCCGGACGCAACTCTTCACCGTAGAATCCTGAAGCACGGGGCACAGCACATTGCGATTGACCGGTGGGACCAACTGGAATTTCCGTACCAGGATAACTAGATCTCGGTGTGGCTATGCTCCTTACTATGGGACTCACGGCAAATGACTCAGGTATTGACGTGCATGGCATGGGCAGAACAAAACTTTTCGGCATTGATGATGACGAACTTGGTGCTCCCAATTTTGGTGGGGGCTTCAGATCTATGATCGGGTGCTTTGTTGGGTCAGTTTTCTGAACTTGCAACGCCCGAATCATATTGTTTTGATCCTTAATTTGGTTCATCATAGCATCCATTTGACTCTGCATTTCTACCATTTTATTTTGGGTAATTACCAATGCTTCATGTTTTTCTTGGAGTGCACCGGCAACTTGAACAACCTGTTGGGACGTTTCCGCTAGCAACAATTTTTAATGCTCAATCTGACCCTGACTACTAACAACTTCCTGCTGGGCATTTTGGACCACCCTGGAGGATTCTTCCTGGGATTGGGTTACCCGCATGGTTGCGTCGTCAAGGGATTGCCTAATCCTATCACTGGCTTCAGCTTCTATGGCTTGGACCCGCGACTGGAATTGGTTTTCTAAGGCATTTACACAGGCATATAGCATTGCTTGGGAATGAGCATTAGCTTCAGCTGTCTTTGCAAATTGAAGGGCCTCATTTCTGGCATTAGCTTCAAATTGGGACACGTACTGAAGGGCTTGATCCCTAGCATCTGCAACCATTTGGTGAGCCTGAGCTGCAACCAATCGGCTAGCATCCAACAAGTTTACTACCCTGGCATCAGTGAATTGCAAAGTCTGATTGTCTTGAACAGTGACATTTCGTGCATCTATATTATGCACCGCTTGGTGATACTCATAGCTGTGCATGACTGTGGGTTGCCCTTTAGGGATGGATTGACCCGACGACGATGTTTCCGTCGACATACTTGAGTCTTGGATTGGGGTAGGAACAGCCTGGGCGAATGGTACAAGCCCTAATGACCCATCATCCATCAAATGCTCCATTTTTCAGACACCTGGGCAAATGATGGAGCTTCGACTGCTGATCAAGCGATCAAGGGCGTGGGAATCTTTCCAAACAAGTCTGAACAGAGTGGTCGGCAAAGAATTTAGCCTGCAAATATTCATCGCAGTTTTCTGATTGCCTCTTCCTCTTCAACTTGATGTGAACTCCTTTCACTTCTCCCGGATCAAATGTCTCACGCAAATGCTCAATGATCTCTACCTTGTCGTCAACAAGAACTGCAATTTCGCGATCTCCTCTTCTGTCTCCGAGCGAATCAAGAAACGTCTGGATGTCTGCAACCTTGTCAAGCGGATCACGTGTGAAGATTATACCAGATAATAAATCCTGGGCCCCAGCACGGTTCCACTGTTCGACGACTGATTCCAATCTTCCGCCTGAATGTACGTAACTCAGAACAAAAATCCACCTCTGTTCGCCTGCAACCTCTTTCAAGTGACGAAGCACCGCAAGGTTCTGCGGAGGGATTCTGCCCGTCGTCAGTGAACACTCTTCCCAAGACCTGTCAAGAACCTGATGATGATCCAAAAACAAGAACTCGGATACTTGGACGTGCGAGATGGCGATTCTGCCTTGAGGCCTTGCAAGAAAAAATCACCCCCGTCAGTCGAATGAAACGAACAAACAGTATCGGGCAACAACAATACAATGCCATCACCTCTCAACGCCTCAGATCTCTGATGCTCCTCAACCAGCCTGTTCTGCACTGCTGTGTCAACTTGAACCCTGGACCTCGCAAGAAAATTAAACGTCTCAAGCGGTGGGTGTCTACCTGTAGCCAAATGTGGATGTGTCGGCGACAAATATCCAAGTTGAACTCCTTCGCGCATAAACGCTCTTTTCTGAGTCCGGCCCCTTTGGCCAGATCGCGGGAACCACAACAGTTGATGCAACTCTTCGAACTCCGGGTGCTCGGGATCAGCAGGTTCAGCTGGTTCAGCTGGTACTGCCTCCCGAGCACCCGAAGACGAAGCCGAGGCTATGGCTGCAGGAACGAAAGCCCTACGGCTGATAACCAAGGGAAACGAGCTTCGGGCAGCGGTCCTTTTCCTGAGCCAAAGTCAAGTTGGACAACAATTTAAGTTGTCAAGTGACCTGCAAACTGGATTCCCGGCTTAAACCCTTTAGGTAAGCTCATGCATTTTTAAGGAATTCCAGTTAAACTTGGATATCTGTGATACTAACTACCGGGACTCTACCCTGGTGAGCCATGTGCTACAACCAGATGCATCAAATGATAGCTCATTTGGGGTTGATTTTACCCGTATCCATTCTTCTGTATATACCAGTGTATACACATAGATTACATTTTTCGAAGGGACTTGCTTTTTTTGAGCCAGTCCCATGTGTATACAAGTGTTTAACTCAGCTCGCAAGCTGAGAAGCTGACTCCATGGATGTGATGCAAGGGCAGGACGTGCAGAGTTCTATCCTTGTTGGACCACCTCAGCCATGAAAATATATAACTCTGTTGAATTGATAGGTGATTTACTATAACATAATTTGAACTATGAATTCTGCTAAACTCTGTTTAAAAATAGTAATCCTGTTGAATTTTTATAGGGCTTTACCCGTTTACCCTGCCTGGTTTACTGGGGATTTACCTCTGAAGCAACCAGTGGGGATGGTTTTGGCTCAAATCTGGCCGTTGACCCAGGAACTTCCAAGCAGAACTCAAGGACACCATCTGCGCCGTCAAACCTTGAACATCAACAAAACCATGGTCTGCGTTGCAAAAAAAGGACTTAGAAAGAAAAAAGAACATCAATGCTCCCGGATGTTTCATGAAATCTCATGAAATCTCATGAAATCCGGTTCCCATTTCATGAGGATTTTTTGGACTGTTTCTATTAACACAACAAGCGCAACGCGGTGTGTCTTTGATCGAGGAGGCAACTCTTGAAGGTGTGAACAACGCCTGGAGGATCGGGACTGGAGGATGGGGTCTCTGATGAAGATTTTCTTCTGGCGGTTTAATGGTGAACGAATGTTGATGTAATGGGATGTAATGGGATTTAATGAAATGTAATGGTGACTGGTGTTTTTTTCATGAGGAGTTTAAAAAAATGGCGATGTGAATACTGGGATGTATGACCGGCAGTATTAGCGATGGGTGATGATTAACCAATGGACTTCGGGGTAGCAAAATGTTTCACACGAACCCAGCTGTGTCTAAAACTGTCGTAATATATAAATGGCTATCAATGTTGTTGACGATAGCTGAAGGATGTTGCTGTTTTTTTTCGGGTGAGTCTGAAAATGGGGGATACCCATAGAATAGTGCGAATTAAATGTATAAATGTATGTGTATACATACATACATACATACATACATATATATATATATACAATGGAAAAGATGATGATTACCAATTGGATTTGGGGGTGGCCTATATGATCTTGTGAAGGCCAGTAGTTGCATTTCACACCATGTAGGGCCACTGGCTGTAGGATCCCCCACCCTTTGGCTGTCCAGTGGTGCCAGAAGTGTACAAGATCAGCGCATTCTTCGAGGCGACCTTGGTGCCAAAGTGCGACCATCCGATCATCAGGTGTCTAGCCATCTTTAGCCATCGAAAATCTGCAGTTACTGCTGAAATATTCACAAAAATATGTTGATACCCTCTGGTTATTTTACATAGCCATGGTATAGATGGCCCAATGGCCCATAGAAATAGATGGTTTACCTATTAAAGATGGGTGGATCTTTCCGGTGGATCTTTCCATGGCTTGATTGCCACATCCAAGCCACATCGGTCAGTCCGGCCCATTGGCAAAACCAGCTGAAGCACGATGGCTCGGTCTGCGTCACGAGCTCTCAACTGAAACCCATGCGGCCCGTGCCTATGTGGTATGGATTGGTATGGGACAAAACATGCAAGACTCAGTGACAATCTCAAAATGAATGGAATCGACATCAATCGACCTTATCCAAAATGGGATATTACTTCACCTCTGGTGATGAGTTTGAGATAGCAGCAAGTCACGCCAAGGTTCCTCCCCTTTTCAGATCGCAGAACCACACAAGGGCATGAAACAGTGGTAACTCCAATGCAAAATCCTTATGGATTCCAGCATCCCAAACAGTGCACATTGCACACATGGCACTCAAAAGCAGCAGAAGAGAGCAGCTGCAGGATTATTTGCAAGCTGTCCGCTAAGGACACACTTTTGACGCATCACGAACACATCCCAGACAAAAAGCCCCGGCCGACATCTTTTTCCAATAGGAGTATGAAACGGTCGGACGTGCGGAGTTGATGACGGTCAGATGTTGCTGTCAAATGGTGTGAATTCAAACAGAATCAAATCCAGCAGATGGTCTAAGTTGGTCAAACCCATCCGGAAAGGTCCCCGATCCTCTGACTATCTCCACAACGATGGCCTTGGCCAGCGCATAGCCAGCGCTTTCGGAAACGTCACCACCTTCAACTGCCAGATGATATCCATCAGCAGGCGCCTGTCCTCCCTGCAACGTCTGCGGTTGAACCGTGGTGCTGTTCATCAAACCCACCGAATCTCTAGTGATGTGTGATGGTTGCTTGTTGTATTAAGAAAAAAAAACACCAGCAGATTACCTGCTGGTCATTTGTGTCGCGCCTTCGCGACCATGGCAAATTGTCGTGCCAGCTTCTCGGCAACTGTCTTCATCTTGGAAGACCCAGAGGAATCGGCCAAACACAACGAGCTCTCGCTGTCCTCCCGGCAGTTTGAAGCTAGCATGATATTCAACTACTGAGGTCACAGGAGCGAAAACTTTGAGAGGATCAATAGTCAATGTTACCTTTGCCTGGTGATTTCCTCAAGAAGTAACTTCCACACTTTGACTTCTGCAACTATTCAACAGCTGTCCTTGACAAAATATTCCAGCTCTGGTACTGGCGAATGTACAGAGAGTGGTACCTGACTCCCAAAGTGACCAAGGCCATCAACCACCTGCTTTATTTCATGAAGGTTTACAAAGTCTCACCCTCATGCCAGATTCCAATGCAGCTATGCTTCCCTATCGCACGCACTAGTCACTAGATAGATCTAGATAGTCAAGAGCCTGTTCCTCATGAGCAATACCATTGACGCCATTAGCCCGATGAGATGCTGCGGAGGCAGGAGGATCAAAGCTGTTGGAGATAGCTATCTACGATGAGCGATTCTGACGTATCACTAGCCTTGGCCATGGCTGAAAATCAATGTATCACCCGGTACGATGAAGCAAGAAAGTCTACAATACTTTGCGGCCAGAAGACATCAATTGGCTGGGAATGGATGAAAAAATAGGGTATCACTGGACCCATTGATTTAAGGCCTTTTATACTGTTTAGCTCAAGTTGGGAGCCAAAAACAATGTCAGGTACGTGTTGCTTCAATTCTCAGCCGTTCAGCCCCGGCTCACGCAGACACCACCAGCTGCCCAAATGGACAACTCGGTCACCACGTACCTGGGCCACCCAGTCCCGGCATCACTGCGGTTTGCCCAGTAACAAGTGCTGTTCGGTAAGATATCAGTACAGACCATAAGCAGTTGACTATGTCAATGCCGAGAAGGATAAGTTGGTTCTACTGTGTCACTATCTATACATCTATATACATATATACATACATATATATATATCCGCCGACCCCGGCCGACAGCAAGGGGGAGCGCGTCAGGGAAGAGAGGTTGTGGACAACAACAAATACAACAACGGGTCTTGGGAAGCTTTCCAAAGTAGCAGCAGCAGTAGCAGCAGCAGAGCAGCGGCAGTGGTAGCAGCAGCAGAGCATCGGCAGCAGCCAGTAGCCAGCAGCCAGTAAGCAGGCAGGAGGCAGCCAGGACTCAGCAGCCAATAGGCAGCAGCCGCCAAGCAGCCAGTAAGCAGGCAGCAGGCGGCCAGTAGTCAGCAGCCAGGTCAGCAGCCAGTAGGCAGCTGCCGCCAGCAGCTGCAGCAGTTGCATTCTCCGGGGGCTCTTTTGAACAGGCGGCAGCAGCAGCAGCAGCAGGAGGCTCAGGTGTAGCCTTGTTTAGAGCAGTTTCAGACGAGACGTTAGGCAGTTTTTGGTCATTTTTTTCTGGCCCATCCGCCCTTCGCTGCCATGGTGTTTCCCTGTCCGGGACTCCGGGACCCACGTTTTTGCAGCAGCCAGCGGCAGAAGCAGCCACCAGCCAGCAGCAGCCAGTAGCCAGCAGCCAGTAAGCAGGCAGCGGCAGCCAGTAGTCAGCAGCCAGTAGGCAGCTGCCGCTAGCAGCTGCCGCTAGCTGCAGCAGCCGTATTATCCGGGGGCTGTTTTTTGAACGGGCAGCGGCAGCAGCAGCAGCAGCAGCAGGAGGCTGAGGTGTAGCCTTGTTTAGAGCAGTTTCAGACGAGACGTTAGGCAGTTTTTTGTTATTTGGCGTCGTGCGTCCAGCATCCAGAAACCATTCCTTGCTTTGAGCAGCGGAGAAGCAACAACCGAAGTAGCAGCCGAGCAGCTTACAGCAGGAGCAGGGCAGCAGGAAGGCCATGTGGACACAGTTGTCAAGAGCTGCCAAGAGCTGGAAATTTGTGTTTTTAAACTAGAGTTTCAGAAGGGACGTTAGGCCTCGTGGATTATCATTGCAGGGCACCATTCCGTCCCTCAGTGCCATGGTGTTTTCCTGTCCGGGAGGTGCGTTTCTTTAAGGCAATTTGTTGGCTAAAAGATGTGGTAAACAGCTGCGGGCTGCAGAGGTGGCAAACAGGTGCAAAACGCTGCCAAGAGCTGTCAAGAGTTGGACCTTGTGTTCCTTAATGTTTTTTGACTAAGGTTTCAGAAGGGACGTTAGGCCACGTGGATTACCATTGCAGGGCACCATTCGTCCTTCAGTTCCATGGTGTTTTCCGGTCCAGGAGGCTGGTCAGCAGCAGCAGCAGCAGCCGAAGGCGGCACACCAAAAGCAGCGGAGCAGCAACAACCGAAGTAGCAGCCGAGCAGCTTACAGCATGAGCAGGGTAGCAGGAAGGCCATGTGGACACAGTTGTCAAGAGCTGCCAAGAGCTGGAAATTTGTGTTTTTTAACTAGGGTTTCAGAAGGGACGTTATCCCTGTGGTTTATCATTGCAGGGCACCATTCCGTCTCTCAGTGCCATGGTGTTTCCTGTCCGGGAGGTGCATTTTTTTAAGGCAATATGTTAGCTAAAAGCGCACCAGCAGGAGGAGGGGCTTGTAGCAGGAGCAGCAGCAGCAGCAGCAGCAGCAGGAAGCAGCGCAGCAGGAACAACCAAAGTAGCAGCCGAGCAGCTTACAGCAGGAGCGCAGGAAGGCCATATGGACACAGTTGTCAAGAGCTGCCAAGAGCTGGAAATTTTTAACTAGGGTTTCAGAAGGGACGTTAGGCCTCGTGGATTATCATTGCAGGGCAGCATTCCGTCCCTCAGTGCCATGGTGTTTTCCCGTCCGGGAGGTGCATTTTTTTAAGGCAATATGTTAGCTAAAAGCACACCAGCAGGAGGAGGGGCTTGTAGCAGGAGCAGCAGCAGCAGCAGCAGGAAGCAGCGCAGCAGCAAGAAGCAGCGCAGCAGCAACAACCAAAGTAGCAGCCGAGCAGCTTACAGCAGGAGCAGGGCAGCAGGGAGGCCATGTGGACACAGTTGTCAAGAGCTGCCAAGAGCTGGAAATTTTTTTAACCAGGGTTTTAGAAGGGACGTTAGGCCTCGTGGATTATCATTGCAGGGCACCATTCCGTCCCTCAGTGCCATGGTGTTTTCCTGTCCGGGAGGTTCGTTTTTTAAGGCAATTTGTTGGCTAAAAGATGTGGCAAGCAGTTGCAGCAGCCGCAGCAGAAGCAGCGCAGCAGCAACAACCAAAGTAGCAGCCGAGCAGCTTACAGCAGGAGCAGGGCAGCAGGAAGGCCATGTGGACAAGTTGCCAAGAGCTGCCAAGAGCTGGAAATTTGTGTTTTTTAACTAGGGTTTCAGAAGGGACGTTAGGCCTCGTGGACTATCATTGTAGGGCACCATTCCGTCCCTCAGTGCCATGGTGTTTTCCTGTCCGGGAGGTGCATTGTTTGAAGGCAATTTGTTGGCTAAAAGATGTGGTAAACAGCTGCGGGCTGCAGAGGTGGCAAACAAGTGCAAAACGCTGCCAAGAGCTGTCAAGAGTTGGACCTTGTGTTCTTTAATGTTTTTAAACTAAGGTTTCAGAATGGACGTTAGGCCACGTGGATTACCATTGCAGGGCACCATTCGTCCTTCAGTTCCATGGTGTTTTCCGGTCCAGGAGGCTGGTCAGCAGCAGCAGCAGCCGAAGCCGGCACACCAAAAGCAGCGGAGCGGCAACAACCGAAGTAGCAGCCCTCAGTGCCATGGTGTTTTCCTGTCTGGGAGGTGCGTTTTTTTAAGGCAATTTGTTAGCTAAAAGATGTGGCAAGCAGTTGCAGCAGCCGCAGCAGAAGCAGCGCAGCAGCAACAACCAAAGTAGCAGCCGAGCAGCTTCCAAGAGCTGGAAATTTGTGTTTTTTAACTAGGGTTTCAGAAGGGACGTTAGGCCTCGTGGATTATCATTGCAGGGCACCATTCCGTCCCTCAGTGCCATGGTGTTTTCCTGTCCGGGAGGTGCATTTTTTTAAGGCAATTTGTTGGCTAAAAGATGTGGTAAACAGCTGCGGGCTGCAGAGGTGGCAAATAGGTGCAAAACGCTGCCAAGAGCTGTCAAGAGTTGGACCTTGTGTTCTTTAATGTTTTTTAACTAAGGTTTCAGAAGGGACGTTAGGCCCCGTGGATTACCATTGCAGGGCACCATTCGTGTGTGTTCCCGTCCAGGAAGCTGGTCAGCAGCATCAGCAGCTGCCGAAGCCAGCACACCAAAAGCAGCGGAGCAGCAACAACTGAAGTAGCAGCCGAGCAGCTTACATTACAGCAGGAGCAGGGCAGCAGGAAGGCCATGTGGACACAGTTGTCAAGAGCTGCCAAGAGCTGGAAATTTGTGTTTTTTAACTAGGGTTTCAGAAGGGACGTTATCCCTGTGGTTTATCATTGCAGGGCACCATTCCGTCCCTCAGTGCCATGGTGTTTTCCTGTCCGGGAGGTGCATTTTTTTAAGGCAATATGTTAGCTAAAAGCACACAAGCAGGAGGAGGGGCTTGTAGCAGGAGCAGCAGCAGCAGCAGCAGGAAGCAGCAGCAGCAGCAGGCAGCAGCGCAGCAGCAACAACCGAAGTAGCAGCCAAGCAGCTTACAGCAGGAGCAGGGCAGCAGGAAGGCCATGTGGACACAGCTGTCAAGAGCTGCCAAGAGCTGGAAATTTGTGTTTTTTAACTAGGGTTTCAGAAGGGACGTTAGGCCTCGTGGATTATCATTGCAGGGCACCATTCCGTCCCTCAGTGCCATGGTGTTTTCCTGTCCGGGAGGTGCATTTGTTTAAGGCAATTTGTTGGCTAAAAGATGTGGCAAGCAGTTGCAGCAGCCGCAGCAGAAGCAGCGCAGCAGCAACAACCAAAGTAGCAGCCGAGCAGCTTACAGCAGGAGCAGGGCAGCAGGAAGGCCATGTGGACAAGTTGCCAAGAGCTGCCCAGAGCTGGAAATGTGTGTTTTTTAACTAGGGTTTCAGAAGGGACGTTAGGCCCCGTGGATTACCATTGCAGGGCACCATTCGTGTGTGTTCCCGTCCAGGAGGGTGGTCAGCAGCATCAGCAGCTGCCGAAGCCAGCACACCAAAAGCAGCGGAGCAGCAACAAGCGAAGTAGCAGCCGAGCAGCTTACAGCAGGAGCAGGGCAGCAGGAAGGCCATGTGGACAAGTTGCCAAGAGCTGCCAAGAGCTGGAAATTTGTGTTTTCAACTAGGGTTTCAGAAGGGACGTTAGGCCTCGTGGATTATCATTGTAGGGCACCATTCCGTCCCTCAGTGCCATGGTGTTTTCCTGTCCGGGAGGTGCGTTTTTTTAAGGCAATATGTTAGCTACAAAGCACACCAGCAGGAGGAGGGGCTTGTAGCAGGAGCAGCAGCAGCAGCAGCAGGAAGCAGCGCAGCAGCAACAACCGAAGTAGCAGCCGAGCAGCCGACAGCAGGAGCAGGGCAGCAGGAAGGCCATGTGGACGCAGCTGTCAAGAGCTGCCAAGAGCTGGAAATTTGTGTTCTTTATATAACTAGGGTTTCAGAAAGAACGTTAGGCCTCGTGGATTATCATTGCAGGGCACCATTCCGTCCCTCAGTGCCATGGTGTTTTCCTGTCCGGGAGGTGCATTTTTTTAAGGCAATTTGTTGGCTAAAAGATGTGGCAAGCAGTTGCAGCAGCCGCAGCAGAAGCAGCGCAGCAGCAACAACCAAAGTAGCAGCCGAGCAGCTTACAGCAGGAGCAGGGCAGCAAGAAGGCCATGTGGACACAGTTGTCAAGAGCTGCCAAGAGCTGGAAATTTGTGTTTTTTAACTAGGGTTTCAGAAGGGACGTTAGGCCTCGTGGATTATCATTGCAGGGCACCATTCCGTCCCTCAGTGCCATGGTGTTTTCCTGTCCGGGAGGTTCGTTTTTTTAAGGCAATATGTTAGCTAAAAGCACACCAGCAGGAGGAGGGGCTTGTAGCAGTAGCAGCAGCAGAGGCAGCAGCAGCCGCAGCAGAAGCAGCGCAGCAGCAACAACCAAAGTAGCAGCCGAGCACAGCAGGAGCAGGGCAGCAGGAAGGCCATGTGGACAAGTTGCCAAGAGCTGCCCAGAGCTGGAAATTTGTGTTTTCTTAACTAGGGTTTCAGAAGGGACGTTAGGCCTCGTGGATTATCATTGTAGGGCACCATTCCGTCCCTCAGTGCCATGGTGTTTTCCTGTCCGGGAGGTGCATTTTTTACGGCAATTTGTTGGCTGAAAGATGTGGCAAACAGTTGCGGGGTGCAGAGGTGGCAAACAGGTTCAGATTCAAAACCCACTCGCTCTGAAATATCAGCTAGCAACAATAGGCCCGGGGTCGGCGGCAGGAGCGGCAGCCCTTAGATATTTATATACATATGCATATAGACATAATATAGACATGTGGACATATAGACATATACACACAGACACATAAAGATGTACACATACATTACATATCTGTGCATAGTGTATATATATATATTAATATATAATAATATATATATGCCCTCTGACATGGGAAGCCGGAAACTTGGCTCCGGGCGCTACAGAGGGCTGGATGAAGAAAGCCACATGCCTGGCTTTCAAAACCCCATGGGCCAACCTGTGGACCCAATTCTATGAAGCCATCGATTTTCGGAGTGTCAAATAGTGTCAATAACCTATTTAAAAAAGGACCCACCACGTCGTGAGTACAACTTGACACCTAGTATTCCTGCGATTTCACACCAAAAAAACTTGCATAGATGGATGTTTATCAAGCCATTCATGTAGAAAAACGAGACGTAGTGACGATAGTGACCCCTCCCTTTTTTTTTGAGGTTGTCACCTCACAATTTTCTATAGGCGCTTCAGGATGCTTCAGGCTTGATGGGACTCACAACTTGCCATGCCTTGGCAGGTCAGACTTCGCATCAAGCAAAGCTTTCACGCTCAAAGACAAGGAGCTGATGCAGCCTCGCAACATGTCGTGATGCTGCTTAAAAGCCACCGGAGATCGAAATTGGATTGCCGACGGCATTCTTGGCATCCAAAAAATCCTTCAATAATCCATCGAAAATCTGTCAAAATCCCTCAAAATCCTCGAAAATCCTTGAAAATCTTTGAAAATCCTTAAAAACTGATTAAGTGGCAAATTCAATTGGCTCATTTCTTGGGGCTCCCAGCGCTTCAGCTCTGCATATGACAACTGGATGGGTTTTTCCTGTCACGCGCAGCGGCCATTGAGCTTCTGGTTGCATCATCAAGCATCATCAAGCCGACAAAAACAACCGGTGAATTCGGCAAACCAAGCCATTCGGTTTTACTGAAGTACATGAAGACGGTATGATATGACATATCATACTTTTTGAACAAAGATGGAGTGAGGCCAGAGTGACCGAAGATTTCAAAAGGCTGCGGTTTAACCATCCAACAGGACTAACAGGACCTTGTTGTGTTCCATAACTGCCAAGGCCACGCCGTCACTGGCATGTTTGGAGATCTGCCGCAAAATGGGCACCTTGGCAACGGTCAAACGGTAGCGAGTCAACGGAGTTCCTTGCGGTACCAAGGAACCGAAAATCGCTGCTGTTTATGGGCCTTCCCCCCACATAGTTTCATGCTAGCCAATGGGGGTGCCAATGGCAGCCAGGTCCCTGTATTTCATCAAAGCCATGTTTTTGGTTGACCCTGCTGTACTGCTTTTGATCGTTTGTCTCCATCCCATGGTGCCCTGTTCCATGGTTGCAGTGCTTTCCCCAGCCAAGGCACTGCTTCCATAGTGGGGGCAAGACACAGTGCGGCTGCGAACAAGGTCGATTGTTTTGCTGGGTGGAGCATTCTGATTGCAGTGATTCTACTGATAGTGGGGTCAATTTGTGTATTTTGTCTTTGTCTAGGCCGGGACTGTAAGATCACTCGATCTGAAGTCAGCTGAAGCAAAGATCAACTGCTGCATGAGCTACATGTACTGTGGCTTCGCCAATGACGCTGCTTGGTCAACTCCACAGCGAACTTTTTCGTAAGCTACTGTCCCCACGCGGCGTCTTTGCTGCAGTTGCAAGCTACTATTGTACCGAGTGCGAAATGGTTCACACAGTTCACACAATGTGGCCATGAAACTGTCTAGGCAGATTAAAAAAGTGATGGGCCTAGGCCAAGATCTTCACCTAGGACTTCATTAACTTCATAAACTCAGCGTAGTTGATTTGCCCGTCCTGAATTTGTTTCAAACTGAAATTGCAGGGCTGATGGCGGTCCAATGGAGGCCAGAGTGGACTCTGATTTTTTTTGCTGTCCTGATCTTTGTCGATTTCGCTTAATGCCTGGCAGCCACACCAGCCACACCACAAACGTTCATCATGATTTCAGACACAAAACGATCAGAACGATCTTGAGCATCCATCCTCTTGAATCTCTTTCTCGTCGACACCATGGTCTTTCACTGCTGCCAGCAGTTCCTCCTTGCTGATGCAACCATTGCCATCCCTGATGGATCGGTCAGCTGCGCGCGTGAGCCGTGAAAAACTGCCAACTATTGCTAGCTATTCCTACCGTTGCTTTGCTCAAAATCCATCAAAATCCCTATTCAACCAGCAAACGGCTAAAACGGCTAAAGCTAACGATGAAACAACGCCAAGCTTCACATCAACCTCCGCAAAGGTTTCCAGTAACATCGACCAGCGGGGTGCCTCATGGCCAATTTCACAGCCGCCGCATGGATACAGCACTTTACGGATATGCCGACGGATGATGATAAGGTATGGAATTTGGGGTCTCAATGTCGGCAAGCCCCATATGATTGTGGGGTCAAAACATGGTTTTTCTGTGGTGTGGTCAATAATCCCTATGAAAATGGATTGATGACCATTCCACAAGAAGCCAAGTTTTGACCATGACTCCATGACACATTATTCATCATTTTTCAAGATCACTGCATTCCAGTTGCCTCTTTGTCAGACTCATCAAGCCTGAGCTGCGGGGTCAGCTGGGCGGTCGTGCAGATGCTTCAGCCGAGGCGCAAAGCTGACTTCACATGTTCCTTTGCAACCTGAGATCGATGGATCAAGACCTTGGATCCTGTCGTTCAAGATAGCTTTAGAAAATAGCTAGCCCATCCAGCGCCAGATTCAGAAAAAATCAGATGAGAAATGTAAACACACCCACCCTGCTACCTGGAAGGAGTTGAATCTGCTAGAGCCACCACGGAGAAGACAACAAAAAGAGATGCAAAATGTAGCTCATAGCGCTAGTAAAGATGTCATGAACTGCAAGTTGAGTTGAGTCTTTGAATTCTGTTGTCGCCATCTTCTTGTTGACCAATGTTGACACCACTAATGACAAGAACGAGCAAGAGACAACATGAAGCAAGAGTCAGAAAGAAAAACAAAAAACTCCAGGACAATTTTGAAGAGATGGAGAGAGCAAAAGAGCGAGAGAGAAAGAGCGAGAGAGAGAAGGGGAAAGATAAGTGTATGCAGGTGGCATGTGGTTCAGGGGCCAGTTGAGGGGTGATTTCCAAATCACAAGATTCAATATCTGCTTCTCTGAGACCTATCCAGACAGGTTGCTGCAGTCTTTGGCGCTGCTTTCACTTCTGAACTTGGCTTGGCAGGCTTCGGAGGCTCGGCCTTGAATCCAGATCTCTTGAAGGGGCTAAGGCTTAGTGAGTGTGAACTGTGCAGTGCGTAACGCTTACAAGCTGTCTAGATATGCTGTGTAGATACATAATGATACATATGTATGTAAATACACGCATATACGTCAACACAATCTCTATATGTACATATACGGCTTTGCAACACATGTACTGCAACCCATGATTTGTTTGGGATATGTCCAATTCGAAATGGATCAGAAATGTAAACACACCCACCCTGCTACCAGGAAGGAGTTGAATCTGCTAGAGCCACCACGGAGAAGACAACAAAAAGAGATGCAAAATGTAGCTCATAGCGCTAGTAAAGATGTAATGAACTGCAAGTTGAGTTGAGTCTTTGAATTCTGTTGTCGCCATCTTCTTGTTGACCAATGTTGACACCACTAATGACACGAACGAGCAAGAGACAACATGAAGCAAGAGTCAGAAAGAAAAACAAAAAACTCCAGGACAATTTTGAAGAGATGGAGAGAGCAAAAGAGCGAGAGAGAAAGAGCGCGAGAGAGAGAGAGAGGGAAAGATAAGTGTATGCAGGTGGCATGTGGTTCAGGGGCCAGTTGAGGGGTGATTTCCAAATCACAAGATTCAATATCTGCCTCTCTGAGACCTATCCAGACAGGTTGCTGCAGTCTTTGGCGCTGCTTTCACTTCTGAACTTGGCTTGGCAGGCTTCGGAGGCTCGGCCTTGAATCCAGATCTCTTGAAGGGGCTAAGGCTTAGTGAGTGTGAACTGTGCAGTGCGTAACGCTTACAAGCTGTCTAGATATGCTGTGTAGATACATAATGATACATATGTATGTAAATACACGCATATACATCAACACAATCTCTATATGTACATACGGCTTTGCAACACATGTACTGCAACCCATGATTTGTTTGGGAGATGTCCAATTCGAAATGGATCAGAAATGTAAACACACCCACCCTGCTACCAGGAAGGAGTTGAATCTGCTAGAGCCACCACGGAGAAGACAACAAAAAGAGATGCAAAATGTATCTCATAGCGCTAGTAAAGATGTCATGAACTGCAAGTTGAGTTGAGTCTTTGAATTCTGTTGTCGCCATCTTCTTGTTGACCAATGTTGACACCACTAATGACACGAACGAGCAAGAGACAACATGAAGCAAGAGTCAGAAAGAAAAACAAAAAACTCCAGGACAATTTTGAAGAGATGGAGAGAGCAAAAGAGCGAGAGCAAAAGAGCGAGAGAGAGAGAGAGAGAGAAGGGGAAAGATAAGTGTATGCAGGTGGCATGTGGTTCAGGGGCCAGTTGAGGGGTGATTTCCAAATCACAAGATTCAATATCTGCTTCTCTGAGACCTATCCAGACAGGTTGCTGCAGTCTTTGGCGCTGCTTTCACTTCTGAACTTGGCTTGGCAGGCTTCGGAGGCTCGGCCTTGAATCCAGATCTCTTGAAGGGGCTAAGGCTTAGTGAGTGTGAACTGTGCAGTGCGTAACGCTTACAAGCTGTCTAGATATGCTGTGTAGATACATAATGATACATATGTATGTAAATACACGCATATACGTCAACACAATCTCTATATGTACATATACGGCTTTGCAACACATGTACTGCAACCCATGATTTGTTTGGGAGATGTCCAATTCGAAATGGATCAGAAATGTAAACACACCCACCCTGCTACCTGGAAGGAGTTGAATCTGCTAGAGCCACCACGGAGAAGACAACAAAAAGAGATGCAAAATGTAGCTCATAGCGCTAGTAAAGATGTCATGAACTGCAAGTTGAGTTGAGTCTTTGAATTCTGTTGTCGCCATCTTCTTGTTGACCAATGTTGACACCACTAATGACACGAACGAGCAAGAGACAACATGAAGCAAGAGTCAGAAAGAAAAACAAAAAACTCCAGGACAATTTTGAAGAGATGGAGAGAGCAAAAGAGCGAGAGAGAAAGAGCGCGAGAGAGAGAGAGAGAGAAGGGGAAAGATAAGTGTATGCAGGTGGCATGTGGTTCAGGGGCCAGTTGAGGGGTGATTTCCAAATCACAAGATTCAATATCTGCCTCTCTGAGACCTATCCAGACAGGTTGCTGCAGTCTTTGGCGCTGCTTTCACTTCTGAACTTGGCTTGGCAGGCTTCGGAGGCTCGGCCTTGAATCCAGATCTCTTGAAGGGGCTAAGGCTTAGTGAGTGTGAACTGTGCAGTGCGTAACGCTTACAAGCTGTCTAGATATGCTGTGTAGATACATAATGATACATATGTATGTAAATACACGCATATACGTCAACACAATCTCTATATGTACATACGGCTTTGCAACACATGTACTGCAACCCATGATTTGTTTGGGAGATGTCCAATTCGAAATGGATCAGAAATGTAAACACACCCACCCTGCTACCTGGAAGGAGTTGAATCTGCTAGAGCCACCACGGAGAAGACAACAAAAAGAGATGCAAAATGTAGCTCATAGCGCTAGTAAAGATGTCATGAACTGCAAGTTGAGTTGAGTCTTTGAATTCTGTTGTCGCCATCTTCTTGTTGACCAATGTTGACACCACTAATGACAAGAACGAGCAAGAGACAACATGAAGCAAGAGTCAGAAAGAAAAACAAAAAACTCCAGGACAATTTTGAAGAGATGGAGAGAGCAAAAGAGCGAGAGAGAAAGAGCGCGAGAGAGAGAGAGAGAGGAAAGATAAGTGTATGCAGGTGGCATGTGGTTCAGGGGCCAGTTGAGGGGTGATTTCCAAATCACAAGATTCAATATCTGCCTCTCTGAGACCTATCCAGACAGGTTGCTGCAGTCTTTGGCGCTGCTTTCACTTCTGAACTTGGCTTGGCAGGCTTCGGAGGCTCGGCCTTGAATCCAGATCTCTTGAAGGGGCTAAGGCTTAGTGAGTGTGAACTGTGCAGTGCGTAACGCTTACAAGCTGTCTAGATATGCTGTGTAGATACATAATGATACATATGTATGTAAATACACGCATATACGTCAACACAATCTCTATATGTACATATACGGCTTTGCAACACATGTACTGCAACCCATGATTTGTTTGGGAGATGTCCAATTCGAAATGGATCAGAAATGTAAACACACCCACCCTGCTACCAGGAAGGAGTTGAATCTGCTAGAGCCACCACGGAGAAGACAACAAAAAGAGATGCAAAATGTAGCTCATAGCGCTAGTAAAGATGTCATGAACTGCAAGTTGAGTTGAGTCTTTGAATTCTGTTGTCGCCATCTTCTTGTTGACCAATGTTGACACCACTAATGACACGAACGAGCAAGAGACAACATGAAGCAAGAGTCAGAAAGAAAAACAAAAAACTCCAGGACAATTTTGAAGAGATGGAGAGAGCAAAAGAGCGAGAGCAGAAAGAGCGAGAGAGAGAAGGGGAAAGATAAGTGTATGCAGGTGGCATGTGGTTCAGGGGCCAGTTGAGGGGTGATTTCCAAATCACAAGATTCAATATCTGCCTCTCTGAGACCTATCCAGACAGGTTGCTGCAGTCTTTGGCGCTGCTTTCACTTCTGAACTTGGCTTGGCAGGCTTCGGAGGCTCGGCCTTGAATCCAGATCTCTTGAAGGGGCTAAGGCTTAGTGAGTGTGAACTGTGCAGTGCGTAACGCTTACAAGCTGTCTAGATATGCTGTGTAGATACATAATGATACATATGTATGTAAATACACGCATATACGTCAACACAATCTCTATATGTACATACGGCTTTGCAACACATGTACTGCAACCCATGATTTGTTTGGGAGATGTCCAATTCGAAATGGATCAGAAATGTAAACACACCCACCCTGCTACCTGGAAGGAGTTGAATCTGCTAGAGCCACCACGGAGAAGACAACAAAAAGAGATGCAAAATGTAGCTCATAGCGCTAGTAAAGATGTCATGAACTGCAAGTTGAGTTGAGTCTTTGAATTCTGTTGTCGCCATCTTCTTGTTGACCAATGTTGACACCACTAATGACACGAACGAGCAAGAGACAACATGAAGCAAGAGTCAGAAAGAAAAACAAAAAACTCCAGGACAATTTTGAAGAGATGGAGAGAGCAAAAGAGCGAGAAAGAGCGAGAGAGAGAGAGAGAGAGAGAGGGGAAAGATAAGTGTATGCAGGTGGCATGTGGTTCAGGGGCCAGTTGAGGGGTGATTTCCAAATCACAAGATTCAATATCTGCCTCTCTGAGACCTATCCAGACAGGTTGCTGCAGTCTTTGGCGCTGCTTTCACTTCTGAACTTGGCTTGGCAGGCTTCGGAGGCTCGGCCTTGAATCCAGATCTCTTGAAGGGGCTAAGGCTTAGTGAGTGAACTGAACGCTTACAAGCTGCAGATGATACATATGTATGTAAATACGCATATACGTCAAGGCTGCAACACATGTACTAACCCATGATAGATGTCCAATTCGTGTCAGAAATAAACATGCTAATTGATCTGCTAGAGCATATGTATGTAAATACACGGCATATACGTCAACACAATCTCTATATCGGCCTACCAGATACGGCTTAGTGAGTGTGAACTGTGCAGTGCGTAACGCTTACAAGCTGTCTAGATATGCTGTGTAGATACATAATGATACATATGTATGTAAATACACGCATATACGTCAACACAATCTCTATATGTACATACGGCTTTGCAACACATGTACTGCAACCCATGATTTGTTTGGGAGATGTCCAATTCGAAATGGATCAGAAATGTAAACACACCCACCCTGCTACCTGGAAGGAGTTGAATCTGCTAGAGCCACCACGGAGAAGACAACAAAAAGAGATGCAAAATGTAGCTCATAGCGCTAGTAAAGATGTCATGAACTGCAAGTTGAGTTGAGTCTTTGAATTCTGTTGTCGCCATCTTCTTGTTGACCAATGTTGACACCACTAATGACAAGAACGAGCAAGAGACAACATGAAGCAAGAGTCAGAAAGAAAAACAAAAAACTCCAGGACAATTTTGAAGAGATGGAGAGAGCAAAAGAGCGAGAGAGAAAGAGCGAGAGAGAGAAGGGGAAAGATAAGTGTATGCAGGTGGCATGTGGTTCAGGGGCCAGTTGAGGGGTGATTTCCAAATCACAAGATTCAATATCTGCCTCTCTGAGACCTATCCAGACAGGTTGCTGCAGTCTTTGGCGCTGCTTTCACTTCTGAACTTGGCTTGGCAGGCTTCGGAGGCTCGGCCTTGAATCCAGATCTCTTGAAGGGGCTAAGGCTTAGTGAGTGTGAACTGTGCAGTGCGTAACGCTTACAAGCTGTCTAGATATGCTGTGTAGATACATAATGATACATATGTATGTAAATACACGCATATACGTCAACACAATCTCTATATGTACATACGGCTTTGCAACACATGTACTGCAACCCATGATTTGTTTGGGAGATGTCCAATTCGAAATGGATCAGAAATGTAAACACACCCACCCTGCTACCTGGAAGGAGTTGAATCTGCTAGAGCCACCACGGAGAAGACAACAAAAAGAGATGCAAAATGTAGCTCACAGCGCTAGTAAGTCTTTGAATGCAGCTAAGGCTTAGTGTGAACTGTGCAGAATTTGCTACGCATATATGGTGCGTATCGGTATGTATGGATGCATGGATGGATGGATGGATGGATGTACGTAGGTAGGTAGGTAGGTAGGTAAGTAGGTAGGTAGGTAAGTAGGTATGTAGGTATGTAAGTATGTAGGTAGGTAGGTAGGTAGGTATGTAGGTAATTGTAGGTAATTGTAGGTAATTGTAGGTAATTGTAGGTAATTGTATGTAATTGTATGTAATTGTATGTAATTGTATGTAATTGTATGTAATTGTATGTAATTGTATGTAATTGTATGTAATTGTATGTAATTGTATGTAATTGCATGTAATTGTATGTAAATGTATGTAATTGTATGTAATTGCATGTAATTGTATGTAAATGTATGTAATTGTATGCAAATGTATGTAATTGTATGTAATTGTATGTAATTGTATGTAATTGTATGTAAATGTATGTAAATGCATGTAATTGTATGTAATTGTATGTATGTAATTGTATGTAATTGTATGTAAATGTATGTAAATGTATGTAAATGTATGTAAATGTATTTAAATGTATGTAAATGTATGTAAATGTATGTAATTGTATGTAATTGTAATTGTAATTGTAATTGTAATTGCAATTGTAATTGTAATTGTATGTATGTAATTGTATGTATGTAAATGCATGTAAATGCATGTAAATGTATGTAAATGTATGTCAATGTATGTCAATGTATGTAAATGTATGTAAATGTATGTAAATGTATGTCAATGTATGTAAATGTATGTAATTGTAATTGCAATTGTAATTGCAATTGTAGTTGTAATTGTAATTGTAATTGTATGTAATTGTATGTAAATGTATGTAATTGTATGTAATTGTATGTAATTGTATGTAAATGTATGTAAGTGTATGTATGTGTATGTGTATGTATGTATGTATGTATGTATGTATATGTATGTATGTATGTATGTATGTATGTATGTATGTATGTATGTATGTATGTATGTATGTATGTATGTATGTATGTATGTATATGTTTATATGTGTGTATGTATGTATGTATGTATATGTTTATATGTGTGTGTATGTATGTATGCATGCATGGATGGATGGATGGATGGATGGAATAATGTAATGTAATGTAATGTAATGCAATGATGTAATGTAATGTAATGATGTAATGTAATGTAATGTATTGTAATGTAATGTAATGTAGGTAAATATGTATGTATGTATGTATGAATGTATGTATGTATGTATGTGTCTGTATGTATGCATGTATGTATGTGTGTATTAATGTAATGTAATTCAATGCAATGCAATGTAATGTAATGTAAGTATAGATGGATGGATGGACGTATGAACGTATGGACGTATGGACGTATGGACGTATGGGCGTATGGACGTATGGACGTATGGACATATGTATGGATGGATGTGTATCTATGTATGTGTATCTATGTATGTGTATCTATGTATGTGTATCCATATATCTATGTATGTGTGTATGTATGTAATGGTATGTAATGGTATGTAATGGTATGTAATGGTATGTAATGGTATGTAATGGTATGTAATGGTATGTAATGGTATGTAATGGTATGTAATGGTATGTAATGGTATGTAATGGTATGTAATGGTATGTAATGGTATGTAATGGTATGTAATGGTATGTAATGGTATGTAATGGTATGTAATGTAATGTATGTAATGTAATGTAATGTATGTAATGTAATGTAATGTAGTGTAATGGAATGTAATGCAATGCAATGTAATGCAATGCAATGCAATGCAATGCAATGCAATGCAATGTAATGTAATGTAATGTAATGTATGTATAGTATAGTATATAAATGAACGCAATCAGTGTATTTGTATACTGTTTACATATTGTCTTCACAATGACAATAGGCAGGGCTTTTGAACACAATTCCAACCCACAAAGTTTTCTCCAACCGACGTCGTCGACTGCTTTCGCAGGCGGCTCTCCCAACCTGGGTGCTCAGTGGTTCAGTCCTTGAGGGGATTTACCAAAAGAAATAGGGATTTCACCAACCGGATGGCCAAAATTAAGGGGAATGCGATGTGTCACAAATTGTGATCTGAGCCTGTCTCAAGCAAGCTGTGGGGGTTCTTTTTCAGGGGTAAAGTCAAAGTAATGATTTTAAAAAAGAAGTACAGCTGTCACTGGATTGGTTTAAGGATTTCAGTAAACCATGGTGTTCCTCCAGTAAATAACCCCATTTTCAGGCAGCCTAGTCGTCTAATATCGTCCAATTCCTGCACTTGGATCAAGACCTATGGGGATGGGTCAAAATGGGGTACCCATAAAGTTGAAATATGATGGACCACAAAGTTCATGTCTACAAATGACCAAAATGACCAAAATGACCAAAATCTCAGGTTTCTGGGCCTTAAACTTGAAGCAATACCGCCCGAGAAGCCAATCACCAGCGAGTCACAAAAAAGATCTGAGGGCGCTGTTCTCTGTGGCTTTCCGGGCTAATCGAGCTGGTCGTAAGGTGCGTCTTTTTCGACCCTGCCAGATGTGTGCATCTCACTTGGTCGTAAACCGGTGCACAATCAGCTATGTCAAGATGTGTCAAACTATATATATATATCTGTTGTCATGGTTAACATGCATGACAAAATATCAAAAATTGTGGAGTGCCCTGGTTTCAGACGAACAAATGCAATCAGCAGTGAAATGCAAATAGTTGAAAGCCTGATGGTAATCAATAGATACACCAATGTGTACCCCAAGAATTGGATAATCAACCAATTAATTTGTGCACAACAGTATTATCAACCAATCAGTGGGTCCAAACAGGATCAACAAAAATTTAACAACCCCAAATTTTGTTTGACATCACTTGGTTGCGAATCTCTGAAATTCCGCCTGTAATGCGAAACCGAACAGTAGGCTCCCTGTAACCCTTTTGGCGTTTTGCACACCTGGAACCTTGGTGAAATGAGCAAGTTTGTTTGGCAACTTGCGCAGTGCGTTGATGGGCGATTTTTTGAAACACTGGATCAACAAATTGGTGACAACTGTTCATTTTGGGATTCTGATCACGGAATCATTGAATATGTCATTATCATTTCACTGGGTGATGATTGGAATTGTTCAAAAGCTGCGGGAGTCAGAACCAGTTGTTGCCAAGAGACATGTTCGTTTTGATATGGAAAGACATGCGGTCCTAACGACGTCGCAGTAGAATGGCCCGCAGCAACATGGGTTGCCACAGGTATACCTGCAGGAGGAAAATTAACACGTTTTGGAACAACAACAACAAAATGATTTCCGCTTGTTCGTCTACAAACACAACATGTCCCAATGAAAAAATTATGTCATATTCGGGGTATCCAACATTTCGGATGCAATTATCTGGACAGAATTGGAGGCCTGCATCCATTTTCGTCGGCAACGGTGTGGCAGCAGTGTGTTTTTTCCCCGGCAGCCGAAAGGCTTCGAACCGCAAATTGTTTGGTAAAAACAAAAGATTGTTCATTGACTCATTGGACACGATTAAACCGTCTGGCATCGCAAGTTGGTCACAGTTGCACTGCATTGCTCAACTGTTTTCACTGGGACCGTGCAGTCTGGCCAGGCCTCGGGTTTGGCCTACGAAGTTGAAAAGGGATGGGATAAGAGTCAAGCACTTTACCTTGGGGTGGGCACTTTTCGATTTCAAATAAACGGCGGACCCACCACACCCTCCCTTGAGAGAAAATTATGTCGTAAAACAACGTGTCCCGAAATCAAAGATTTCTGAACATGCTCTGCAAGACTATCCGATGACTAAAGTAAGTTTCATCTCCTGACATCGCAAGTTGGCCACAGTTGCGCTGCATCGCTCAACTGTTTTCACTGGGGCCGTGCAGTCTGGCCTCCCCACATGAATCTGCAAGGGCACATCGAAGAAATTTCAGCAACGCATCAAACCATGCCACAGCCGCACAAGATTCGTCCAGAGTCGCAGGGGGTAAAGGATGTGGCACGTTCCTCGAAGGGCAATCACTCACATCTGCTTCCGTCGGTACTCGCGCATACCAAGTGCAAAGGTTGTTAACTGCTTCACGTTCCAAGTGGTATCTCATCAAGGCATGAGCCCCTGATCAAGGAGTACCTCGCGCTGTCATTGTCACCATAGCAAATCTGCAAACCATTTTTCATCTTGTCGGCCCAAAAATCCAGAGCCAAAATTGATGCCGCCAGTTCCAATTCATAGTTAATATTTTGCTTAACGCCACCTCCAAACAGCATACAATGTTGCTGGTTCAAAGGAAAACGAAACCATCCAACGCATTCGCAAGCATCATTGAAAAGGGCTGCACCAATGCCTCCCGTTCGAAGTTCAGGCTCGTAAGCCGCATCGGAAAAAATGAACCATTGTTGTACCGCCTTTGCAGAGACAATACGTGGAATGCTAATTGCCAAACGCTGCATCATCACCTGAAGACCACATGTCAACTCGTTAGAAAGTTTTGAGTTCTAATCAATGCACTTCCCTCACAAATCAAAAGGCTACTCAAGCAAGTTCTTTTTCCGGTGCTGTTATTTGATCTGTTTCAGGATGCCATTTCTGCATCCTTTCCAGCAACACAAGTTTTATGGATCGATTCGACCGATCCATTAAGATTTTAGAGAGATATTTACAGCCCAATGTATATCACAAGCGGTGAATAAAGAAAGCAACAGCCAGAGATATGACCAACAGCAGAATGTGTGATTCCAAGGGCTACAAAATATTGGAGATGGCCATTTTGGACGTGTTAACACTCTCAAAGACCAGGAAATGCTAAGTGAGTTGGAAGCAAAAGCAGAACAACACCATCAAAACCGAAATGAAGAGTCAACGCATCACTGGTGGTCTGAGAGTGCTGAAGTGAAACTGATGCTGGTAGGCCCTCAATCCCCGAAACAAAATTGTTGGTTGGTTGGTTGGTTGGATGGATGGATGGATGGATGGTTGGACGACTCACAGCAGTAGCCGTGGTCCACAGGCACAACCTCCACCAGCAGATCTCAGGGTCAGCTCCGGAAACGTCATTGCTGCCCTCCCCGCCAGCTTCTGGTGGCCTTCTATAGAGCAGAAACAGGAACAAGAGAGCAAGGACTCAAAATCGCCAGCCGTGACTCAGCACCAACCTTTAGCCAAGCACAAGCCAAGCAAGGCCACACCCAAGACACCAACCGACTGAAACCCGCTCGGTGGAAGAATCAAACCCACGCGAGGAAGCACCATTGGGACTATGCACCGCAGTCACGGGCAACACCATGCCACTAGGCAAGGTGAGATTCACACCCTGCTCTCGGGCCAACTTCTACAAATTGACAGGCCGCTTTCCGAGGTAGTGCTAACAAACGGGAGCACACCAACAGCCCGGAGCAATGGTAGCAGACCCGCCACGCGGGGTGACTACAGCAGCACAAGACACCATTTTAGAAAGGACTAGGATGCCGGCACCAGCAAGACCCAGAGTAGCCACACACTTCAAACTGGAGCAAGACAACCGGAGCGGCTATATAACGAACTTCTTCAACTCAGCGTGCTTCGCCGGCAGACACCCGTGAATTCCTCCAAAGAAGCATATCGACCGACACACTGAGAAGGACAAGAAGAGTGTAGGCCCTAGACAGCTCCCCAAACTTGAGAGAGCATACGATGACACGCAACTACGAGACCTGCAGTAGCTACTGGACCAAAGCAAACAGATGCCAGCCACCTACCCAGCGAGCAAACACGAGGGCCCCACAGGCGAGCAAACGCCACCGCCAACCAACCACGCCAAAACCAAAGGCGAACAAACGCCGGCCACCACCACGCCAGCGAACAAACGCTGACCTCACACCAAAGGCGAGAAAACGCCGACCACCAACCAACCACACCAAAACCACAGGCGAACAAACGCCAACCACCACCATGCCAGTGAACAAACGCTGGCCTCACACCAAAGGCGAGCAGACGCCACCACCAACCAACCACAACAAAACCAAAGGCGAACAAACGCCAACCACCACCACGCCAGTGAATAAACGCTGGCCATACACCATACACCAAAGGCGAGCAAACGCCGATCACCACCACCACCACCGCCGCCGCCGCCGCCGCTGCCGCAGCCTCCGCCACCACGGTCACCACCACCACCTACCCAACACAATTGAATACAAAACAAGAACAAGAACAAACAAGAACAAACAAGAACAACAACAAGAACAACAACCACCACAACAACAACAACAACAAGAACAAGAACAAGAACAAGAAGAAGCAGAGGTCAGGTGGGGCCGACCAAGACAAGCACAAGGGAAGGCCAGACACCAGGCAAGGGAAGCAGGAAGAAGACCAGAGAACACAGACAGACAAAGAAGAAAGCCAAGAAGAGGAAGAAAAGGAAAAAGGAAGAGAAGAAGAAGAAGCCCAAGAAAGAAGAAGAAGACCCGAAGCGCAAAACGCAACACCAACCATAAGCAGAAGCCACCGAGGGCCATTGGACAAATGGCAACCGCGGCCACCAAGAGGAAGAGAAAGCAGAAGCCTCAGAGCGCCAAAAGACAAATGCCACAAGACAAACGCCAACGCAACCACCCAAAGGCCCAAGGGAAGAAGACGAACACCCCAGGCGGGCAGAAACCCCAGAGCGCCAAAAGACAACCACCAAGCACAACCACCAAAAGAAAGAAAAACACCCCAGCATGCAGAAGGCCCTGGGCATCAAAAGACAAACGCCAACAGCAGTGACCAGCAACAAAGGACCAGTGCCAAACACAGCCACCAAGAGGAAGAGAAACACAACAGAAGGGGCAGGACCACCAAAACTGCAAAACAAAAGGCGCTCCAGGAGGAGCAGAAGCCCCAAACCGCTGTGGGCAAAAGCTTGAAAGCGCGAAACGCAAAAACAAGCAGACAAATGCTCAGCAGCAGCTAACGGGGCACTGTCACTCTTGCACCGGCGTGGGAGAGGGGATGAGGGGTGCTCGTCGGGAACAAACCCTTAGTGCCGCCCCCGGGGTCCACCCCATCCCATGAAATCTCACCCAGCCCAATGGCGCAAGACCCGGGGGCAAAATTGGTGGTGAATTTCTTAATTGATGGTCAAAGAGGAAACAAGTGAATGATGAATCCATAATGAAAGATAATATAGGTTGAGGGAGGGTGGGAAAAATTGTGATTTCCATAAGCAAATGATGTTGTGAGTGAAGTGCTTGAACCAGCGTTGCGGGGTTGATTAATTAAAACATCCATGAACAAGTACATGAAAAGTTCTAATCAACGCACTTCCCTCACAAATCAAAAGGCTACTCAAGCAAGCTCTTTTTCTGGTGCTGTTATTTGATCTGTTTCAGGATGCCATTTCTGCATCCTTTCCAGCAACACAAGTTTTATGGATCGATTCGACCAAATGAAACTATAAGACGGTGTTAGTTTGAAACGCATAGATAACCTACCAAACGAAGAGTGGATCAAATCAGCACCGGAAGTCTAGGAAGTGGGTAACGACCAAAGAAGTTGAAGATTCTGTGGAACTACTCGCAGGGATGATTTAATCATCCATAATTCGGATAAAGTGAGTCTAACACGATTGGATGGTGTGAAACCTGTTGGAAGAGCAGATTTAAAGTCCCATCTGCTTAAAAGATCTGCTACGACATTGTCCACTCCACTGATGTGAGAAGTGTCCATGTCAACGTTTAAAGAACTACTGAGTTGGCCAATTTTCTCCAAAAAGAAACACAGCGGCTCGCTAGTGGTGGAAAGTTGATTGACGCCGGCCTCAGCTGAAGTAGTATCACTCACCGTAGGCAGAGTCACGCGAAGTCGTTGGTGAGGATATTGGAATGCAAATGTATGCAATAAGGCCATCTGGGCCAAGGGTCTCGTAGCAAGCGATGTCTTTTTTGACAATTTGAGCTTCCAATCGCATTGGTAATCCCAAAGCCGTGACTTCTGCAACACTGAATCTTTCAGAAAACCAAAATCTAGAATCGTTCAATTCGATGAAGCCGCCAATTTGAAAGTTGGAACCCGTGGCACATGCATCGGCAGCTGAGAAACCCGGCCAATCGGCTTAGGGTACATGGAACGGAGTGGGCATAGATTTGAAATCCAGGTACGAAAAAGCTGAAGACATCTCACGCTTGATTTGCTTAGGGAGCGCTTGCTTGAGTTGGGATTTCGAACACGAAGCCAAAGTCGACGTTCTGAAAGTCGAATCCGTTCAAGGTCTGCTTTGTTAGAAACTGGGCGATCGGATTCAATGGTGCGGGCAAGATGAACTTGGACTACTATACCCTGAAAACCCTGGAAATTTGCGGAAAAACATGGCCAGCGTATAGCGGTGAGCTGACCGGCCAAAATGGATCTCACGCCACAGCGCGGAGCGTTTAGTAGGGTACTAAACCGTCTGGCCCGCAACACCAAAATTGTGTTCTCGCCACAGCGCGGTAGGTTTAGTTGGGCTCT